GGGGGGGGGGGGGGGGGGGGGGGCGGTTTCTGCACTTTGATGGGGGAAATAGGTTTCATTACGTATATGGATGGATGGATAGATGGATAGATGGATATATGTATTTACGTACATGTATATACGTATATGTACATACATACATACAAATATACATTCATATATGAGTAAGTACGTACGTACATACATACATACATACATACATACATACATACATACATACAAGTAAGCCTACATAAAAGCTAATTTTATTTATTTATAAATACGAGAAAGAAAGAGAATCTCTCGTAGCTGATGACTGACCGACTAACTGACTGACGGAGGGATAGAGAAACAGTCACGGTGATTAAGCTGGGAGGATATCGTGTGATTCTCTAGTTTCGAGAGTACAATAACAATAACAGCAGCAGCAGCAGCAGCAGCAGCAATAATGATAACAACAGCATACGGCCCCCAAAGAAACCCCGTACCCGTCCTCATCAGGGATCTCGTCGTCTTCGTGGTCTCGTCTCCCCCCCCCCCCTTCCCCCCTTTGACTCGCTCGCTTAAAAGAACAGAATTCGGGGTTCGCGCCGGGCTCAACTGACGGAGTCAGTCAGCCCCCACTTCCCCGACCTTCATCCCACTCCCTGCCATGCCCCCTCATGCGTGAAAAACCCCGTCTCTTCATCGTCCCGACTCCATCGTGGACGTCTTCTCAACAGAGCGGCTCGCTTCTTTGGTACACACACACGCCTTGACTTCGTGCTCTCGTTTCGCAACCCGAGAGAAACCCACGCGTTCGAACGGGACGGGTTGAAGCTCGTTCTGGAGATCACTTCACCTCACCACCCTCAGAAACGCGAGATAGATTTCCAGGGTCCGCGAAGCATGTCAGGTAAGGTGGCCTTTCTCGGCCTCGGGGCCATGGGCTTCGGGATGGCGACAAACCTCCTCAAGAAAGGCTTTCCAGTGACGGGCTTTGACGTCTGGCAGCCCACCCTGGACCGGTTCGCTGCCGCCGGCGGGAAAGCCTCCACCTCTCCCAGGGAGACCGTCGTCGACGCCCAATACGTCGTCTTCATGGTAGCGACGGCGGCACAGATACTGACTGCATTGTTCGACGAAGAGAATGGGGCTGTTCACAGTCTGGGCAAGGGCGCAACGGTGATACTGTCAAGTACTGGACCACCAGAACACGTGCCCCACGTCCGGCAGCTGCTCGATGAGAAGTACGACCGGAGCGACATCGAGCTGGTCGATGCGCCTGTGTCCGGTGGCACGATCCGTGCTGCAGCCGGCACACTGACCATTCTCGCTGCTGGGCCGGCGTCTTCTCTCGTTGCGGCGAGACCGGTGCTCGACGCCATGGCGGGGGGGAGTCTGTATATCATCCCTGGGGGACTGGGAGCCGGGACCAACGTCAAGATGGTGCACCAGGTGCTGGCTGGCATTCACATTGCCATGGCGAGTGAGGCGATGGGGTTTGCGGCTGCGTTGGGACTGAATACGAAGCAGGCGTTCGAGCTGTTGAAGGCGGGACGGGGCACGAGTTGGATGTTTGAGAACCGGGTGCCGCACATGCTCGTGGAAGACAAGACGGTCTACTCGGCGCTGAACATCATTGTGAAGGATATCGTGAGTCCACTCCTTGCTCCGTGGTGATCGATCTGGCTTGCGAGCGAGGCTCCCCTCGATGTTGACATCTACATGTCAGGGTATCGTGACGGCGGGAGGTCGCTCAGCAGACTTCCCACTCTTCCTCTCCTCGGCTACGGAACAAGTCCTCGCTTCGGGAGTCAGCGCTGGACTCGGCCTCGTCGATGACGCGGCGCTCGTCGGGGCGTACCTCCCGCAAGATCCCCAGCTCGTTCGCCAGCTTGCGTCTCCGGCAGCGGCTCTGGCCGCCGACGACCCGAAGTTGCGGCTGGTGGAGAAAATCATGGCGGGTGTGCACTTGGCTGCAGCCGCGGAAGCGATGTCGCTGGGCGTGAAAGTTGGCTTGGACGCTCGGAAGCTGTTTGAGATAATCTCGACGGCGGCGGGAACCAGTGCCATGTTCGTCGACGGAACGCAGCAGTTGCTGAGTGGGCGTTGGAACGTGGGGTTGACGGTGGATGACGTGGTTGCCGAATTGGTGGAAGCCGTGGCCGAAGCGCATCGGATGAAATATCCCCTTCACCTGACGGGGACTGCGTTGCAGCTCTTCCAGCTGGCGAAGCTGAAGGGGCTGGGGCGCGAGCCGGGCATTGCGGTCTCGAAGGTGTGGGATGGAGCTGAAGGGCCGTGGTTCCCTCGGTCGGGAGGGAAGTAGATAGGTAGACAGGTCGGTGGGAGGGTAGGTAGATAATCGGCTACTCTAGCATCAAGATCAAGATCAAGAGATGGAACCGAAACACCGAGCCCGTTGCATCGTGACATCCTGACATCTTGACTGCCACAGGTGAAGTTACCAGCCACGGAATCCACGCATCCTGGAATACCCCTCAGGGCGAAGCGTACTGCGTGTGGGGGCTGATCGATGCAGAGCGGATTGCGGAAAGAAAGGGAAACTACGTAACCACCTAAGGATTCAGGAATCAGGAATCGGGAATCGGGAAGGCCCGTCGGCTCGGGACTGCGACTCGGGATGATACCGTACCTCGATATATCGCACGTCCGAGCGAGCGGACGGGATGTGTGCGCTGGTCAGAATGACCATCGCCTCATCCGTGATAAGCCAGCGCACCCATGGCTGTTCTCTAGAGAGATCGCATGCAGCGGAAGAAGAGTAACACGGCGGATTCTGGTATCGGGGCAGTGTAGCTGGCTGGCGGCTAGGTATCCTCTCACGTTCCTAGACACCATTGCGATGCCAATTGTATATATATATAAATATATATATATATACACCCCCCTGTACAGCACCTCACGAGAACCCATCCCCAACGCAAAACCTCCCTCACAAAGAAAGCAGCAGAGAAATCAGCCGAATCTCTCTCTGTCTCTCTCTCTCCCTCTCCTTAAACCAGACCCAGTTCTCGGAACCGCTTTCGAAAAGCTCACCTGCATACGGTACCTTTCAAGGCCGCGGGGCACTCGAACGGTCCTCTGACAGAAAAAAGAAAAAAGAAAAAAGAAAAAAGAAAAAAGAAAAAAGAAAAAAGAGAAAAAAAGAGAAAAAAAGAGAAGAAAAAAAGAGAAAAAAAAAGAAGAAGAAAAGAGAAAAAAAAGAAGAAAAAAAGGACGGTCAACAGACCAATCCAAATCAGTACCTACCTTAAAGGGGAATGCAAAAGCATTCAGACGATCAGCTGATCATCCGACAACCATCTCTTTTAGAGACGATTTTAATAAGTCAGCATAGCTAGCCAGTGGATCCCCCTAAGCCGATACTTAAAAACCACGTAGAAACCGAAAACCCACGATTTAATTTTTTTTTTTTAAATCGTCGCCCAAAATAGAACGATTTATTTCAATCGATGAAACCGTTTTTTTTTTTTTTCAAATACTCGTCTTTTTTGTATAAAAAACCCGTCTTGGGGGACCGTTCTCGAGCGTTCGAAGCCCCGTCTCTGTCTTATAGCCGTCCCAAGGCCGGCCGTCCCTGAGCTGAAAACCCGTCCCGGAGAGCGTAAGTTAGTTAGTTAGGGAGCAAATACTTATTTTATTGCTTGCTGGTCTAGTCTATCTACCCTTTCCTACCTCCGCCACTTACTACTCCACCCCTTCTTTATCCTACTCCCGGTCCACCACCTCCGTACGAGGGCTGTGAGGGCGGCCGTCGGACGCGGGTAGACTTTTGCTCCATCGAGCGATTCCGATGATAAATTTTTTTTTAAAGCGGTGATGTAGGTATACAAAGCCGTGGCAGCGATACCGAGAAAAGATCTTGGCGGCGAACTTCTCCAATCATTATGAAAAAAAAAAAAAACAATTTTATGGAAAAGATGATTTCGATCTAGAGCTAGCTATATCTGCTTTCAGATGGGGATCGAACTATTTTCAAAAAAAAAATTTTTTTTTAAAAAAAAACGAGCTTATTCATAAGCTTGTTTTTTTTTTAAAAAAAAAAATATATAGACGGGGACGGCGATGGGACGGCTAGAAGACGGTCTCTTTTAATGGGACGGACGGTCTTTTTCGATAGACTATTCTTGAAAATTGAAAAGAGCTGAGGACTGAGTTTATGCGGTCTAATGGCCGTCTCTTGTGAAAGAGGATCAGAGGACTATTTACTATGTAAATGACCCCCTACCTGCCTTTAAGGTACCTCATCGACTTCCCGACCCGTCCCACGCAGAGAAGCGGCCTCTCTCCCTCTCTCCCCTCTCTCTCCCCCCATCAGACGAGAAATCGAAAACGTGGGTACTGATCTGATGAGAGAAACCAACCGGCTGTCTGTCTGTCTGTCTGACAAAAGAGACGGCAGCCAGCGACCGTTCCCAACGCAAGACCAACCTCCCTACCTCCCTACCTACCTCCCAACCTACCAACCAACCAACCAACCTACCCGTCCACCCCGGGCCGTAGAGTGTAGTGAAAGAAGAGACAGCGAAAGAAAAAGGAGAACAAAGGGAAAAGGAAAAGCTAAGTACGGTCGGTCGGTCGGTAAGTAAGGACCGAGCGGGAATGTACGTAGGAAGCGGGTTTATGCTTTGCGGTACCTATCAGTATTAGTATCAGTATCAGTATCAGTATCAGTATCGGTATTAGTATTAGTAGGTATTAGTAGGTATTAGTAGGTATTAGTAGGTATTAGTACGGTATTAGTATTAGTAGGTATTAGTAGGTATTAGTAGGTATTAGTAGGTATTAGTAGGTATTAGTACGGTACGTGTCAGCTTTTGAGAAGAGGGAGGAGAGGGTCCGCCCGGCCGGCGGGTTTTCCAGGACGAAGGACCAGGACGAGGTTCGCGTGGGAGAGACGGGTGCTGGTGAGAGAAGGCTGTTTGGTCGGTTGGATAGATGGATAGATGGATAGATGGATGGATGGATAGATGGATGGATGGATAGGTCTGAGAGGGTCTCGGTTAGGAGTGACGATTATGGGGGGAGACGGTACTGAGTACCGGTAGATACGAATGAATCTTCCTTTTCTGGTCTCATCGACGAGGGGGCTACTACGGGTACTACCTAGGTACCTACCTACCTACTGACCGTACTGTACAGTACCGGTACTCAAAGTCAAAGAGCATCCCTACAGTCCTGTAAGAGAGACGGTCCGTGGACCGTCCGTGAGCCGTCCAGATGACCCCCCGAAGGTCTGACAGCTCGAGGCTTTTGCGACCGGTACCTACCTACCTACCTACCTACCGGTACCTACACCGCTGGAACCGCTACGCACCGATGATGTTGTGTGCGCCTGCGCAGAAACTAGTAGTACTACCTACCCGCCACTAAGGCAAGTAAGTAAGGTACCTAATCGACACGCAGCTAGCCGACTCCGGTAAGCTTTAGAAGACGGGTTTCAGAGCGTTCTTTCGAGTCGCAGCAGGTACCTACTAGTACGTAGTAGGTACCTAGGTAGCGTACCGGTACCGCTAGTCTTAAAGGCTGTAAGGAGGCCCACCTAAGCGAGCCGACGATTACCGTACTTTCCTTTCCTTTCGCGCGAAACACAGATAGTACCGGTAGGTAGGTAGTAGTACTTACCCTGTGAGAATCGACGGGGTACGGGATGGGTGGGGATCTACCACGTGATGGTTCGGCTGCTAATCTACTTATTTACCTACCTACTTACGGTACCTAGGTCCCTCTTCTCTGACTCGAGATTGGGGGCGGTGGCTTGCTGGGTTTTCGCTCTCTGTGGTGTGCTCCTCGGCGGGGTGGGGTGGTTGGTTGGTCGGGCTGGACCCTGGAAGGGGATGACTGCGGTGGAGATGAGATGGGATGAGATGGGATGAGATGGGATGAGATGGGATGAGATGGGCTGTGATAGGCTGTGGTGCGACCGGGAGGAGCTGGCGAGCTGAGGTACCTACGTAGGTAATGTGATATTGATAGTAGTACCGGTATGTTGTGCGACCACCAACACGGGAGGGAGGGAGGAAGGAAGGAAGGAAGGAAGGAAGGAAGGAAGGATTATCCTGGGGACAGCCGGAAAACGGGTTGACGGCGCGTGAGCCTGCTTTTGCCCCTCTTTTCTCAACCGACGGTCCACGGACGATGGGGAGGTAGGTGTCAAGCAGGTGTCAAGCAGGTGTCAAGAATCCAGAATCAAGAATCAAGTGTCCAAAGTATCGAATCGGACACGATACGATACGATACGATACAACATGATCACCCGCCCGCCATCTCGACGAGCCCGTTCCCCTGTCCTGTCCTGTCCTGTTCTATTCTGCCCTGTTCTACCGGTATTCTGTTCTCGACTTCCTGCTACCGGTAGTCGTCGCTGTCCCAGTCCCGGTACTTACTTAAGGCTGAAACGCTCTAGAAAAGAAAACCCAAAAAAAAATCAAAACAAAAAACGAAAAAAAAAAAATTCAAAAAATCCCCGAATCCGAATTCTGGAACGAAAGAGAGAGAGAGAGAGAGAGAGAGGGAGAGAGAGAGTTGAAGGATCCGGCAATGCGCAGATCGACGCCGTACCGCACCGCGGCACCGATACCACTCCTCCTACTCCTACTACTATTACTTACTACTACTACCTACTACGAAGCGCCCCAGAGCGGGATCGGAGCCGCAATATACGTAGTAGTACTACGTCCTAGTAAAATACCCACAAGCCAACAAAGCACCCGAGCTCTAGCAAAGAAAGAAATACGTAGAACTGTAAATGAAGAAATGAAGAAATGAATGAATACCGGTAGATAGATAGATAGATGTAAGTATTGGAGTATAAAATCGATTTCTCTTACGTAGTAGTGTAGTGTGGGTATCTATACCTAGGCGAGCGAGCGAGCGAGCGATCAGGCGATCAGGCAAGCGATCAGTCAGTCAGTCAGTCAGTCAGTCTATCTCCGTGCTCGTCTCGCGCTTTGGATATGATACTGTAGGTAGGGAGGTAGGGAGGGAGGGAGGGAGTCTAAGCAGTGCAGTGCAGGCAGGCACGCAGGCAGGCAGTGAGTGAGGCAGTGGACTTGGACGACCGACTATGACCGTGTCCTCAGTACCTAAGGTAGGTACTACTACTTAAGTAAGTAAGTACTTATAGTATAAGTAGTACGTAGTAAGTAGTAGTAAGTACTAGTACCTCCAACGCTGCACTTACTATATACTGTATCATAGTAGTAATACCACCCACCACCAGCCGCATACCTACCGGTACCGGTATCCAGCAGGGTTTCCTCAGCGCACACGCCCTCGAGCGCCGACTGTCCCCTGGGGTTGCGAGAGGGGATTGTCAATACTACGTATAGTACTATGGCAAAGTAGGGCTTCCCGAGGCCCGCCTTGCCGACTCGGGAGGCAGGCAGGCAGGCAGGCAGGCAAATCTTGCTCGGGGGCTAATTTTACTACGTATTTACTACTGTACTGCTGTACTACTGTACTACTGTACTATACTGGGTATACTATACTCTACTCTACTACTGGGTATACTGCGTCCTTTACTTTACTTTACTTTACTTTACTTTACTTTACTTACCCCCCAGCGGAGACGGGGATAGGGATGGGGATGGGGGATGGGTGCCGTTGGGAGGGATGGCAAAAGGGTCAGGGTCAGTGTCAGTCGACAGGGATGGCGTGGCTGGATGCGCAGGGCGGAGCGGATGGATGGATGGATGGATGGATGGGTGGGTGCGTGGGTGGGTAGACCCGGGAACCTGGCTCGCGTTCGCAGGAATGGCCGCGTACGGACCGTAGTACGTAGTAGTACGTACGAAGTACGTGAGGAGGAGGAGGAGGAGGAGCTGGCTGGGATCATACCTGTACGGAGGAGGAGGAGGAGGAGTGGTACTACTACGTACCTGTACTTACTGGGGATGCGGAGCCTTTTTTTAGGACTGGACAGGACTTGGGGTGCCGTCGACTACCGGTATTGTACTATTACTACTACGTACGTACGTAGTACTTGTACAGGAGGGATTTCTGTAGGCTTGGCGGGGATGGGGTGAGGATGGATGGTGCCGTAGGTACGACTACTACTACCTCCTGATTGGTTTCTCTTCGGGCTTCGAGACCTGTCTGTAGGTCGCGAGGACGAGGGTGCGGGAAGGGGTGGGGGTCGTAGTAGTGGTAGTGGTAGTGGTGCTTATACTTATACTCCGACTACGACTACGACTTATCGTCGAGGGCTGAAGACGGCTGCCGGCACGGCATTTCAGAAGCACCTCGACGTGCCTGGGAACCTAGATAAGAAACCGTGATACAGTAGGGGTTGAGGAGGGGGTTGCATATGCGCGCCGCTGGTGCAGAGCTCTCTCGACTTCTACACTACGTACGTAGTAGTACTACGTACCTACGTACGCCGACTTCTAAATATAGTGGCATCTGGAGCGACGCTGCGTCAAGTACTCCTCCCTATTACGTATTGTATAGTAGTCTCTGGCGAGACGCTGCATCAACTACTCCCTCTGAACTACGGACTTACGTACGATGGAGTTTATCTCTCGCATGAAAAAAAAGAAAGAAGAAGAAGAAGAAGAAGAAGAAGAAGAAGAAAAAGAAAAAGAAAAAGAAAAAGAAAAAGAAACCTCACTCACTCACCATGGGACGAGCGAAGGAATGAAGAGGTACGTAGTACTACTACATACCACCGGTACCGGTCCCCTCCCTACTCTGTCTGTCGTGCCAGTTGGAATCCTCCGTGCATACTACGTACTACGGTAGAGTGATACTAGTAGGACTACTACTACTACTACTACTACTACTACTACTACACTAACATCGGCCTACTCTCGATCGTGGCCCGTGGTAGCGGGGATACCCCAGCGCTCCGTTGGACCGGGGCTTCATGGCGTCGGCGGAGGTGGCTCGGGTCATTCATTGGCTGGGTTCCTCTATCTGCGCTTTTCCGTCGGAAAGTCAGTCCGCGAAAGAAGTTCGTTTCCAGCCGGCTGGGCTCGGGGCTCGGGGCGCCGCTCAACCAGATGGACTCGATTGAGTTTAGGTCGGTCTGGAGAGGGGAGAGGGGAGAGGGGAGAGGGAGGGCACGGAAGCACTAGGGCGGGAGGAATGTTCTATTGCTGTTGCCCGAGTGGCGGTTGTTGTTGTTGTTGTTGTTGTTTGTGTCTCGGTGGCTGTTGTTCTTGTGGTTGTTTTGGTGGTTGTTCTTGTGGTTGTTGCTGGGCTGTTTGTGTGAGATTCCAGAGGTATGCTGGAGGAATGCCTCCATGACGAACCATGACTTACCCATCTCGTTCGCATCGACGGCGATGGCGATGGCGATGGCGATGGCAATGGCAATGGCAATGGCCTCGCACCCACCACGTGGTAGGTGCATGCTTGGTGGCACTCAAGATACCCGAGCCCCGGTCTGGTCGAGGTCGCCGACCGGCTTACGGCAGCCGGGACAGCGCCGGAGAAGGTGGTAGTACAGGGAGCCCCAGTCCAGAAGGGTATATACGTAGTAGTAGTACTTACTACTACCGGTACCTAGTACTACTAGTACAACGTCCCATATTAGAGGACGGAGAATCACCAATTTCCAGAGGTCCTCTGGACAGTACAGTCGCCGTCCGGGATGCTACTTGATCTGAGCCCGATGTCCAGGTGGCGAGGACGGGGGCGGACCTGATATATATACACATCTATATCTATCTACAAATATATGGTACGTAGTACATGGTATTTGTACCGTATTTATAGCGCCCTCGTAGGCCTTTCCGCGTGCTGTGATGCCCAGTAGCCCGACCCCTTACCCTGACCCTGACCCTGACCCTGACCCGTACCCGTCCCCGTCCCCGAAGCCCGAGTCCGTGCTAGCCAACAGCAGCCACCATCGTCTTTCTTGGTCTGTTCTTGGAGCCAGCCGTCCGGTCTGTCTGGTCCATTCCATCCATTCCTTTCTGACACTGATCCCATCCGATCTTGTCCTTCCTCCTCCCTCCTCCCTCCTCCCTCATCCCTCCTCACTCCTTCCCCCCCTCCCCACTCACCCCCTTCCCCCTTCCCCCCCTTCCCCCTCCCCCCCTCCCCCCTCCCCCCTCCCCCAGCACAGCACAGGCTGCATGCGAAGAACCATCGAACGACCACGACCTCGACCTCGACCTGGCCATCAACGCCCAAGACCAACAACTACTACTACTACTTCGTACCGACTCACCACCACTCACCAACCCACCAACCCACCACCACCCACCACCACCCACCACTCACAGCTCAACGCCCCTTCCATTCTCACCCACTCAATTCACTCTCCTTCCTTCCCCACTGATTCAACCGCCAACGACAGGCCCCAATCCCGCAATCCCGCAATTGTCGCTCGCGTCCTGCGATACCATAACACACCCTCAATCATTTCTCCCATCCATCACTGCCGATTCCGCTCCACCCACCACCGACCACCACCACCGTCCGACCGCCCAATGCAGCGCCCGCCGTGGATGCCGCAAACTTGCTGAGGGTCGGTCCATTGAAGATGGAGCCCGAGGCCGCCTCAGTCCCGGCCGCACAATGGGCCAGGATGCACGCGCCCGAGGGTCTGCGACAGCGACAGCGAGACCGCCTGGCTCCTCGAGGAAGGCTTGGCCCCCCCGCTCGCATCGAGACGACCGTTCGCGAGGTCGACGGACTGCCAAAGAATGGAATCACGCTCGCGCCGGCACCGCGGTCCAGGCTGACGGGCAAACGCTCGCTCGCGCTGGCCAAGAAGAAGCAATCGGAGGAGGGATTGCGCAAAGAAAATAGTCTCAGTCGGAGGGCCAAGAGAGAAGCCGAGGACGCCCGCTTCGAGATCACCCCCGACGGGAGCTCTGCGGGACGCGAGGGCCGACAGTTCACCGTCGCGAAAGTCGGGAATAATGGCAAGATCTATTTACGGTAAGCGGAGGCACCCTCCAGTCGTGATGTCCTCGCGGCCGGGGCCCGGCCTTCGATGCCCGACCGGAACAGATGCTGACCCGCCCCACAGCCCGACCATACGTCCTTCCAATCAGAGATATCCGCAACCGTCGTTCGTGTTCCCCATCACGCCGCCCAGCACGGCCGGTCTCGATGCCTTGGTCGCCCGGAGCGAGGCGGGCGACGATTCGCAGTATGGGAGCCTATGGACGTCGTCCCGGACACCTTCGATGCCGGCCGGACCTGGGAGCGAGCAGGCGAAAGCCTCGAGAGCGCCGCGCCGGCAACGGGCCCAGTCCGCCTCGACGGTAGGAGACCAGCACTTGCCAGTCTTGGGCTCGGGCGCAGGCGCGTTCAAGATTGTGATTGAGAGACCAGCAACCAAGCCCAAAGCTCCCGAACCACCTTTCGGGGGAATCCCGACGTTGGAAGTCTCTATCCCCTCCCATAAACTGGGAACCCCGCGCTTTAGCACGAGAGGCACTGCGCTCATACGAGGGTCCTCGTATACCACGACCGATGCTGAGCGTTCCAGTGGTGTATCCTCGCAGGTCCTGAGTTTGCATCGACCAAGCCAAACCCTGTCGAGACGACATTCCGACGCGTCGCCTCAGCAGCTTTTCTCGCCTACAGCTCCCAGTATCCCGCTCCATAGGGGGCCCGTCTGTCCCCCCAAGCTCCTGCGCCAAGGCACGGCCATCGTCCCTGAGATGTTCGACACGCTGACCTTCAAGCCGGCATGTGACCACCCGTCGATTGTGCGATATGCGGTGGGCGGCGGTATCCGAGCAGCGACCCCAGCACGCCTCGTCGCGGAGATTACATCACCCACATTCGTAGATTACGATCTCCTATCCGACTTCTTCTTATCATACCGCTCCTTCCTGGACACGACGGACCTCTTACACATGCTCATTGCACGGCTGAGGTGGGCCCTGGCCCGAGACGACGAGATGGGAACCGTCGTCCGGGTCAGGACCTTCGTTGCGATCCGACACTGGGTCCTGAACTACTTTCTGGATGACTACGTGGTGGATTATGATCTGCGGAAATCTTTTTGCGACCTGCTGAATGGGTTTGTGGACGAGCTACTCCAGGACCCATCGCGAACGAAGGTGCCGCTGAAGATGCTTGCCGAGTTGAAAAAATGCTGGAGAAGGGTGTGCGCGCTCTACTGGGACGGACCGGAATTCGAGGGCGAGTTCGACAGCCATGTTCCCATCCTGCCGGGTGGAGTTGCGGGTTCTAGAAACCCCGCGCTGGACCCGACCTTCTGGCAAACCCGTCCCGAAGGACCTCCACGGCTGGATGGTATCATACAGCCGGACTTTGCCGAGCAGCCCAACACCGCTGGAGGTCGGCGAGATTTCTTTGCCGATGTTTCGCGGGCTGGCCACCCGCACTCAGTCTCGGATCCTCCGCGTGATCTACATGATCCGGCCCAAGATTCCTACGACAGCCAACCCCGCCGCCCGCCCTCAAGCCTACTCAGTGAAGACTTTGTCTCGTGCTCGTTTCCTTCCCGCCAGCGGTCTGGATCGGCACGGGCGGTGGGAGCCCATCCCGTACCAGCCAGCTCGATATACGAACCTCTCCCTCCTGTGGCGACGACGCCCAAATCTCTTGCTGGCAAGCGCGTCCGTCCCGTGCATGCACACAAGCGAAGCGCGAGCTTCTCGGACTCCTACAGAGACAGACGCACGACGCCGCAACATGAACGGAGATTGCAGCAGCCGGTGCAAAAGGTCATCTTCAAAAGTACGGAATTACTCCTTGCCTTGCCATACGCTGGAAGTATTGTCAGAGGTAATTTGTTTCCACCTGGGCAAGCCTTCGTCGATGTGATTGCCCCCACGACACCTGCAGAGGTAGATCGCGCAACGACACTGTTTCCCGACATCCCGTCGGAACAGAAGGGCCCGTCCGCCATGTCAGGTCCTGGGATGAAGAGGCTGCTGGGAAGTGTGCGTCGGGCCCTGAGCTCTAGAACCGGGGGCCTCGGTGGAATCCCCAGTGCCTCTCCCACCCAAGGTAGCTTTCCCAATATCCCGCCCTTGGGTGTCCGCGGAGCGACTGTCAATCGTCTTCCGGGAACCGCCGTTGTCCCACAGGCTCGGTCGCGAGATGCGGCGCTGCCCATGCGAATCGACTTGCTCGGTGCGGAGATTGCGGAAGATTTTAAGAAGGCTGTAAGAGAGGATGCCGAGGCCGAAGCGGAAGCCCAAGCCGAAGCGGAAGCCGAAACCGAAGCCAAACCCGAAGCCGAAGCAGCAGCTGAGCAGCGCGAGACCGACGACCGCAGATCAGAAGGAGGCGGGCAGTATGCTGGCCTCCAGTACTCCTCCATGGCGCCGGACACAACTGACGAGCAACCCGAGGATCGGAGAGAACTGGTGAGCGAGATGAACGCGCGTAGCAATTCGTATCCGAACTTGGAAAATACCACGGAGCTATCCGTCATGACTGGCGCGTTAGCCCGTAGGCTATCGGCAGACAGCCCTCCGGATCTGTATATTCATCCTTCTGGTGGCCCCACGCCGCCCTCCACTCCACCCGATGTCACGCTGGGAACTCCAAGGCGAACGCCACATGTTCCAGCTGATCACGCGAGACCATGCTCGACCTCTTTGGAAGGCACTCCATCCTTGGTGGTAGATCCACGACCGTCCGGAGAAGATGAGCGCTCCCCGTGCCATCGGCCACCCGGAAGACTTGGCGTGAAAAATCCAAAAGGTCTTGCATACAGAACCAAGAGATCTGGGTCCTTGCGACGTCATGCTTCCTTCCACAGTGGGTTCGAACGGCATCGAAGCGAGTGCAGCTTCGATGCGGCAAGCTTCTCGGAATACGAGGACCCAGAGCGTGTTTCCCACGTCTCATCCGCCCTCTCCCCACTCAGAGTCCTGCGACGGCGCCCTGGGGGAGATTTGAGAGCCGTCTCACATGTGGGAGATCTCGATACCCAAGAAAACCGCCGGCCGATGTCAACTGGCTCATTGACCGCTTACTCCGAATCGATCCGTAGCTCTTACCTATTGGGGCCCGGATCAAGCCATTACGTGGACGTCGTCAACAGCGACTACGATCATACAGATACTCACGAGCAGGACCACTCTCCTGGTGCCCTGACTGAACTCGGCCCCAAGTCCCACGTATCCCTTTTGAGTACCCTGTCATCTCAGCCAGTCATGCGACCTTCGTTTGCGAAAGAAGCAGCCATGCTCGCCCAGATCCCTGATGATGACGATGACGATGGAGGTGTCGAGTCTGCTCTATTGAAGCTGGAGGGAAAGTTCGAGAAACGATGCTCTGACGTCTCCAGAAGCCTGAAACCCACTCCTGTTGGCATCGACAGCTTCGACCGCTTTCCTCTCGATGTGAGCACGTTGGCCCTAGAGCATGAAGACGCAGGGGAGAAGCGACGACATCGGCAGCGGCATATTGTGGAGCCCGCGCCCTCAGAGTCCTTGCCACGGCCTGCGCCATATCGACCTCAGTATCGACAGTTCCTGGAAGAAGTGAGGCCGTCGGTGTATCAGCCCGAAGGATGTCAACCTGCGCCTCCGCTCTTATCGCCCCGATCCGTCGAGTCATACAACTCTATCCCACTTCTCGAACGTGAGTTGACTGGGGACAGCTATGTGAGGGAAAATCGAAGACGGTCAGCGCGTTCTGTACTGCATGGCGAAAGTACAGAGGGACCGGACTATGACGAACACAACCCGGAATCTTCCCACGTGAAGTCTATTGGTTTCATGGAAGAGACAGACAGCATGAGAGGGATCTCCGCAGGGGAGTCTCGAGATGATGGGGACCGATCTCTCTTGGACAGCGAGAAGGGCGATCTTTCTTCGGAAATTTCGCTTGAAAGTATCTCAGAGATGGGGCACACCGAACAAGATTCCAGCACCGCTCAATCATTCCTCCCCACCAAAGGGACCGCCCTCTCACATCCCCATCGCCAACCGCCATCCCCCCCAATGACAATGTTACAGGCACTCAATCTTGGTCCCCCCTCGCCTCTACCACAAGAATCATACAGTACCCTTCCCCCAACACCAGAGATTACGCCAACTGGAGCGTTCTCCGTGAAGGAATCCGGAGTAGAGAGGGGCGCATCTCCTGCGACGGAATCGCTGCGAAGCCACCGCATATCTGAACCCTCTCGAAAGACATCGGTCCATCTGCCCTTCGTACTAGCCTTTGACTCTCAGGTCCTTGCTCAGCAGTTCACACTGATAGAGAAAGATGCACTCAACGAGATCGATTGGAAGGATCTGATCGAAATGTGTTGGAAGGATGTGTCTACCGAATCTCGCTCGTGGGTTGAGTTCCTCCGCCAACAAGAGCCGCGTGGAGTTGAAGTTGTCATTGCCAGATTCAACTTGATGGTCAAGTGGGCCGTGTCAGAAATTGTTCTCACTCAGGATCTCGTGGAGCGTGTCCGCTGCATCATCAAGTTTATCCACATTGCAGCACATTGCCGCAGCTACCGCAACTTTGCGACTATGGCTCAACTCACCGTTGCTCTCACATCCAAGGAGATCTCCCGCCTGGTCAAGACATGGGCACACGTGCCTGCTGCTGATAAGGAAACCCTGAGACATCTTGAACTCCTCGTGACACCGACTCAGAACTTCCATAGCCTCCGGGCTGAGATGGAAGGAGCTGGAGCAGGTCAAGGCTGCATCCCCTTCGTTTGCATCTATACGCATGATCTTCTGGTCAACTCCGAACGTCCAAGCCAGATTGCCAGTACTCCAACCACCGAACCACTGGTCAACTTCGAGAAATGTCGGACAGACGCGACTATCGTCAAGAACCTGCTTCGATTACTCGAGGCCAGTTCCTTGTACCAGTTCCAACCGATTGAGGGCATCACCGAGCGATGTCTCTGGATGGCTGCTCTGACCGATGAGGAGATTACGAGATATGGGAAGGCAATTCATGAATGATCGGGGCGCCGCGCCAGCCTCGACTCCACCATATATCGACAGATTCCTTATTGAGGTGACACCACATCTCTACATCGACGCCGCGACCGAACTACACGAATCTCACCACGTTCGTCCGCCACGGGACAGAATACTTTCTTGTAACAACCTTGGGGATCCCGAATTTTCCGACGCTTCTTGTCTCTAATATGTCTCCTTGTCGCTACTACAGTCGTTACATTCTCCATTGCGTTTTATACCCGACCATGGTCCCTGCGACCTCTAACTCTAGTATCGACCTTACGGTTATCATCACGATGGACCACGAATTTTTTTTTATTTTGTTTTTTGTTTTTTTTTTGTTTTGTTTTCTGATTATTGAGGCTTGTCCGATGAGCGAGGACGGCTTGGGGAGGAGTAGATATCTACAGAGGAATGGCCATGACTGGTTCTATTTATATCTTTTGTCAGGGATGGGATGGGATGGGCAGAGAGCGATTTGCTTTGCATTGCATGGATGAAGGATGGTTATACCCTGGTTGCGCGACCCTTTGCGGGGGAAAGGAGCGGTTTGTCATATAGGGGTGGGAGGACGGGCTTGTTGGTTGCTGTGCTAGCTGTGAGCTAGTTGGAGAATGCACGAGCTCTTGCTGGCATACCTACTTGTGGTTTGTGCTGACTTCGGGATGCGTGCGTGCGAGATCCGTGTTAATTCTTACCCATTTACTTACACCTTCGGCTAAGGGTGCTTCAGTGGTGTGGGTGGATGGATAATAAGGGACAGCATTATTTCGAGGTCACCGAAACACACGGCGATCGCCATGACGTCTTCTCAAGTCGGTCTCCGTAGCCTCACCGCAACCCATCAATATCAGTTCATTTTTCCAACATCTCTTCTCTTCCCTCCTCTCCTCTCTCCCGTCACCCATCTCACTTCCACTTCTCTTCCCTATTCCCGCTCGATACACACAACAAGATTTCCTCGTTCCATCGAAACATATCTACCTCATCAAACTCGATCCATCCCTCCATCCATCAAAGCATGGCAGCAGCAGCAGCAGCAGCAGCAGCAACAGCACCCATCCTCCTCCTCCGCGCCCCGAGCATCTATCCTCCGCACGACGACGACGACGGCGGCGACGGTAAGGGTAAGGGTAAGGGTAAGGGTAGTCGAAGCCCATGGCGCGCGCCACCGCTCGCCTGGCTCGAGCGCACGTGGAGCGTCACGCACTCGACGCTACCGATGTGGGCGAAGGCGCGGAACGTGCGGATCACGTATAAGCTGTTGTCGTCCCCGTCACCGCCTTCTTCTGGAGCTGGAGCTGGAGGGAGGACGTTGATCGACGACGAGGTGTGCTCGGAGCCGCTTGAGTCGGGCTGGGTGACGGCGGTGATGCAGCCGCGGTGTATCCGGGGGGTGGATACGCCGGTTCCTGGGCTCGAGGGGGGTTGGAGGTGGAGGGGACGGGGGTGGTTGAGGGTTGCTAGTAGTCATGTATGTTGGGTTTGTTTTTGTCTTGTGGGTTTGAATGGGTGGGTGGGAGGGTGGATGGGTTGGGGTTGGGGCTTTGGAGGGGGAGAGAGAGAGAGAGAGCGAGAGAGTCGTGCTGACTGAATATAGTGGGAGATTCTCGGTTGGGGCGAGAGCGATCTTGACGGGGTGCATGAGAAGTGGGTGGTTACGTGGTTCAAGGCCAGCTTGTTCACGCCGATGGGGGTCGACGTTTACTCGGATCGGAAGGAGGGCATTAGCGAGGGCTTGTACGGGAAGATACGGGAGGCCTTGGAGGGGGGTCTGGCCGGGACGGAAGTCGCGGAGCTTTGCAAGGGGATGTTTGCCGTTGAGATCAAGTACTAGCTAGGTGCTGCTGGAGGATGGAGTTTGGGAAAGGTCATACATATATATACCCGGTGGGTGAAATCTGGGAACGGGACCGCAGCAGTACTTGCTGTGTTGTTTAGATAGCTGGCTACCAATCGCTAATCGTGATGTCTGGACCGATGGCGATGTTTACCACTCCCTTCCTCCCTGTTTCGGTGAGGGCTTCGCGTAGAGTCTCTCCTTTCTCGATGGGAGCCTCGCCCAGCCTCTCGGTGTCTGTGTCTTCTCTCCCTCTCCCTCTCGCCCTGTCTGTCGCGTCGTGCATGTCGTTTCGAAGATCTCTCTTCTCTCCGATCAAGACGGAAGCCTTCTAGCTCATCCTCGGAATCCTCATACCTTCGCTTGCTCCTCTTCCGCCTTTCTGCATCCTCAAGTTCCCGGACTTCTCTTTCTCTCTCTTCTCTCCACTTCTCCCTCTCCTTCTTGACTTCTCTCGCCTGCCTCGCTCCAGCCTTCATCATGGCCAGAGGATCGTTATCCACAATCCTCTGACTCTCCCTCTCTTTCCGCCTCGGATCCGCATTACCCCAGACGTCCTTACCGACCGCTTCCTCCTCGATGCCTCCCCTCCCCGTCTTCGAATACCACGGGTTCTCCAGTCCCTGTTTGAGCCCCGCCGCATTGCTGAATCTCATGGTATACTGATCTTCGTACTCCTTTCGCTTCCGAGCCGTCTCCTGTTCCGCCTCAGCATTCTTCTCCGCAGCCCTCGTCGGCGCCGCTTTCGGCCGAGGGAAGAGATCAATGTGCCCCCGCGGATCCACCAACGGCGCCTCCGTCTCCTTCCTCAGCACGAGCTGTTTCCCGACCGCGGCCAGCGCCTCCCGCTCTTCCAGCGCCACGCGCATCTCAAAGCCCGTGTCGTCTTCGCCCGCTCTCTTGCGCTTCCTGCGCTCCCTCCCGGCCCCTCCCCGTTCGCCATCTCGTTTCCCTGGGTGCTGGTGTGGGTCGGAGGGGCTGGGGCCGTCTGCAATGGCTAAGGGCGTGGGGACCTCGCCGCGGAGGATGGCCATGCGCCGTGCGGCGTCGACGGCTTGCATGCGCTCCTCCTCGGCGGCTTCGAGGGCGGCAGCGGCGGCCTCATCGCGTTTGACCTTCTCGATGTTGGCTGTGTTGTAGACGTTCCAGGACTTCTTGCCTAGGAGATGGCTGTAGGGTGTTAGTTGCGTTCTGAGAGTAGAGAGAGAGAGAGAGAGAGAGAGCTTGACGAGCGGAAAGATGCAATGAAGATAGGAAGATAGAGGGGATTCGCATAGACAGACGAAACTTACAGAGGCATGATGGAGACTTTGAATTTCGTGATCTGCTGCGACCTCGAGGAAGAAATCTAGCTCGAGGCTGAGAGGTGCTTGGTGAGGCTGAGCATTGCCGAGGGTCAGACCCGGAGACAGAGTTGTCGCTTTGTCCCCAACCGCTGAGGCCAATTCAGTACAAATTAACAACTGCAACAGCACAGGAACCCAAGTGGGGAGCTTCATCCTGCGTTACTTGCCATTTCCACCTCACGACTTGAAACGACGACACGACGGCCTTTACCCGCGGAAAGCTGCACACTTGTTCTCTGTTTGCGAGGAGTCGTAACAAGAGGACACACTTCGAACGCCCAGTGGTCACTGACGACGGAGGAAACGTCCCGGAGAGAGCTGCCTGCTGAGGAAAACCTGGCCACAAGATACCAGCTGCTTGACTGGATCGAACCACCCGTCACCGAACGCCATGAATTTGCGAGAGAACCTATTTGGCCAAGGCTCGCGATCAGGCCGAGCTCAAGCACCACCACAGTCGGGATACGGGCGGCCCTCCCAACTTCCCGGGCGAGACGATACATCTATGCCGGGCGGATACGATGACAGAGGCGGGTACGGGGATCCCAGAGGGTATGCGTCGCCTCCGAGACAACCGCAGCAGATGCCTTCAAGGGCAGCGGCTGGAATGGCTTCGCCGGGCCGGCAAGCACAGCTCAGGATTGCGAAGGTGGAGGATAAGACAGCTGCTAATCAGTACATTTTTGGGAATTTGTAAGTGTTGTGGGGGGCTGCTTGGACACTGTGATGGCTTCTAAATCGGGGTGCAGGTGTGCTGTGTCGCCTCGAGACTTCCCTCCTTCGAGAGATGGCACGGATCTCTACATACTCCTCAATGGGAGGTATGTAGTCACGGCTCGACCTTTAGAATCGTTTCCACCGGGCTGTATAAGCTTGTCAGACCCTCAGAGAACCTGGTGTGATGTTGGAATGATGGATCCCATCATGGCCGAGTCCTACGACCCATTCGCCGTCCAAGGCCCAGCCTCATACTTAGGAACCTTAGACGTCGAAGTAGGCTTCGCTTCAGTAAAGAAGATTACCGATGTGCCTTTCGATCAAGACATCCTGGCCGATGTCTTCATCAAGAATTTCGAGAACCAGATTTTTGCGCCAGGTCAAAAGCTCTTGATGGATTATAAGAACATCCCAATGATGTTTACGGTCAAGACGGTCCAGCTCGTGGACATGAGTATGGAAAAGTCATCCTCGGCGGCGCCGACGGTTTCGAGTCCCCAGGCGAGAGGTATCTTGACGAGACATACCCCGATTACATTCTACAAGGATGCCAAGTCACCCATCAAGCTTAAGGGATCTGCGAAGCGGCCGGCCGCCAACTCGATCATTGCGCCAGACTTCAAGTTCGAGGACATGGGTATTGGTGGCTTGGACAAGGAGTTCAGTTCCATCTTCCGAAGAGCTTTCGCTTCTCGTATTTTCCCTCCTGGGCTGATTGAGAAATTGGGTATCCAGCACGTGAAGGGTATCTTACTGTTTGGGCCGCCTGGCACAGGCAAGACGCTTATCGCTCGTCAAATTGGAAAAATGCTGAATTCGAGAGAGCCGAAGGTCATCAACGGACCCGAGGTCTTGAACAAGTACGTTGGACAGTCTGAGGAGAACATCCGGAAACTTTTCGCCGATGCCGAGAAGGAGTACAAGGAGAAGGGAGACGAAAGTGGTCTCCACATCATCATTTTCGATGAGTTGGATGCTGTGTGCAAGCAGAGAGGTTCCGGAGCTGGAGGTGGAACTGGTGTTGGTGACAGTGTTGTCAACCAGTTGCTCTCCAAGCTCGATGGAGTCGACCAGCTCAACAACATCCTGCTTATTGGGATGACCAATCGCATGGACATGATTGACGATGCGCTTCTTCGTCCTGGGCGTTTGGAGGTCCACATGGAGATCTCCCTACCAGATGAGGATGGCCGGGCGCAGATTTTGAAGATTCATACCTCGAAGATGTTGGATAACAACGTCATGGATCCGGATGTCAACGTAGCCGAGCTTGCTCATCTTACCAAGAACTTTTCTGGTGCTGAGCTTGGAGGCTTGGTCAAGTCCGCCTCGTCATTTGCTTTCAACCGACACGTTAAGGTTGGTACGGTTGCTGGTGTCAGCGATGACATTGAAAACATGAAAGTCAACAGAGGCGACTTTTTGCATGCTCTTGAGGAGGTCAAGGCTGCATTTGGTGTCTCCGAAGAGGAGCTCGAGACTGCTATGGCTGCGGGGATTTTGCATTACAGCCCATACATCGCGAATATCCTCAAGGACGGTCGACTTTTCGTCGACCTCGTCAAGAACTCCGCAACCACATCACTCCTTTCCGTCCTCATGCATGGCCCACCAGGATCGGGGAAAACAGCTCTCTCGGCTAGGATTGCTAAGGAGTCAAACTTCCCCTTTATCAAGCTCGTCTCCGCCGAGAACATGGTTGGCTTTAGCGAGATGGCCAAGATCCAATACCTGAACAAGGTATTCACTGATGCGTACAAGTCGCCTCAGAACATCGTTGTAGTAGACAACATTGAACGCATTATTGAGTGGGTCCCTATCGGACCACGCTTCTCTAACCCGGTCCTCCAGGCCTTGATGGTTCTCCTCACCAAACAGCCACCAAACGTAAGTCACCATGTAAATGTAGAACAACCATCATACTAACAGACTCAGGGTCGCCGTCTCCTCATCATCGGCACCACTTCCCAGCGCTCCGTCTTGCGCCAACTCGACCTACAACAAATCTTCAACCGTGAATTAGCCGTTCCTAACATCAACACACACGCCGAGCTCGCTTCCGTGCTTCGGGAAGTCAACGCCTTTGATAGCGATTCCGATCTTAAAAGGTCTCTCAAAGAGCTGCGTGATTATGCTGGGACGGACCAAGTCGGTGTTGGAATCAAGAAAGTACTGCTTGCCGTGGGCGAGGCGAAGCAGGAAGAAGGAAATATGGTCAATCGATTTGCCGAGGTGGTGGCTCAGCAGATCATCAGCAACAGAGATTAGAGGAGGTCCTTATATAAGGGTAGATACTTCGTAGATGGTGTGGCATAGAATGTATCATCGGCTGCATAGTATCACTGTTGCGTGCACTTGACCAGAATGCATCGTGTGAGGCTAGGATGAAGATCTGAGGTTCAAGCGAAGTATTGAGAGTTTATACTAATAGATGATAGCCCGTATTCCCAGTTCTTCTATGTGCTTAACTACTTTATTCTTCCCCAGACACCGGAGCTTGCTCCGCGCTACTTATTTCCGATCGCTCGGCAATCTAATCTCCTATCGAAGTCTACAGGGGTATCTATTATTCATATGTCGAATTGATTATCCAGCTTCCACCCGGACTGATTTGACTCTTCAAGTTACTTACCGATACCTCTCCTATGCCTGGAATACGAAACCAGCTCCCACACATATGCGCACGCTGTTCGCGGATTCAACGAACCAATGTCTTGCCAATCAGATACAGGCACTCAACTCGGCATCTCTCCCAGAGTTTGCCACTTCGAAGCTCTGACAACAGAAAGCTAGAAGATGAGGAGGCTGACCTGTCAATCAAATCCGGGCGAGTAGAACCGAGATCCGACGGCACATCTGCAGCATCTCAGAGGTATGGCGAACGGAAACAAGGCGCAATGTCCAGGCGGCTGGCTCAGGCTACCGAAGACGCCCTCACCGAAGGCGGGCGAGCAGGCAGAAAAGCGGTCGAGGAGGCAGGTTTCTCCGAAGAGTTAAAGAGCTCCTTGATCGAGCGCGTCGAGGCCGCGAAATTCCGCTCGGATCACGCAGCAGCATTTGCAGAAGCCGGGCTCGGCTCCCACGTCGGTCAGGGCTCGCGGCAGATCGCCACTGGCCGGATATGGACGGGGGAGGAGTCGTCGCCAGATGCGACGCTGCGGATGCTGGACGATGCGAGGAAGCCGCTGCAGCCGGGGCTGCGGGGGCCGGCGAAGATTCCGGGTCCGACTGTTGATTTGAGGTTCAAGCCGAAGCCGAAGCAGAGGCCTGGGGAGAGGCTGGCGAATGCAAGGGATAGGACTTCCGCCTACGCCATTTCCAAGGATTCGCAGATGACTGACGAGGAGAGGGAGCAGATGAGGAGGGGTCTGAAGGAGAGATTTGGGCCGGGGGTCGGAACGATGCCGAATTCGTTTCGGGGATTGGCTGCGTTGGCTAACGAGAGAATTGAGGATGCTATCGCTAGGGGGCAGTTCAAAGTAGGTCATCTGGGTATGCGTATTCTGGCAGGATCAATGGAGGTTGACAGCTGTAGAATATACCCCGTGGCAAAGCCATTGTGAGAGATGTGCGAGCGGACAACCCTTTTATTGATACTACGGAATATATCATGAACAAGATGATCCAGAGACAAGAGATTGTCCCTCCTTGGATCGAGAAGCAGCAGGAGCTGATCAAGGCGACGAACATATTCCGAGCTAGATTGCGGAATGATTGGAAACGCCATGCTGCGCGGACTATTGCAAGCCGGGGGGGAAGCTTGCAAGAACAGATGCGAATCGCCGATCGATACGCAGAGGCAGAGAAAGCTTACAATCCCAGAAAGAGAGCTGTAGAGCAGATCTCGCTCCCAGACAAGGCTACAAACGATTCTGCGCCCGTCAAAATCGTGCAGGAAGCGCCCTCTACGCCAGTCTCTGCTATTCCACCTGTACAGGTTTCACAAGAGACGCAAGACGGTGCTGTTACTTCCGAAGCCACCTCCCACGAGCAACCACAGACCCACCCCGAGTCCCCCGCAGCTCCCCTCCCAGCCCTCTTCCGGATCCCTACCTGGGAAGCAGCCGAGAACTCCTACCTCACGCTCGCCGTCCAAAACCTCAACAGCTTGGCCAGATCCTATAACCTCATGGCCCCCGAGCTGGCCAAAAAACCGTATTTCTCGCTCGAGCGCGAGCTCAAGGCTTGCTATGCAGATGTGGCGCCCCAGCTCTCACAGGCTATCAAGGATAGAGCTGCTCGCCCTGCGAAAACCATGGTCGAGATCATCGGGCACAAGCCCGGTGGGGTGCTGGAGAGGTTTGCGAGCGATAAGGTGGTCATCTATGATTCGAAGAGGCCGAAGTATGGGTTTAAGGAGCTGTGGAGTGATCTTTGGAGGTCGAAGAGTGCTTGATCCAGATGCTCCCACTCTGCTGCCTGGCCTCGAGTCAGAAAGGTGAGGGTTTGACTTTTAAAAGTAAGATCTAGCAGATGCCCGTGAAATTTCCGGGTGTTTTCGATGGTGCTGTCACAGGCGGACCTCACTGTAAGTTAGATGAGGCATTTAGGGGGAGATGCTTGTTTGAATTTGATAGCCGGTGGGCTGATTTGTCTTGTCGTTCGCATGGCATGCACGTTCAACGAAGCTACGAGCCGCAAGCGAGAATAAACGAGTCGTTGGCGAATTTATTCACCTTTACCAACAGTGTAGTGTAACGCTTGTATCTCTGCTCTGCGGATCGCGTCCGAGGAAGTACTTTCGCCCTTGAAAGAACGTGAATAATCCTAGAAGGCAGAGACGCTGTATATTTGGCTTCAGTGAAATGCATTTATCGGGGTTTCGTCGATCCTGTCTGTAGCTTAATTAAGCTGGCTGGCTACCTTGGTCCTGCTGATTTCCACCTTTTCTGCATCGGTAGACCTCACCGTCCTCTATCGATACCAGCTCCTGACAGTTTTGGATGGTGCGCGTCGTGTGAGGATTACGCTTATGGCATTTAGAGATAGCTAGGCTTTATAAATATAGAAGGGAAGCGCGGCCACGTCTCCGCCCTTCCAGAGGGCTCCCCACGTCGCTCACGAGCGCGTCAAGCCCGCGAGGTTTACACCCGGTAATAGTCCAGTCCGGATCTACCCAGTCCTCAGGATCCGTCGCGGGATCCGCCGGCGCGACATTGACCCTGATCTCCTGCAGTTTCGCTCTCAGCGGTTGCTCGAGGATCACCCCCGCCCGTCTCTCTCTGGCTGCGCTCCTCTCCGCGCTGCTCCTGGAATCACCCGGCTCTACCTTCTGCGGGTAAGCGTCCAACACGAATCCCGCTCCGGGGTCCTCTTCCTTGCTAGTATCATTCATCAGATCGTCGTCGCTGACCCACCTGCTGGAATGGCGCACGGAGCCGGAGGACCTGCATGTGGGCGTGCGGGTCGAGCGGCCGTCGGAGTCCCGGGGCGGAGCCCTGTACTTGACTTTCTTGTAGCCGCGGTCTTGGATCAGAGAGATGAGGACCAGGGCGTTAGAGGTGAAGGTTGCGAGCAGGATGTCGAGGGAGGCGAGCAGGGAGCGATACTGCTGCAGCCCTCCCTTCTGGGGGATGTGCACGAGGGAGTACACCGTGACGGCTATGCTGAGGAGCGGGAGCGAGAGGCGGATCAGGATAGAGAGCCTCCTTGAGGGGGCATCAATGTGTGTGGGAGAAGGGGGTGAGAGAGACGTACCGGGCGCGCGGGAGGCGCGACTTGAGGATCATGGGGATGGGGAAGATGATCAGGGTGAGATTCGTGACGATGCTGAGAAGGCCGGTGGTGAAGAGGAATGCGTAGCCGTTTCTACACTGTGGTCCCGGGTCGGGGACCACCTGCCAGTAGTGCGTGAAGGGCTGACAAGGCGCGAGGTCGCTGACAACTGTGCCTAGAAAGGTGACCGCGAGAAAGATTCGCAGGTACCTCTGGTGAGAGCGCTGCCAAACCGAGTCGGTGAGGGTGCGCAGGAACTCGCTGGTGCTGTATTTTATCGCCCAGAGCCTTGAATCGAAGTTAGGAATTGGCCCCTTGGGAGCGAGGAGGCAGCTCACGATGCAGCGTAGAGGATTCTCGAGATCAAGACCATCTGACTTCCGATCTCACGCTCGCGAATACTCTCGGTGGACAGCCCATCGATCTTGGTGTTGTTGGTCCCGTGAAGCAGCACCAGGTGGACAAAGGCCTGCCTTATCGAGATGGGCAAGAGCGCCGCCAGCATGATGCCGTCCTCGACGAAGACTCTCTCGGCCCGGGCATATCTACCAGCGAAGCGGAAAAGAATGATGACGATGGCGTAGATGGTACACCACCAGCTGACCAGCAGTGTGGGCTTGATCTCCCGGAAGCCCTGGACATCCGGAGCCTCGCTCGTGAGGCGGCGCACGATGTCCATGTTCAGAGAGGCGATATGCTATGTAAAACTCGAATGGGAGCGACCGCTTACTTCACGGGTCGGAGTCTGCTAGAGGCATCCACACGTACTCGGGAAGAAAAATGAAAGATCTCGCGTGCGGTGTCAATGGCTCAAGACGAAATGGTCCAGGCAGAGAGAGATGCCATCGAAAACGCCGCACAAATGAATATGCCCCGGTGATGAGAGATGACGATTGGGAAGGGTCATTCCGTTCCAAGGAGAGGAAGGAGACGAAGGAGAGGAAGGATTAAAGATGGACTTATCGCTATTTCGGTGCTCACTGCCCTCGTTACTGAGAGGAGAGAGAGATTGTCCACGAGCTGCTGCGACCAAGCGAGGCCCGTCGAAGGACGCATAGTACTTGCTTGTCGGATTCGATTATTGCGCCCTCGCACTGTCTGTCGTTCAAGAGCACGGATACGACCGAGCGAGGAGGCAACTTGGAGAATGCAAGTGAAATTCGATATGGGGTACCAAGCACAGGGACACAGATAACGTCAGGTTCCTTCTCGCCTCTTGTACCGGTAGAGCTTCGAGGTGCACTTCCCACCTTCCTACGTACGATTGCAGGGCCCAATTCTATACCCAGCTCGAAGGGCGAATGTCGTACAGTAGTTGCGGGTAGGGTACCTCAGACTCCTAAGGATGGAGAACTACGTAGTACCTAGGATCTCTGACTTGCTTCGCTTAGGGAAATATGGGGTTTTGGTTTTCGAAGGATCGAATGCAGCCGTAGAATAGCCTTTGCAAAGCACTGCAAGAGAAGAAGAAAAAGCCTTCCAAGGAACACTAGGATTAATCGACGGCCAAAGTAAGACCCACTTACATGGTGCTTTGCTCCGTAGTCGAAAGTTAGACGAGATAAAGGTATATTTCCCTGGGCACGGGATCATCAGGTAAATTACTAAAGTTCACCAGGATTCCCTTCCCTACCTCCTCGACCCGCCGCCTGTTCAGCCACCGACGGACCCTTCTTCACGGTATCGCGTTGTCGTAGCAAGCAATGTATAACAAGTCGGTGATATGCCAGCGATCTAACACTCTAGCACTCTAGATCTGTCTAAGTGAACAACAGAACGGCGAACACTCTCGCGAGCCTTCGCCCATCCCATCCTTTCCCTCCCGGGGCCGAGGATTTCGAGGTCAAGAGGTCAGAGGTCCGCCAGCCAGCAGCAGCCAGCACCTCCTAGGTACCGTACCTAGCATCTTGTCCATCCGCCCTTCAAATTACCACCCATCTCTTCGACGTCGACCTCCTGACACTCCCAACCATGATGGGCGCCTTCGCCCTCGACAAGGCCGAGACGGCCAAGTCAAATACCGCGCCGAAGACGTTTACAGAGAGACCGCTGCTGGTTCGGCCCAAAGGCGCACGCTTCTCATCGTCCAAAGCTTTTGACAGCTTCCGAGCTGCTCCTAATTCACACACGTTCACACCCGCCATAGGGGCAAACAGACGGTCCTACAACCAGCAGGCCGCCGCGTTCAACACGGCAAACTCGCTGCTGGTACGGAGGCTCAAGGGACGACATTTGCAGATGATCGCCATGGGAGGCTCCATAGGTGGGTGCACCGGCAATGCAGTGGCTATCCCATTCCATTCCATTCAGCGTCACGTGAGCAATCGCTCATCTCAATCTCAGGAACTGGACTCTTCATCGGTACCGGCGCAGCTCTTGCCACTGGAGGGCCGGCCTCTCTGCTGCTGGCATTTTTGCTGATCGGCGCCGTCCTGTTTTGCACGATACAGGCCCTCGGGGAGTTGGCCGTGACCTTTCCGGTGGCGGGGAGTTTCTCGGCCTTCGCCACGCGTTTTATCGACCCTGCCTGGGGCTTCGCTACCGGCTGGAACTATGCTTGTCAGTGGATATTTACGATGCCTATCGAGATCATGGCCGCTGCTATTACTTTGGAGTTCTGGGATCTAAACTTGCCTGAGTGGGCCGCCATCACGATTTTCTTGCTCATCGTTGCCACCGTCAGCCTATGCGGGGTTAATGTGTATGGAGAAGCGGAGTATTCATTCTCGATTATCAAAGTCACGGCAATCATAGGATTCATGTAAGGAGCCTCTTCTACTTGGGGAGGTGTTTCGCTAACCCAACTTCAGCATCCTTGGTGTTGTGATCAATTGTGGCGGAACAGTAAGCACTGTCGGGCAACAGCCCTCTCTACCCTCACGCCGCTATCTCTGCCTTTTCATTATTTTGCTCTCGAGATTAGGAACAATTTCTAACCTCGTGAGCATCTAGCCAGACAGTGGGTACATCGGAGGCAGATATGTATGTACCGAATCTCATACCTTTTCTCCCCCCCCCCCCCCCCCTTAAACGCTGGCACTTTTTGGTTCTCAGGCCGAAGATTTCGGGTCCTTGGAAATTGCCAAATACAGAGCTGACTTTGATAAAGTGGAGAAATCCAGGCGCCTTCCATAACGGCTTCAAAGGGTTTTGCAACATTCTCGTGACAGCTTCATTCTCCTTCTCCGGCACAGAACTTATAGGCCTTGCAGCCGCCGAGACACATAACCCCAGCAAAGCCTTACCGACAGCTATCAAAAAGGTTTTCTGGAGAATTGCTCTCGTGCGTCTCCCCCTTCTCGCACCCTCTCTCTCACTCTCTAATGGATAGTAGTTCTATGTCATCTCGATAGTTATCATCGGCCTCCTGGTTCCTTACACTGAGCCTCAACTCCTCGGCCGTAATGATGTCGACGCCAAAGCCTCTCCCTTCATAATCGCCATCCAAACCGCAGGCATCCACGGCCTCGATAGCGTCATGAACGCCGTTATCCTGATCTCTGTACTCTCCGTTGCCAATTCTTGCATGTTTGGCGCAACACGTACCCTACAAGCGCTCGGCGAGCAGGGCCAGGCCCCGCGTATCTTCGCCTACGTCGATCGTAAAGGCCGTCCTTTGTTTTCGATTCTGGTATGCTTATTTATTGACCTCCTCGCTTACCTGTACGCCTCGCCCTTGGCAGGCGAAGCTTTCACTTGGCTTTTGGCGCTGGCCGGGCTCTCTAGTATCTTTACTTGGGCCAGTATCTGCTTCGCACATATCCGCTTTCGCAGGGCCTGGATCGAACAAGGCAATCTTCTCTCAGACCTCGTCCACCAATCCCCTATCGGCGTCACCGGATCCTGGATCGGTCTCGGCGCCCTGATCGGCGTCCTCGTTGCACAGTGCTGGGTCGCCATCTCTCCTACAAGCGCCGCCCCAAATCGAAGCTTCGCCGAGATGACAGCAAATTTTTTTGAGGCGTATCTGGCCACGCCCATTGTTGTGTTGATGTATTCGTGTTATAAGATTTGGTACCGCACCAAATGGGTTAGGACCAGGGATGTGGATTTGCAGACAGGCAGGAATGCTTTCGAGAGCGTGCACGTACGGATGCAATGGAAGGAGGATCAGCGCGACTGGCCGATGTGGAAGAAGCTCTATAAGATTTTGTGTTGAGCATTAGGAGCATGTCTGTATCGTCTGTGACACTGCGTCATTATCAAACCCGATTTGTGAATGACATGTAGAATACTTCTGTTGCGATTATATTGCGATTTGCCTGGCATGCGTGCGATTGACCTGGGATGTCAGGGTGTGAATGAGGTGGCTGACTCCTGCTCTGCCAAACCAGCATCAACCGTGCTCATCTCCAATCACGGAACATGCTGTTCCATCTCGTGAGTACGTACGTACCGGTATACCTACTCTCCCGTCCCTCCCATCTTATAACCCGACCGCCAGACGAGTCGAGAACCGAAGCCTCGTCCCAACACCCCGATCCACCAGCCCCAGTACCTATCTCATGCACTACGTACTACTTACTACCTCTCCCTCAGCAATCCTTCAAAGGCCCCTGCTCCTCTGACACAAAATCAGGAGCTCCTATCTTCCATCCTCCCGCCACCTACCTAGTCGCCATGCCCGAAAACATACTACGTACGTAGTACGTACCGTAGTCCGTCCCGGTCGTATCCCCTTCCCGCCCCTCTCCACAGTCTAACGCATCCCATCCGTGCGGGCGGGATGACCCGACATCGTTATCGATCTTGTCGACAGCCGCCGCCGCCGCTGCCGCCGCCGCCGCCAAAGCTTCGAAACGCATGATGATCCTCTACCTCCTCCAGTACCAGTAGGTACTCACGGGAGGAGGATCCCCTCCTGCGCTGCCCGCGTCTCCCCCCGGGCCTGGGTTCGCAGGTCCCGTACCGTACCGTATCCTGCAAAGCCGACGCACCGAGCGGGCGACGAGGGAAGGGTGTCTACCTCGTTCCCCCATCTGAGACCGGTACGGTCAACGAGTCTTCCTCTGGGCACGCATGCGCGGGCCGGCACGTGCAATAAGTACCGTGGTGGGGGCCGCGAAGCAGGGAACTAACTAGTCACTGTTGTGGCCTGAGGCTATTTAGGCTACTACTACGGACTTGTATACGGTACCTAGTAAGTTGCAAAGACCATTACCAGTGGAGGGAGGTGGGTAGAAGTACTACGTAGGTACACCGCATGAACCCTCCAAAGTGGTGCGCGTGGCTGCTAATAATGTACTACCGGTACGTAGTAGTACGTACGTAGTAGTACGTACGTAGTAGTACTATGTAGTATGTAGTGTAATCTCTGTTTCTTGACTGATCAGTGCGTTGGTTGCGCGAAGAGTACTACAAATTGACTCGGATACTGCTAAATCAATTATACAGGATCTATAGACCGGGGTAAGCGGCTCGCTCTAAGAAAAAGGGTAAGAGAAGTGTGGAAAAGGCGTGCTTGGTGGCAGTCCTCGATCTTCGCAGTCGCCCCTGGTAAGCCAGCTTCAAACCTTCGTGAAAAGACAAAATAAAAAAAATAAAAAAAAAAACTCTAGATCAACTAACTGGCTTTTTGGCGCCGTCAACGGACGCACTGATCAGTTCGGGGACAGAGATTATACGTTATTGGCAGCCCCCGCACGCCACTCTGTCGAGTCTATACGGGATAACCTTACGTTGCAGCACAGTAGGTACAGTAGGTAAGCTTCCCAAAGAACGATCACTCGAACCTTGCAAAAACCTATTTCTTCTTCTTCTTCTTCTTTAGTACTACGTGCGTGTTATCTAAACGAGCTCGGCGCCAGGACTCGATTGCCAGGCTCTTCTCTCGATCCGCAGGCCAGGTCGATCAAAGCTCGGGATCGAATCCGGCTGCAGCAATCAGCGCGGAGCTCCGGACGCTATCGATAAGCAGCGAGCGATCGATCAACTTCCCTTCCCCTTTTGACCTTTTCGCGGTCGGTTACCTTACCTCTCTTGCGTACCTTCCTCTGTACCTCTTTCTTCATCGGGTGGCCTTCGCCGCGACCGCGCATGCTGATTTGAGACTCTGCATGCGATCGACGCCCGTCCGGTTCGTTTCCACGCGATGGTTTGTCGCGATCTGTGCAGTGGTTTGTTTCGCGTCGTTTGCGCTTCGATTCTTACTATCTACCTACGTAGTATATCATCTTGAGAAAGGATACGAGCGATCGGGTCTTGTGCGCGACTGCGGACGGCTGACTAAAGCCTGGATATACCTTATTTACGCTAGGTTTCCCTTGCTGCTGTTGTAGGTAGCTTGAACGGAGTGGAGGTTTAATTGCTAGAGACACGGTTATCATGTCGGGATCGCTCTACGGTGGATTCCGAATAAGGTATTTCAAGATTTAGCTAAGCTACAATCTGTTCCAGTACCTAGACGTCTCTGCGTATTGATCGTCTGTGACCTTGAATAATAATTCGAGCAATTACCGACCTGGCCGCGCCGTCGGCCCCATCAAGGCGGGATGATAAAATTTCCTTTCTCTTTCACCGATAGAAAATCAGCCAACAAACTATATCGTAGTTGTTTCTGCATTAGAACATGCAACGTGTGAGTCCATATCCTCACCAATCCATCTAATTTTAATTAATTCCAGGTTGTTATTCCCTCATTGCGCGGAGTCAAAGCAGCAGGAGTTACTGCGTAGTACTCTTAGTAGGTATACTATACTTCTGTTGCACTTTTCGACGCTACTAGTCCGTGCGCGACATAAGCGAAGAGAGAGCCAACAACGCCCTTTCTCGAGCTGACAAGCGATCGATTTCGACGACGATTATAAAAAAAGAAGAGGGATAAGATAGGGGAGAAGCGGTAGCGACTTGGCAGCTTGAGATGACACCGGTTTCTGAGCTTAACGACAGCGTTGATGTAAGTCAAGGAAGGTACGATGAGCTATTTTGGTACGGTTGAACGATGCGTAGGTATGTATCAATCCGCATTCCCGGGTAAATAGGTACGAGATGGAGTAAGCGAAGAGCGCGAGAATCGGACTTTTATGAAGGCCTGTTGAAGGTAGGTAGGTAGGTACACTCGCATTACTACTAACTTTTATTTGATGATTAGTTCCCTTCGGTAGTGTTACAGACGCGATCGTTTCTTTTCGACCTGTAGGACCCTCTTCTTTCTTAAAACAAAAGTTGTGGTTGCTAAGAGATTTCGAAGCGGAGAAGTAAAATTTCGTCGTTGTTTACGAAAGTATTTCGCTATATTTTCATTGCTTTTTCAGGTGTGAACTCGCAATGAATGGACGCATGTTTATACTCATGATGCACGTTTGTAAAGCGTATTTTCGCGAGCATATCTCCTTATTTTTTCCTTGTTTCTACGAGTAGTTCTTGTTTCATAAGTGTTGTACCGTTACTCTGCCGCCTTGGTGCTGCCGACCTGGCAGCGCCCGGTCACGGTCTCTCACAATTAAATTGAAGGTAGCCGACGATAATTGCTAGTGTATAGCTTAGGCGAAGTTAGAGTTAGTTGATAGAGGTATCGGCGAGCTAGTTTGTTGAAGAAGATCAGTGACAAGATGTAGGAAGATAAAAGGAAACGATGACATGGGCTACGAAAGCGGAAAGAGATAATACCAAGAGCTCGGATTGAGAGAGATTCAAGCTCTCGGGGCAAGAACTATTAGGTGGGGGTCTTGGTACGGCCTGAGGCCATGTAAGCAAGCTACTAAGGTGCACACGGAGGAGCACCAGTAGAAGAGGCGAGGTGTATAACCCCACGTTGCACTGAGCTTTCTACATAGATAACAATCAATCCGCCTGCTGCAAACTTGTTCTTCTCTATCATCTGTAACCGTTCCCGCGGAAGCTTTGATACCCACGGTAAGACTTGGGAAGTATCAGGGTCTTCGTCTTCTTCGTCTTCTTCTGCTTTTTTCTTACCTCGCAAACACGTCAGTAGAGATTCCTTATCCAAAGCGTGGGGGAAAAAAGACAGAGACCTGTGGCTGCCACTGTGAATACACGCACAGAGCATCTCTATGATGTAAAGCAACTTCGTCGCCAGGCGAGGCCTAGGTAGACCTGTCAGCAGCCTGCGTGCAACTACTAGATAAAAGATCTCGCCGCAGATCAAGAGCTCCGCGCACGCCAATTTCTGAAAGGGTTCTTCAGATCCTGCCTTATATTTCTACGGGGGGGTTGGGGGGTGATAGGAAAGAGGCCTGTCTTGATAAGGAATACGTAGATAGAGCCAGCGAGGCTAGCAGGATTCGGAGAGAATAACTGATGCGAAGCTGGAGCAAACGAAAATCCGTCAAGAGTGTGTATTTAGATGGCTGGAATAGGTCACTTGCTACGTAGGTAGTTCTGACCTTTGGAGAGACCGAGTAGTAGTCGGTGCGCTCGCTGCCTGATTACACCTGCGGGATGTAACTTACAGGGTACTGAGCGGCAAATGTCTCTGACGAGCTCGCAGGTGTGTAGGACCTGACTCTAAACCTCGGGGCGGACTTGGTTTGTATAATAAGTAAATATATATCTATCATCTTTGGGATCTTCTATTCAGGCGGAGAGTTATATTCCCATAATGAATCTGATCTGCGAAAGTTAGAGATGAGACTTTGGTTTGTTAGAACTCCAAAACTCTAGATCGAGGGCTCTTGGCAGTTTACTTCTAAACTAGAGAATCTTCCTGTAATGCTTTCATAGCTGTACGTGAGCTGGTTTTTTTTTTTAATTCCGAAATAGGCAGCTTCAAGTTTGAAACTCAACTTGGATCCAGCACCCCCCTCCTTGATTGCAGTGCAGGACCCAGTTCAGCCCCGTGCATTCTCAGAAAGGCAGCTTCTGAACGGCTCACAGCCTTTTCAATTCCATTGCGTAAAATCAAACATCTGCATAAGGTAATTACTAGAAGCGGGACATCTAGAAGTTCACGAGATGAAGCTCTACCAAAAGCTTTGGAAAATCACATTTTCGTCTTTTATTACTTGAAGAAGAGGTACGTATAACTTTGAATTTCGAGATTACTGTACTTTCACAAGTCGCAACTCCAATCCAGTGAGAATCATACCGTGAGCTGGTAAGTTTGAATCGTTCAAAGAGGCAAATCAAACCCGATTTCAAATTCAAATCCCATTCTCTTGAATATGAACTCGAGCTAGAAGAGAAAACATGTTTGAGTTTTGAATAGACTCACTAGAGACAATTAGACCTTGGCTCGGAAAGTAATCTGCTCATGAGGATCATGAGGAGCAGACGGAGAGAAAAATAGGATATTCCTCCCAAAGCAAACAAAGTCTTTCAACACCATTAGCAGTACTAAGCATGTCGATTGTGAAATTCCAAAACAATGGTTGGGTTTACGGAGTACCAACAGCAAGCTCATTGGGATCTACGAGTCATCTTCAAAGCAGTACACAAAAGGAAAGGCCTGAAGCTTCTATACAGGGCTCCGGAGAAGCATACAGATACTACAACGTTCTAAATTCCATCTTTTACATGCTTATCGCAAGGACTCTGTTATCTGAAGAACGGATTGAAATCGAAAGGCGAACCCAAATGTCGTTCATTCCAGTCATGTATGTCATGAATACCCAACATACCGCTGCTACAATCTTAGCTTTCCACCGCTGCTTTCACTTTTGCTCCCTTCCGCGCGACGTAAATTCCAGATATTTATATTAGAGCTGAAAATCAAAGACACAGCGGACACCTATCCAGCGATCGCTCCGCCCGTTCCAGCGTGGATCCGAATTTAGACTCAGTCTTCATGGTATAGATGAGCTTAGTAAGGCAAGGGCAGACAGGTAGAGAATATAAGTCTTGATATAGCGAGAGAGGTCGAAGCGAGGCAACCATGATGGTCACCGATATCAGCAATTGAGCCCTATGCGAAGACTGCACCGACGAAGCAATACATATGCTTCAACTTACGAATAGGAAACTGGACTCTTCGCGAGTAGTAGATGGTGGGCTTTAGGATAGGATATGGGCATGAGTAAAGATAAAAGGTCGGCGGAAGAGGGTGATGTTTGCGATTCGCAGTTGGAAGCTGTATGATACCGAAGAACAATATCAGGGCAAGCGGTTCGTACATGTCTTAATCTTCTTTGTGTATTCTTGGTAGGCATCAGCGGAGGGAGTTTTCAAACCCTTCGCCTAAGCCCCTGATTTGAGCCGATTCGCTTGACCCTCATCTTTCATCTAGACAATAACAAAGGGTGAAGCTACACCAACCTAGAAGTAGTAGCAAAAGTCTCCCCAAACAATGCATTAGATCGCCATCGTAGTGGACTCTTCCGACACAAAATACACCACAGCACGCTAGGTTTCATATCGCAGTGTACCTAAAAGCCCGCTTAACGTCCCAGCCTGACAGCTAGCTACTTTACAATTAAAAAGGCCCCTGCATCCCATATCTTATTAAACACCAAACCCGTACAGGCAACAGGCCGTCACATCGATCACAGTGCTGTCGAGAGGGTTGGGTTCAGACGGAAGAAGCGGGCGCAAAGTTTCCGCCATAACGTCGATCACCTCCTACTTATTATCTGGGCATTGCCCGCTTTTCGCGGTACATACCCGCCTCTTATCACGACAAGCTACGCTAGCTCCACATCCCAACTCCGGCATTCATTGCCGAGTGGATACACAAGAAGTTGCGAGCGTACATAAACAGGCCTTCTCAGATAGGTCGAACTGGCGACTCCAATTCTCCGCTAGGAAAAAAAGATAGCTCTTCTGCAAACCGCTTGGAGCTCAGAGCCTTCATTGCTTGAAGATATATATGTACATCTCTGCCGTCGGTTTTGCTCACAACAACAACAACAACAGTCGATAGACGTAGCGAACATCGAAAATGGGACCAACTGAAGAAACGATCAGAGTCGCAGTGACTCAAGCCGAGCCTGTCTGGCTCGATCTCGACGCCTGCATCGCCAAAGCCTGCAAGCTGATCAAAGAAGCAGCAGCAAATGACGCCAAACTCGTCACCTTCCCCGAGCTCTGGTTCCCAGGATACCCGGCTTGGATCTGGGACGTACAGATGTTTCCTCGCCCCTTGCCCCACAGCCCAATCATCTTCCCAATTCCAAAGATCGATACCTACAATCGCAAGTGCTGACGAAGAAAGTAGGAAACGTCCCGTAGACTTCGTCCTCGGCACCACCTACCAAAAAAGTAGCCTCAAGCTCAACTCTCCGCAGATGCAAAAGCTTTGCGCCAGCGCAGCAGAGAACAACATCGCCGTCCACTTCGGCTTCTCGGAGAATGCGGATAATTCGCTATACATCTCGCAAGGCATCATCGGGCCCGACGGCCTCCTCAAGATGGTTCGCCGCAAGCTCAAGCCTACGCATATGGAGCGCACCGTCTTCGGGGACGCGAATGGCAACACGCTTAAGAACGTCGTGGATGTGGAAGGCGTAGGACGGGTGAGTTCTCTGGCATGCTGGGAGCATTTGCAGCCGCTTTTGAAATTTTCTACGATTCTGCTGAAGCCGAATATCCACGTAGGGGCTTGGCCGCCTGTTCATCCCTTTGTGGAAGGGGCTGGATTGTGGAGTATGTCGCGAGAGGGTTGCAGGAACTTGTCGAGGACGTTTGCGGTGGAGAGCCAGGCGTTCGTTTTACACAGTACTGCTGTGATTGGGCAGGAGGGAATTGACAAGATGGGCACGGAAGGGTCGATGTTTGGGGTTCCTGGGGGTGGGAGTTCGGCTATCTATGGCCCAGATGGAAGGCAGTTGACTAACGATATTGGAGAGACTGAGGAAGGAATCTTGTATGCTGATCTGGACTTTGATGAGGTGCTTAGGTCGAAGAGCTTTGTTGATGTTGCCGGGCATTACAGTCGGCCGGATATGCTATGGCTCGGGGTTGATGATAGGGAGAAGCTGCATTTGAGGGCTCAGCGGGACGAGGACAATGAGAAAGCGTAGGGCTTCGTCGCCATAGGGATATTCATGGACACTGAGTTGTATAGACGAGACATGCTGTTGTCGTGGGCAAAGCGAGAAGAGAGTATGCAAAAGATAAAAGGACTGTGAGGTGAAGATGCAGATATTAGTCTCGTTCATTTCATGACATCCTTACGTACCGAGCAGTTCCCATCTTCCATACTCCAGGTGTAATGCCTATGCCCACAAACCAACTCCGCCCGCCGTATACCGCAAGTTATCAATCCATTGCCACGAGAAAGGCCACATTGAATCTTCTTCCTCTGACTCGGGCCATTCCTCAACTGTGCCCTCTCAGCCCTTCTTCACTTCGGCCACCCACGTCCTCATAGCCTTCGCACTGTCGTGCGCGGCCCTGAAAAGCCCCCTCTCCATCTCATCCAAACCTCTCAAGAACTCAACCCCATCATTTCCCACTCTCCCGCCACCACTCCTCTGGCTCGCCCCCGCATTACCTGCATGATCCGAGATCTCAGCGGCCCTCGCCCTGAACGTCTCCATTAAAACATCACACACCTCCTCCTCCTCAAACAGCTCCAATATACGTGCTCCCAGCCCATAGAAGTTCTGCGCCAGAGCCCTTAGATCTACGCTCTTGGGATCGGCCTTTAAAGCATTCATTACGCGTGGTGCGAGAGACGGGGGGAGGTCCAGCGTGACGAGGGATTTGGTGGAGTTGGGTGAGGACACGGCGAGCATTTCGGCCAGCCAAAGGGGCAGCTCGACGCGCGTGCCGGATTTCAGGGAGTGTCCGGCGTTGTTATCTAGGTATCCGAGGTTGGGCACGTCGAGCTCGAATGTGCAGGGCACTTTCTGAAAGGTGTTAGTGGGGTCGTTGTTATGGTAGTGTGAGCATATACTTGGGCGTCGGTGAGAATTGCATCGATGTCGTAATAGGACATTTTAATGATGACGGCGGCTGCTACTGCCCTCGCGTTTGATTGAGCTTGGAATACATCGATTGTTGTTGTCGTGGTCGATGCTGGGTGACACAAACACAGAGCGACATTCCGGCCTGGAGCTGGAGACGCGAAGTGGTGTTGAGGATCGGATCCCTGCCATTCTCGGCAGTGACGTTGAAAGCCTGATAATTATTATATCAGCAGTTCCTATCCATACACTCTTCCCAGATCCTTCCATTGAACATCCGTCTCTTCCGCAACACAATTGAAGCTTGGATCCAAAGATTTTCAATTGAAACCAACCATCATGTCCGCAACCATCCTCCGCACAAGCACCGCTGCGCGCTCTGCTCTCCGAGCTGGAGCTTGCAAGAAAGCCGCTGCTATGGCAAGCACCAGCTTTGTCCGCGGCAAGGCCACTCTCCCAGATCTTCCTTGTGCGTATACCTCTCTATTTTAGATTTATATTTCCTAACAAGATTGATAGATGACTACGGTGCGCTGGAACCCTCCATCTCGGGCAAGATCATGGAGCTCCACCACAAGAACCACCACCAAACCTATGTCAACAGCTTCAACACCTTCACCGAGCAACTGCAAACCGCCGAGCAGAAGCAAGATATTGGTGCCCAGATTGCGCTGCAGCCCTTGATCAATTTCCACGGTGGTGGCCATATCAACCACAGCTTGTTCTGGGAGAACCTTGCGCCTAGCAAGAATGGAGGTGGTGGTGAGCCGACTGGAGCTTTGAAGGTATAGATGTATTCCCTTCATACATTTGTAAGGTGGGATGAAAATTCTGATTTGGATATTTAGACGGCCATCGAGTCTAGCTATGACGACTTTTCCTCCTTCAAGACAAAGTTCAACACCGCGCTCGCCGGCATCCAAGGCAGCGGATGGGCGTGGCTCGTCAAGGACAACGAGACTGGCCAGGTCCTGATCCGCACATATGCCAATCAGGACCCAGTTGTAGGAAAATTCACCCCATTGCTGGGTATTGATGCCTGGGAGCATGCGTACTACTTGCAATACCAGAACAGGAAGGCGGAGTACTTCAGTGCGGTTTGGGACGTGATTAACTGGAAAGCGGTTGCGGGACGCTTGTAGCGAGTGGCTCACTGTATAATACTTGCTTGGAGCAATAATGAGAAATGCGAATACCTATTGACTGAGGCCAAGTTTGGCGTGCGAGTACGCTGAGTGGAATGACTGCATCTTCAAGATGACTCTACCAATTCTCGCGAACGCAATATTATCCCAGTAGCCCTGAGTGCGAGTTTTTTTTCCCTTACACAAGTGCGATTAGTTTTGATTACAACTGCGCGGTGTTTATTATCGCTTCCACTTCTACTTGCTCCGGTACTTTCTCTTCTGGATTTTGGATTTTACAAATCACTTTATGGTCCACTTTCGCAACTAGCTTGCCTTGATAGCCTGCTGGTATATTGTTCGAGAAAGGCCTAGTCTGCCTCGATTCTGCTCTCCGTAGCATGCTTATGGACGATTTGTAGCCTACTCCCCTTTTCTCGTTGACTGGAGGTTGACGGGTCGAGCATTCTACGCTTTCACGCTTATCAACATCAAACAGTCCCCATATCGTCACTTGACTGGGTTGCATCTCAGTGCACTCTTGAAGCCCACTGCTGGAGAAATCGCCATACGCCATCGGCCTGCGCTGTTTTTTATATCTCTTAACGCCAACGTTTCTCCCTCCATAACGCCTCCAGCATACCTATGCGCCACCGTATCACTCCAAGTCTTTGCCGGTCCGACCCGGTCGTCTACCCTCATGGTAATTGGGCAGCAATACTAATGAACCGGCAATTACTTGTACTTACCGTACGCTCCTCTGGGATATGCTGTTGGTGATGATTGTCTTGGCCCTGTTGGCTATTCGGCTGTCGCTTTGGTGGTCGGGACATAGTTTCCTAGGAGATGAAGCCAGGCATGATAAGCATGAGGAGTTCTGTTGGAAGAAAACATACCTCTTTCAAGAATGTTGGTCTTACCATCCCGATGGTCCCAGTGCCATATTCACCTATGAAGTCTTGCTCTTTTGTCTTTATTCAGTGAGCGATGTCTATGGCGATGCTGAAGGCTGGAGCCACCTACCTGCGTTGCTGCCGCGGAACCGGATCTTACGATTCCCTTCTCCAAGACGCTGGCTTAGCTGTCACGGCTGAGAACGGGTATATCGTCACAGGCAATGATTCTTGGAATTGAAATATAGCACGGCTGATTGTTGAAATTGCAGACCTAGAATTCTCACTGTTGGTATACTGGTGGCACTTCATCCAGCGACGTAAAAAGATTTTGCCTGTGCCATGACAGCAAACCGTGGCGAAGAATCTTAAAAGATTTGCTTCCTAGTGTACGCCTGACTACCCGCCAGGCTCCGCATATTCATCATCAAAGAGCGAGGGGGTTCCCTCAGCAGCCAAAGCTGAGTTTGTGGTTGGGTGAGGGGTGCCTGACGAGGCAGGTACCAGGTCCAGTGTGCTCTCCTTTGGGATATGGGTCGGGGGGCTACGGTTCTTCACCTGTACGGGGTGCCCCTTACGAAACTTCAGCTCTCTATCCTGCGACAGAGAAGAGTCTAAAGAGCCGAAATTGAATCAATCGACACGCGTCCTCTTCAAGAGATTTCCTTTACCGGCGATTTCGAACGAGCCCTTCTTCTACCTCGACCACCACGCCGACTACGATCTATACCTGACGAGCATACCGATTGAAAATACTAAGAGTATTTTCGATAGAGGGGGAACGGGTGTGAGAGGTGGGAAAGGATTTAGGACGATCTACGATATTGCGCCTTCGAAAAGCCGTTCGCATGCATACTTAGCCTTTCGTGGCCTCGAAAATTTGGCTGACCTCCGGTCCGGCCTCGAATTCTCTCGACACTATATCGATACCGATATACGTTACTTAAGCTGTAACTTGCTTTCGGGTTTTTCCTTTAACATAAGATTATCCTTTTCTGTGATCCATCCTATCTGTAAAGGAAGGGCATAGTCGACAGCAGCTGCACTACACCAACTTGAAAAGCTTTTTAAGGTTGTATAAGAATTGCGATACCACGGGATCCGAAACCCGAGAATACCTATTAGAAATCTTTTCCCCCTTCGTGGTTTTAATTCTTTATTAGATGGTACTTTATATATAAGACCTTTACTTAGTACGTCGCCGTACCCCATGAGAGGTCCTTAGGGCGGCATTCTGCTACCCGCCCGACGTAAACCAATACTAGTACGAGGTAACACTACTACTACAACGTCACAAGCGTAAGTGTTACACCCTGAAGGTAGGTAGGGTAACCAGGAGGTCTAAAGTGGAGATTTTAGACTTTCAAGGCATCCTCAGGCTGTAACACTTAGACCTGTACCGTGGTACCTACAGTACTTGGGATATGGGCCATCATTCACGATCAGGGAATATCAGACTTCCAAAGAAGTAAAAATTAAAATTAAATTAAAACAAAAAGTAAGTGAAAATTAAAACACAGTTTAAAACTAAAGATTAAACTAAAATCAAAATTCAAATTACCACTAGAATTCGGTCCGAATATTCGATATGACGTCCGTCAGCCAATCCCACCTCGCCCGCTGGGGCTTGACGGAGAGCCGAAGACTGGACGTCCCCTTTCCTCTTTCATCCCGCATCTCTAGAAAGTTCACAATCAGCATTTCCGTTGGTGGCCGCCCAGAGGCTGCTAGGCCGCAATTACGTGACCGCTGTCTGGGATTCTGCCTCAGCATAGAAGCTGAAGATACATATACATATACATATATATATATATATATATATTCATCCTGCAGACGATTTGCAATTCTCAGTCTCTAATCTCTCCTGCCACGTTTAGCCAGCGAAAACGAGAACCGCGCGGATTCTAATCATCAAAAACTTTTTTTTTTCTGTCCTTCCTGGGAGAGGCACGACATTGAACGACCGACGCAGGGCTGCCCGTCCGACTACCGGTACCTCGTCTCCTTCTCTAGGACCCTGCTGAAAATTATCGGTGTCCCATCAATTGCCGATGGCAGCGAAGGCGTTTTTGATTCCGTGATGGCCAGGGTTCAGAAGGGGAGCTGCGTGTGGAATGTCAGCAGCTAGTACTAGGTGGGTGGTTTTCCAATCGCTTGAGCCCCTCGACCCCTTACAGTATGAAGTAGGTAGGTACCGGTACTATATCCTGGTGGTTTGTTTAAGCGAGAGAAATAGTAGTACCGGTACCGGTACCTCTGTAAATAGGGGTCTTGCATCTTAAACAGGCGCGCCTGCCCGTCCCCATTCTAATACCTACTGCCTCCTCCCCTCCTAGAAGTACTACGTACAGTAGTATGAATACATGTCGAAAGTATACGTAGTAGTTTTGCAAGGGATTTTACTAGGGCTTAAACCAATCAACTTATAGGAATCTAGCTTTGAAAGGTATCTTTAGGTCGGTATTTGGTCTGTGCAGTTGAGCTGACGGGGCTTGGAGCCATTCAGAAAGCACCGCTCTGTGATTTACGTAGTACTACGTATGAGGCTAGACTGGGTCCGACATTTAAACATCCGGGGGACGGGGGGAAGTAGAAGCGAATATATATATATATATATATATATGATTTATGTATATATGTATGTATATATTTCCGCGTTTGGGAATTCTTTCTAGGTACGTAGTATGTATGGGCAGGCTATGGTTCCTATGGGTCGCATGTGTATCATTTTGCAGTAGCGCCAAAGGCGTCCACGTTTTCAAGACGTTCAAGCGGTCCGGTAACTGCGGACTACTGAAATAAATAAAACCGTTTACTTAGACGGACGGAGATAGCTACCGGTACGTGGCAGTGGCGGCTTGTTCTGTCACCTGGGACTTCGACGTACGGGTTTTGCATGTGAGTGAGTAGAGAACCCCACTCCCCAACTCCATACGGAGGCTAGATAAGTAAAGGCAGGGTAAATGCAAATGATCCCTTGCTCGTATGTCAGTCATCCAGTGCGGAATACCTAGCACGACGACGAAAAAAGGTCTTGGAAACCCCGGTAGGGATTACTGGAATGCAGTGATGTACGTAGTAGCACCGACAACCGCGCTAAACCCGCCTTCCACACTTCCAGTTTCGTTCAACTGCACGAAAAAAAAAAAAAAAAGAAACTGCGTACTATATATAGATATGGATATACTACTAGATATGGATATATATATCCTAAAGTAACGGAAACGAGAAATAAGAGCCATCACGTCACCACAATCCATGCGCCGTACAGGTAGCCTCCGTACTCGTTCGTGATAAAACAGAGAGACAATCGCGAAAAGTCCTCCTCCGCCGCTAGTAAGAAAAAAGCTTTTTACGTAAAAGAGAATTAGGGAAAAAAAAGGGGGGGTTTGAGCGTACGATATGTCGTCTCGAAAAGAGGTTTTAATTTAGCGACTTCGTAAGGGGGCTAGCGAGCTAGCTAGCTAGCTACTCCGTATGGTGAAGTAGGTAAGTAAATATAGTAGTACCTTCGTAAATAGAAAGAAATAAAAAAAATTACCAGCTGGTATTATTTACAGAGTAAGGGAGTACGGGAAACAAAACAAGTTGGCGCAAATAGACGGGGGGGGGAGGGGGTTTCAGCTTGGTTGATGCCAGAATACCGGTTGGTAGTGGAATTCGTTGGGGGGGGGGGAATTTGGCTTGATTAGCGGGCGTATGTACGTACAAACTTCACAATTGGTACCGACTTAAACCACGGGTATACAGGCCTGAGTGTTACAGCCTGGGGTTGCCTTAAAAGTCTAAATCTCCACGGGAAACCTCCTGGTTACCCTACCCTGGGGGCGTACCACTTACGCCTGCGACGTTGTACTAGGTACCCGTTGGCTGTAGGAGGGGGCGCGAAAGTAGTTTTGGTTTTGGTATACCGGTAGCGTACGGTGTTCGGTGGATGGGTTTGCATATGATACTGTGGAAGGGGGGCGGGGATTGCCACCGATAGATGGCTAGGTCGGTACTAAGGAGAGATCTCGGGGTCCGGGGAACTGGAACACGATGCTGCTGCAGGGTTGGAGCTAGGTACGACTTACTGTACGTGTAGAGAAAGAGGCAATATTCTCCTTGGGATGTACGTACTATCTTGTAAGCGTCAGATGCCGAATTTCCCCTCCCGGGCGATTTTATACGATTCGTGTAATTGCAAACGAAAAGGATAAGAGAACAGTAAAGTCTAAATACCGTGAGAAATTCAGGGCAATTCTTTACTTAACTTTATTATCATTCTTCCAGCAAGGGAATCTGGCAACGCAAGGGAGACTTTTATCCATGTCATTTCGTATGTTTGTTTATTTGCGTGATGCGCTAGCTGGCTATCATATGCCAGGATATCCAGCTCGGCTCGTACACACGTCTATCTATCTGTCGATCTTACATTGTCATCATCATCATCATCGTAATGCATCATCACACAAAAATTCCTGCCTGTCTGTGTATCCGCCCGTCCATCTCCCCTGCTACGTTCCGAAATTCCAGATCCCGGAGAACAGACGGGGAGAGAGGGCACCAGGTACAAACAGAGCCTCTCTGCGGAAAAAGGGCCGAAAACAAACGCAAATCCCAAAATACCAGGCCCAATTGCTAAAGCTCCCCCTCGCTGTTTGGTTCCGACTCATGGGCGCCGTAAGACCGTCCCATTCCAGCCGGTGACGTCGACGAATTTGCCGCCCTGTCCCCAACAAAAATCGCAGTCATCAATCCATGCCGAGAGGGAGGAGAAGATCAAATTTCCACTGGATGTGATTTGCCTCGCCAAATCCAGGATGGGTACCAACTTGCGTCATGAATTTGCACTTGTTAGGAGGGAAGGAGGCGAAATAATTAGCCCTCGGATGTGTCGTGGCTCGGTCCTATCGTTGAAACTCTGGGCGGTGAGCTGTGCCGAGCCGAGCGCTCGGCGCGGAGGGAGACACCCTGATATTGTTCGTCTGACTCTTTGACCCTCGACCCTCGACCCTCGACCCTCGACCCTCGACCCTGACCTCGACCTCGACCTCGACCTCAGACCCTGACCTCGGACCCTGACCCCGTGATGTCGCCCCTAGGTTTGAGGTCGCCGGAAGTAGTCTATTTCTTGCTTTGACGGCTGCGACCGCGAGACTGGATACATGTGTCAGCTACTATTACTAATACTCGATGTTGCAAGATTCATTCACGAGGGGAGGGAAAAGGCAAGTAAGGGGCTTACCGTTTCGCTAAAGGCCACGTAGTGATGCTCAGCCTGATAGCGGTTCTCTTCGTAGAGCAGGTTCAGGGGTTTCCCGTCGAACATCAGGTCGGCGTCGTCGATGGTGTAGGGCTCCTTCCAGTACTCTTGCGACGACTGGTCGGATGACTTTTCGTCGGATGTTGTGAGGTAGTAGGACTGTTTCTGCGCCTGCTGGTGATGGTGCGATGCGGAAGATTGGGAAGGCATCTTGAGTGGTGTTGTTGGGTTGGAAGGTTAAAGAGTCACAATAGTCGTTGTGGTTGCTGTGGTTGCTGTGGTTGTTGTTGTTGTTGTTGGCGTTGTTGGCGTTGTTGGCGTTGTAGTAGCGGTAGTCGAAGGTGAATCAGGAGCAGTAGAAAGGAGAAAAAGCGAGATGCAGAAGGAGGCTGTTTGTGAGGTGTATATATAGGTATGTGTGTACGTATATATGTGTGTGTATATATATGTATATGTGTGTGTGTATATATGTGTGTGTTATATATATGTATGACTGAGACAGCAGTCGGGTTGGGGCTGGGCGCTGGGCGCTGTACGCTGTACGCTAGTAGGGGTACGCTGATGGTGTTTGGGTTGTAGGTATCGGATGTCTTTCCTGAAAGGTGTTTTCGTGTGATTGTACAAGTATGATAATAGAACAGAAACCATGTACGGAGGTAGATAGTTCACGAGCGCCACGTCCCTATGGACGTACACAACCTCTTATAGTTGTATCTCCAACGCACTGATGACATGTCAAGCAAGCAGCAAGCAAAGCAAGCATGCTCCACCGCTCCACCCGCTCGTCCCAAGTCCCCAAGTCCCAACTTCCGAAATCTTTCCTTATTCGCAACAGTCCGAGTGTCATCATGGCAGCCTTATGATCTGGACCGTGCCGAGAGCCAAATTCCAATAAACAGTATGAGCGGCGTGTGACAGGCATCATCGATCAGACCCGCACCCTAGTCGGTGTGTATTTGTTGCCATGGATTGATTTGGATTTGCTATGTTGCTCGGTTGAGTGGCTGGCTGGCTGGCTGGCTGAGCTGAGCTGAGCTGAGACTCTTCACGTGAGTGAGTAGGTAAACACAGGATTACCTTAGCAGGATCATCACAGCACGATCATCTCAGCAGGATCAGAGGCAGCCCTACTCACTGTCCGTCCGTAACATGACATACATATCTCCGATTCTCCGACAACCACATGGGAGGAGACATGGATAGATCGATGGACATGGACATGGACATGGCATGTGGCTTCAGTTACAACTACAACTACAACTACACCTACGTTGTACTGCCGGTACTCCGGTACTCCGGTACTGTACTTACTACCACGGTAAATTACTTAGCAGCCCAGCCTCTCGTCAGTGTCGTCACATCTTGCTGGCCAGGAAGGCCTTGTCAGATATCACTGATATGCAGATGAGAGATGGGATGGCATACCGAGCTACCTAATCTAAGATGGAGATTTTACGCCAATGCTATGACGAACTTCTGTCCGCGATCGATCTGTGAGACTGTGACTGTAACACAGCCCGGCGTTGAGAGATGGACAGCACATTACGCCAAGTTTGCCATTGTTGTCTATCCGTAGCTGACGCCAGTTCCATCGTTCTGGAAGCCTACCTAGTCGACCGACCATCACCTGCCGTGAAACATCTCGATGATCGAGATTGACAGAATTCGTTCCATATGCTGTGCAACTATAAGTAGTACACTTGGGAATAGCTTCCATACGTCTCATCCCCCGCGGTTTCGCCACAAGCCTGCACGAACCCTCTCAGAATAGGTACATGCATGCATACCCAGCTAGACCACATTGCGGAACCGAAAAAGCCTTTACTTAGAGATCAAAGCTCAATAAATAGTGAAAGTTTTTAATAACAGTCCGGAGCCCTGCCTGCACCATACTCCGTGCTTTTTTTGGCCTTGTACAGCACACGTGATCAACAAATCAAGCATCCATTACCTCTTCTAGAGCTGATTCCGATCTCTCATCTCATTTAACCATCAGGCTAAATACCATCGAAATAGAGTTTGGAATTCGCGAGTCGAGCATAAGCACTACGTAGGTACTTAGCAGATGAAATACCGTATGCCGATTCATTCAACCGGGTCGCCGACTCTGAAAAAGAAATTAATTCATCTTCGCGCATCTATCGCCAAATGCTTATTCCCTTGATACTGCAGCTTAATTCTTAACGCTCGGCTACAGAGTATAGGGGTGGCCCCTTCCCCTCCATATTACGACCTCTACCAAGATCGACTTCAGCTCTGGTATCATCGGATCAGAGAATCATATACGCACGTATGTATGTATATACCTTATGTATATATGTATATATCCTTTCTGAAAAATAAAAAAGCGAGCCCCATCCTGCGCTGTGCTTATCAATAATTATGGGCGAACAATCAAAAGTCGACTTTTCAAATAGTTGTAAACGAAGCCAGAGAAGCCGGCAGCGTACGTTTTACGTTTGTTTACCTCTGCTCTTGCAAGTTGCAGGTGCGCTTGCAGGTGATATCTGCCAAGCCGCCGCGCTTGAAGCGAGCTCACGTGTTTCACATTGTACATACGGAAGTGTAGACAACTGCTCTCTCTCTCTCTCTCTTAAATAAATCAGACGCTTCTTTCGTACTACTTTCGCTAACACCTCATCTCGTGCTCTACCTAAGAGAAGTTCGAATTTTCGCACTCGGTTGATTTTGAATACTCGCGATTTACTAGCCAACTGATCTTGCGAATAGCTCCAATTCGAACTGGCCTACACGATCGGCCCAGCTTTTTTACTTTACGGAGTAGGGGCGGCCTCGAAATCGCTGGATACCTATCTTAGAAATCCGAATCAAGTTGTTCGTCTTTGTTTTTGGAAGCCTCTCTTTCTACCTTTCTTTTTTTTCCCTCTTTTTTTTCTTCTTTTTTTTTCTTTTTTTTCTTTTTTTTTCTTTTTTTTTCTTTTTTTTTCTTTTTTTTTCTTTTTTTTTCTTTTTTTTCTTTTTTTTCTTTCCTTTATTCTCTGCCTACTCGAGAAGACGTTACGGTTACATTCGATTTTCAAGAATCAAAATATCTGCATCACGTATCACACATTGCGCGCAGCTACTTTTGTTTACACCCTCGCGTTATTCTGCCTACTTCGCTGTTCGGTTTGTTTGCAATCATTGCATAAGGATGTTTGGAATTTAAGGAAGTATTTCCAATGCAATGCAATGCAATTCGATTCAGCTATGGTATCATCTCTCCTGAGATTCGATATAGCCCGGAAACTATTCCCCGTGAGAGCAAATAGCCTCTCAAAAAAACACTTCGATTCAAGTCCCACCCGCGCAGTCCCCAAACCAGAAAAACCCCAGTCGCTCCAAGGTGTTCACTGTTCAGATTGCTCAGCATCACCCATCACCTACATTCTGCAAGTCTCTCGCCTCTCCCCTTTAACGAGACTTGCTGCTGCATTCGCAGTCATCATGCTTGCACTGCTTCGCCTTGCAAGCCGCATCGCCATGCTGGCACTCGCACTCGCACTTCTTGCCCTCGTGGTGCTTGCACGCATGCAGCTTGTGGGAGTGGGGTTGAGCCTTGACCAAGACCTTGAAGTTCTCGCCGGTCTGACCGACGGCGTGGACCAGGCACTCGTCGCCGTAAGGCCACTCGCCTTCGAACTCATCCTTGGCGTCGTACTCTGCGAAATCGGACTTCTTGACCTCGTTGTCGAGGAGGATGGTCTTGGCGGCCTCGAAGGCTTGGGCGCGGGTCGGATAGGTACCTTCGACTAGGGTGGGACTCAGAGTCAGTACTCCCTTTCAAATAGAACGGAAAGATGTGAATGAAATATTCCAAGAGAATGGATAGGATGTTTCAAGACCTGATCAGGACTGAAGAAGCCCCCGAGATCACGTCAAAAAGGGGGAGGGGGAAACTCTAAGACAATACGTACCTTCGGTGGTCTGGATGCCGCCGATGCGGTCGTTGTTGTAGTCAATGGTGGTTTGGAGGACTGGCGCATTCACCTATCAGTTCCCGTTCGAGCAAATCGGGGAGTCAAAGTACTGACCATAGTGGAGGTGACCCTCAACCTCACCATTAACGTTACCCTCGAAACCAGTGTTGGGCTTCGTATCCAGGCAGACCTCAAACTCTTGGCCAGCTGGGGCCCGAGCGAAGACGGTGACCTCATCAGCATGCTTCCACTTCTGGAAGGCAGTCTCGGATTTTTGCTCATAGACTTCGAAGTCGTCCTTGACATAGCCCTCCGACTAAAGAAGGATCAGTACGGTGTTTTGAAGCCGAGGGGAGGGGAGGGGATGAAAGGAAACGGAAGAAAAGGAGCTTACGGCAAGACCGGCGTTGGCTGCTAGCTTTGCAGCGGCCAGGTCAGTGAAGGTGCCCAGAACATCGACGACACGGGTGGCTCCTGACTTGTCATCGGCGAAGTTGGTAATGGTGCGCTTGACGTGGTAGAGGAGGTCAGACATCTTGACTGTGTCTGATCGAAGTGTTTGGAAGTGTTGGGGGTGGAGGAAGCAAGTGTGAGTTCTCAACCTGATTGTATGTGTTGGATTGATGATTGAAATCCAGGTTGTAGAAGTTGTTGTGTGAATCAGAAAGAAGAAGATGTCTAAGAGGGGGAGCCTGAGTATATATAGTCCCGACTTTTGGCCGTCCTCTGTTTGCGCGTCCTTGATGCATTCATTCACCGCAGCACGTGGTGTTTGGGGAGAAAGGTGGTCTGACATTAGCACGACAATGGAATGATTAGGCAACGGTGAATGAATGAATGAATGGAAGATTCCTTTGCTTCTCCATGCTATACGATCAGATGTTGCTTCACGTTAATTCAGAACTGGTGATGGATAGGCCAATTTGTATCAACTTGGTGTTTGCTTCCCCTGGCTCATTTGCACAAAACCAAGGACCACCTATGCATTTCGGTCGAGGTTCCTCTCCTTATATATCACACCTTACAACTTAACAACTTGACCAGATACTTGACCCAGATACTTGATCAGAAACTTGACCAGAAACTCAAGAAAAGAGCAATGTCTCCGTTCTCTCAGCTCCAAGCCACTCTCGGCTACGGCGGAGGCATCGACAGAAACTCCTCCCCAATCTTGAACTACATCGACGAGTTCGACCACCACTTCCCTCGTCACCACCGCTTCGTCAACTGCTTCATTCCTCGCTTCGACCTGGAAGAGAGTCCATGCAGCTATCACCTCTAGCAAGTACCCTGCCTTCCCTCCTCCTTCTTTTTACCTCGCTCGATTATTCCCGCCAGGAATTTTCACCCCGTAGACATATCTCTGGAGCCACGAATCATTCCCAAACACTTAATCTGGGTGGTATGTAGGTATAAAATGCAACAACAGAGCTGATGTGACCTCTCATAGCGGAGCCGCGACATCCCAGACGCAGGCGTGAACGACAGCACCGTTGAGGCCCACGACAACCACACCCTAGACAAGACCTCCCGCCCCGGCCCCGGTTCCGAGAGACAACAGCAACGACAACAAGGTGAACAAAGAAGAAGAATACGACGACGGTCCAGAGAGATGAGTCCGTGAAACCGACATCCGAGATCATGAACGGGACAGACGAGAGCAACAGCAACAGCAACAGCAGCAGCACACTCAATACCAACCCATCACCACCTCCTCGCCAACCTACCCACCGCCACCACCGCCACCATCAATCCAGCCAATGCAGCCAACCCCCCCAGCGCAAAGCCATCCTCCTCACCACCACCGCTGCCGCGGCACCGGCTCCTACAGCATTCCAGTCCCAGTCCCAACCGCAACCTCAACCACAACACCAGCTCGTCGGCCAGCAGTGGCCACCGCGTCCTGCTTTCGGGGCGGTTCGGAGGGGAGTTCACCCGGACATTTGCCTTCCCGAGCTCCGTTGTCGAGGAGGGCGTGCAGGCTAGGATGGAAAATGGGGTGTTGAGTTTGGTGATTCCGAAGAGGCAGATGGGGGGAGAGAGAGGAAAGAGGAATATGGGGAGGAAGGTGCCGATTCTGAGAGGGAGGTGGTGGAGAGATGGACGTCAGGGTGAGGGTGAGGGTGAGGGTGAGGGTGAGGGTAAGGGCGAGGGCGAGGAGGGGAAGGGGGGGAGGCAGGCTATTGGAAGAGGGGAGAATGGGAACGTGCCTGTGCTTGTTTGAGGGTTCCTACAGGAGCCTATATTTACCTATATCGATGATATTGCGTGATCTTAGTGAAGGGGTAGAAATTTTTCAATAGGGAAAAGTTTGATTCATGGGACTCGGTACCACGGAACGTAATTTTCCTTTTTTTCTTGCTTCTTTTTTGATATTGTACAAAGTAATAAATACAATGAACCGTGATCCTGTGATCCATCAAGAAACCAATCCATAAGTTTCCATCCGGCTACCCTAGTCCAACCCGCCGAGCCAGAAGATGATCGATCGAACAACCAATAGAAACCCTCGACATGCCCCAGACTCCTTATTCAGGAATCATTATGATTTCGGCTGTAACGCTTTCCTCCAAGTCGTCGCTCGTCTCGTCTTCATCCACACTGACATGTGTAGAAGTAACCTCAATCTTCGGTCCCTCTTTGGAGATCTCCGTGTCCTTTAAAAACTGCTCCGTAACACTTCCACTTCGATCATCAAGAGTGCTGCCTTCGTTATTTTCGACCACAGTGTCATCGCTCGAAGCACTATCACTTCTCTGTCGTCCAGATCCATAAGATTCGAGGGTGTCTGATTCCGTCACAGTCGATCCACCGACATCCATGCCGAAGCCTTCAAACCCAAATCCCAGTCCTACATTACCAGCCTCACTGACGCTACTCTCTTCAAGACTCGCACACTCGCCAACCTCACCCGTACTCTCTGGTTGGCCGTCGAAATCGAGTCCTAAGCCGGGACCACTCTCCGTACTGCCGTCCATTTCCCTACCACCGCCCATCGTCATATCCGCGCCCCTGTAACTCGATCCCCTCGAACCACTGTTCGAACTCGTTTGCTCCCGCTCCCTCATATCACCCCACACAGGCGAACTCGTCATCTTCAGCCCTCCAAACCCACCCCAGCGCTCTTTGATTTCCTGCAAGCGGTTTGGGTCCCAAGCCCGGCGGACAGTAAACCTCGCTATGTCTCTCTGGAGACCCGCCATCATGGTATTGATATCATTACTGTTGGTCCATCCCTCGTGGGGCCCGAGTTCCACCCTCTGAGCAGCACCACCAAGCCCAGCAATACTCACGCCGCCGCTGCCCTCGCTGTGCTCATCCCTGCCATGCTCGTCGGCCTGATACACATCCCGAGTCCGGATGCGCCTGGCTCCGAACTCGTCCACCTCCTGATCGGAATCAATATCACCATCGGATCCCTCTGAGCCAAAGCTTCCGGTGCTCAGCGATTGGTCGGGGAGAGGAATAGGGGACTTCTGCCGGCGCCACCGGTCGCGGTCGTAGTTGCGGCAGGGCTTGCACTTGTACGGTGCGTGCTGGGTGATAATCTCGACCGCAGTGTTGCAGAAGTGGTTAACTAGGTTTTCCATTGGGAAGTAGCCATCGAAGCTTTCGATTTGACGGAGAGGGGGATCCTTGGGTGGGAAGATGGAGGTGGCGGTAGAGGTCGGGGCCGAGAGGTTAGATCGGACGGGATTAGCGTGCGCATATGCGTATGGACCATCCACCCGACCGCAGTAGAACATTTCGAGATCGCGGGTGTGGTGGCATGTGTACTGGGGCAGAATGAGCTAAGGGAATCCAGAGGGGGGAGGGAGGAAGGGAGGACTTGTGGCTTACCAAGATATGGTGGTGCACACACATCTTGTGGATTGGTGGCTCTCAGAGAGGTATCTTGTTCGTATGTTATGTGCGCGTCGAGATTGGACCTGTTGTGTCTGCCTGCATATGTCGCAGATCGTTTTGATTCCGTTCTGTTTGAGGTTAACGACGAGAACGGAAGGTGCGACACGCGGTGACAATCAACATCACAGCCAACTTCCAGAAGGAACTACGGCAGATCTCGGAGTTGAGCAGCAAGACTAGCATTTTTTTTGGTTGTTTCGCCTTTGTGTTGTGTTGTTTTGAGGGAACCCAAAACAAAAAGAGTGAAAAACAGAATATAATCGACAGACCCACTTCTTACTCGGCTATTAGCCTGACCCTCTTTTCGGCCCTTATCGCCATACGTACTCAATCAAGGGAACCATCCAATTGTTTTATGCTGTGAGTGCCTCAAGATTATCGGAAAACATGTCTTATTCTTGTGTAGAAGGGATCCTATCGTAGTAATTCCTGACTTTCCCGATACATTGGACTACTCTTCACATCTCTTAAGCATTAGTTTCTACACTCTCCTCTCCTGAAACTCAATCCTTCTACCATCTCCCTCGTATAGAGCCGATCTCTGCAACTGTGTTGCTATCTCATTTCGATGTATGAATATCCCGGGCTTAGTATCGAAGAAGCAGTGGTCGCTGTCTTCGGGAGAGGGGTTCGGCGGTCTCGGAGTAGAAGCAATATCTCATAGGTATAAATGAAAAGCACATGGCATCCCAGACGATCCCGAACCGCCGTTTGAGATTCGCGGTCCCAGAAAGCGTGACTTCCGCAACCATGAAACTCGTCTTTCACGCATGTCAGCTGAAGTGCCTAGATACTGTGGAAAGGGAGCATACGATCCACTTCATCGCCATCGCCAAACGTGAACATTTACTCTGTATCTCCACCGCCCTGATCTCCGTTGAGTACATCCATGGAACGTCGGGGACTCCCGTCCCTAAAATCGCGAAGGATACGAAGAAGGAAGTGGTAGCTACAGCACCGTCTCGAGAAGAATGACTGCGATCGGATCATCTTGGTGCTATAGCGAAAGTGATGGTAACCCATCAGATGCAATAAGCTAATGCGGAGGTCATCATTACTACTTCGCAATATTCGTAGCCTTCGATCACGAACTAAAATAGTACAGAGAAGTTGGAGTCTTCGACTGGGCTTGTAGCTGCGGAAATCCGAGGACCTGTTATTTCTGTGAGAGAAGACCCCGGGCTAAGGCGAAGAGGTCTTACTAAAGAGTATCCATATCGAGAGCCTATCCGTGAGAAGGTCGGTGTTGACTCCAATTGATTATCTCTGCAGTAGTCCGGTAACAAGTCGTGGGGTATCAACACTAATCCAGTTCGTTTGGGTAATCAATGTTTTGATTGTATCGACATCAGATAGATGAGTAGAGAGCACTTGTGTCCGAGTCTTTCCTGATAGTACAAACGAGGAAATAGCTACGAGGAAGGATATCTCATGGCTCGTTAGCATGGCTGTTGACGCAGGAGATTACAAGGCGCTTGAAACAAGAGAGAGATGGCAAAGAATGTATAAAAAAAACAGACCTAGGTGAAGCGCTTTCGAAGCTAGAATGCCAACACCCCCCCAAAATTGTAAAACTAAGCTCGCTCTTGATTTATTCATCTGTATGGATAAGCCGACGCTATGAACGAGGGACGTTGTTCGAAGGATCAGCTTAGACTGACATATAGACGGCGTCAAGTTTTGCGATCGAGGCGACGGAATGCAATTCCTATTTTGCCTAAGATACGTCCAAGTAAATCTATCAAGCGTCTCGGAGCGTCGCATCTGCTCTTGACTGGGTAGCAAATGGAGCCGAAGGAGATGGGCTCTTGCGTGCCGATAAATTGATCTTCACAGAAGCATCACATTTGAGACGGCCGAGACAGGATTGCTCCGGATGATTTGGTCCAGAAGTTGCCCGGGGACGCTATCGATGAGAGATACTGTAGGTTGGGCCATATTGCGGAGTTCGCGAGAGAGGGGGTTCAATCTGTGCGAGAGGGGCTATATATGGTAAGAATGGTTGAAGTCACAGTCGGTAGCTGATGACGGGCCGCTATGGGCTTTGGCGGACGATGATGAAGGGTCTTGGAGCCTGAATTGTCTTTCCGTTGCATGACAGACGAGCTGTCTTGAAGGATGTGGAGTTCATGGCTGTCTCTCGCAAGTGGTGTATGAGAGACTGTCCTTCGCAAGTCTAGGATTACTGCATCTGATCTCTATCGGTAGATATTGACTCACACACGTGTGGAAGCCCACGAAGAGAGAAGTCAACGAGGAACTGAAAAAAATCCAAATTTGGAAGACCGCTTTCGCGTTGGCTGATGTGAGGGGATATTGAGATACTATGGATTCGGCTTCTGGACGGAGAGCAAGATCTGCAAAGACGATATTGCAGTCTTTCTCCGAGGGTTTGACCGCGAAGCAGAGGTTAATACCAGAGCCCGCTCCAGTGACGATTGCTGTCTTGCCTGTGACATTCATGGCCATTTCCATAGTAGAGAAGTATACATGATGAACAAGGAATGAGACACTGACGCTGACGCGCTCTGTCTGCCTGCCATGTCTTGTCCCGTCTCCAGAGGACTCCAGAGGGGAACTCACCTTGTGTTACTGTACTCATAGTATATCCTGTATCCTATTTGCGGGAGCCTCAGTAGTCTGCCCACCGTGGCAATTTGATCGCCAGCCCGGGGGACTACTGAGTGAGTGATGCATGAGGACCAGCATCAAATGAAGAGTATACATCTGCGATTCTATGGTTATGTAGCCGTTATGGATCAACTATTCAACGTAAAGCCATTCCAACCCTACGGCAGACACTCGACCGACGCTCTTCTTCAAGGCCGAGCAGGAAGCTCGGATCCCAAGGAAAAGTAGGTGTTCGCAAAAGACTCGTGCGAGGTGCTATCAAAAATTCCCCCAGCAGCGACCCCGAAGGATAGCTGACAGTTCTCAACGCCCCGATGTGCAATGGAGGTTTCGTACTGTAAACAACGGCATTCATGAGCGCCATGTTTCCAAGAAGGTAAGTATGAAGAAGAGAAAAGGAAGATCAGTAGGAGGGAGGCCAGCTTAAGTACTTGAGGAATTTGGGAGCTCGGGCCACCTGACGCTAGGCTGGCTAGCGGCTACAGCACAGTCACATGGTACAGCACGTGCCGGTGGCTTGTGGGCACCAAGGTCACGCTTTGAGCATGCTCGTGATTTGATAGATCCACCCACGCTTTGCCCTCAAAGCCGGACCGACCGACCGACCGACCAACCGACCGGCGCCAGCCTCAATGGAGTTTAACGCAGCTTCTCTTTTCCAAGGAATATACCTTGTAGGTAGTGAACGGGCTAGGGAAGGCTTGATCCAAACAAGATCGAAGCTTGCTTTTGGGCCCGGGCCGCCCATGCTGCACTAACAGAACAGTAGCTGCTCACCCAGCTGGTACTTCCGCGTCTCGTTCCTCTGCAAACATCCCATATCTCAACATCAACAACAACATCACATTCGCTCAGTTGTTCGTCAGCCAGCCAGGAGGTATCCTCAGCAACTACTGCTATTCATACATCTTCAGCATCTATAATTAATTTTCCGACTCCGCAGCTCACGTTAACAACATGTTCTCGAGATTCCTCACGGGCCTTGCGCTGATGATCAGCCTATCTATCAGTGCCGTCCATGCAGCAGTACCACAGATTTCTACCAGCGGAACCAAGTTCTTCTACAGCAATGGGACCCAGTACTACATGAAGGGCACGCCAATTCCAACTTTCAATCTTCACTGCGAACCTTTTTTGCTAATCGTTGCCCAGGTATTGCCTACCAATTGACCGAGGACGATCCGCTGATCGATACCGAGCAATGCCAACGCGACGCATCCCTAATGGCCACCCTCGGCGCAAACGCAATTCGTGTTTACCACGTCGATCCCGCTGGAGACCACTCGGGCTGCATGTCTGCGTTCGCAGATGCTGGGATCTATCTGTTGGTTGACTTAGATACATTCACGACCGACATCGATCCTGTAAATGCTTAATGCTCTTCGTACCTCGAGTCTTGGAAATATGTACTGATAACGATGTAGACCTACGCATCATGGAACCAATCGCAATTCAACGCATTCGCCGCCGTCATGGACGCATTCCACACATACGATAACACGCTCGGTTTCTTCATCGGCAACGAAGTCATTGCCCTCAATAACCAATCTCTTGCCGCCCCGTACATCAAGGCTGCTGCAAGAGATATGAAGGCATACAGAGACTCTAAAGGCTACCGAAAGGTGCCCGTTGGATACTCCGCAGCAGATATCGCCGAGTTACGTCCTATGCTGCAAAACTACCTCGCATGTGGTACCAATTCCTCTGAAAGTATCGATTTCTTCGGCCTGAACGCCTACGAGTGGTGCGGCGAAAATACCATGGTCACGTCCGGCTACAACAAACTAAACACCTTCGCCCTTGACTTAAACGTGCCTATTTTCTTCTCCGAGACAGGCTGCAATACCGTCAAGCCGCGCACTTTCCAGGACCAATCTGCGATCCTGGGTGCGGATATGGAGAGCATCTGGAGCGGGGCCATCGTCTACGAGTGGATCGAGGAAGCCAACAACTATGGCCTCATCTCTTACGGAACCCCCGTTTCAGATACCGTCCAAGCCACGAATGTCGCCGGCGGCTTCTCCCGCGGCGGAACTCCGACGCCAGTAGCGCCCGACTTCACGAATCTCCAAAATGTATGGAAGACGCTCCAACCGATTGGAGTTGCCAGCTCCACCTACACGCCCTCTATCACACCCCCTGCGTGCCCGACTTCGACAGCCGGGGGCTGGCTGGTCAACGGAGACGTGAAGCTACCCAGTGTAGGCCAAGTCCTGCAAGCTACGACGAGTGGCGGATCCTTGACGGTGAGCTCGACTGGTTCTGCGACGGGGAGCGCGAGTACGCCGAGTAGTACCAAGGGCAGCGCAAATGGTGGGAAGGAGATTGCGGGGATGAGCGCGGGGCTTGTGGGCGTTATGTTGGGGTTCATGTGGTTTTCGTAGATTCATGGATAGACAGATACCCAGCTCGCGAGAGTATATAATTTTTAATCGTAATACAGGTCACGAGTTCCGACATTGAGAGAGAGAAATTGTGTATGTGTGTATATGTCTTTTTATTTTTCTGGACAGCATTGCGTTGGGATTAAAGGATAGGTATGCCCATACGCTTGTCTGATTATTTAGTCGGTGGATTTGTTATCCTTTTGCGCTGCTTGATCTCTGAGAGGAGAAGTCTTTGACTTATTTATGGAGCTAGTTTCTAGATTATAAGGGATATATATGTAGGCTGCTTAGAGTTCCAGTGGTCCGGGGTAGCAGGTGCTGCCAAGTGGAGAGTGTGCTTAGTTTCTACTAGTATTTGTAGCTAATCAAAGGAAGCATATTTATTGCTAAGTGGGTAGTAGCAAAAAGGTAGAACGAAGAGAAGACATTATTATAACCGAAGGCCAATGCCAAGTCTGGAGCGGCAATAACACGGGCAGTAATAATATTTATTGTCAAACAGTATTGACACTACAAGAATATCAAGCGCTTATTTTGGAAGACAATCTATAGCATCATCTATGCGAGCTTCTACATTTCCTCGAGCCTGCGGTACGCAATCTTTGACAGTTTTGCAGCAAACCGCGGCAGACGTGCATAGTGCTCTAGCTTAAGATGACTCGGGCTGTGAATGGAATTATCTACCCGATTACAAACTACATTTCTGTACTAACCCTTAGATTGCAAAAGAATTTTTCATTTAGCGGAAACGGCTCAGCTGTATTGCATGCTTTCCTTCTCGTTATTATCTACTGTCATGGACTTCTTTCCGTTTATAGCAAATTATCAGGACAGCCCTATCTTCAAGGGGCCAATTATAGCAATAGGCTATCAAATTGTGCTTTTGAATAGACCTTAGAAAATGATCGTCTATTCATGGTTGCAGACAGCTGCCATAGCCTTCCATTGCTACCTTCTAATAAGAAGTCAACCACGCGCCAAGAAAGTTAAGTGTGCCCTTTAAGCGAGATTTCTAACCACCCCCTTTCGTACAGCTTCTTCTTCAACCTCACTTAGCAGGCGGCGAAAGAACTCCAGCGTACTAGAGATATTGAATGATATATTAGAATAATATGTAGGCCCAAAGGGAAAGTTTTGGTTAAAGAGCGGACAGCATATAAAGTGGTGGCCTCCTCCATTGAATTGGCAGGATCTGAGCTTTGCTGCCTTGCAAGTTCTTTCTGTGACCGCGCGACATTGAAATCTCTGCTCCGAATCTAACGACTGATTCAAAGTTTCGGGCTATACAGAAAGCTAAAAAGAGAAGCGGGGCTTTGCGTGGCAAGAGGGGACTGGCCCCTGAGAATAGTATGTTGGAGTCATCCTCTCACCTCGATATTGACTGATTCCACAAGGTATTCAATTCGTTTCCTGGACCGGTTAATTTTTCCTACTAGCTTTAGGCGTCATCGACTGAGCTCTCTGACGAAAACGAATCTACAAACTCTATACCATCTCATCTCATCACGGGTTGACAACGAAAGAAATCGGTGAGAACGGAAATTGAGAATCGAACTCTGGTATCTGTTCTGGGTTTCAACAGGAGAGGCAATTCTTTTCAACATCTGACACTACGCCGGCTTGACTTTGGTAAGTTCTTTTGCTGCATCCAGCTCGGTCACCTCCTACCTCGCGCCCTCGCCTTGTATCTCGAGTCTCCGAATCACAGACAACTCTTCAAGAATACAAAATATTAGAACTTCTCTACTGACAGCAAACAGTTCAAGAGAATCAGCGTAACGGTATCAGGAGGTTGAGTCAACGATTGATAAGTGGTACCGAGTTCGGCTTTGATAACAGACCTCTCGGTCTTCAAACCGTCCATCTGTTCACCTTCGACTCATTCACCTTCGACTCACTCCCCAGTTTCTCTTCCCCACCCTAAATCCTTTACCCCCAGTTGCAAATTTCTTCCTTCGACAAAACCTCGACACTTTTTATCAGCATCACCATCTTGGCCATTTGAAGATGGATTTCGAAATCAGACTCGATGATGATGTGCTCGCCGCCATTCGCGAGGAGGATATCCGCAACATGGAGTCAGGACAAAACATCGAAGGCGGCAATGAAGGCCATATCTCATCCTCCAACTTGAACAACTTCATGAACCCCTCCGCTCTGGCCCCAGTTGCGACTCTCCCCTACGCTCCAGCTCAGCACCAATACGAAAATCACGCCCACAGCACCTACACGAATGTCTACAACATGGCGCCACCTCCTCAACCCCACGACAACAATACACAGGGGTTGAGTTCCTACTCGATTGGCGGAGATGAGAACGTAAATCCTTACCACCCATCCAACGATCCCTCCCAAGGCTTAAGTCAGCACCCCTACGACAACCCCTCAACGACAACGTACAACAACACCCACACTCAACCTCAACCTCACCCTTACCCCCCTTCCATCCCCATTCAAACATCTCCCAACACCGCTCTCCCGCACCCATCAACTCTCTCCATCTTCCCCCAATCAACCTTATCCCTCTCTTTCCCGCCCGGCATGGCCCCTCCACCCGTCAGCATCCGCCACAAGCCCCACCACAAGGAGCTCGCCAAGCTGGATACTGAGTACGCGAAATACGAAGAGGTGATTCAAGATGAGGACCGCATGGTCGGCAAGGGTCGGCGGGATGCGCGAGAGGGCGAGGAAGAGCTGCGAGTGTGGGCCGCAAGAGAGAAACTGGATGAGCATCTCAAGGCCCGCATGGGGTTCGTGGCACTGGCGAATGACCGCCTCCAAGCGGCGGTGGGCGAAAGAAATAGCTGGGCTTTTGGTGAGCTCAGGTTCCTTTTCCCTTTTCCCTTTTCCCGCCATTGATTGCATTTGTTTTGCTTGTTTTTATTTCCCTTTGTTTTCTGTCGTGGGGGGGGGGGGACTCTTATTCTGTCATGTCAATCTTGGAGGCATATGGCTGTGGTACTTGCTGTTCAGACTTGAGGTGGCTGCTGTGTTGTTTACTTTTGTCCGTTTTTCCCATCTCAGTCTGATTGGGCTCAGCTTTGAGGCGGCTACATGCTCGACTGTTGTCGGTCTCCCGACCACTGTCATGAATCACTGTCGTCGATCACTCCGATTCACTCTGCTTTTTTGTTCCTCCAAGAGTAGCTTGAATTCTGCTCCTCTGCTTTCTTATGTTTTCTTGCTATTCTCCAAAGCCTCCGTACCTTCCTAAATGGGAACAAAAGCTAACAACCACCAGAACTTCCAGAAGTCCTGCTCCACAGAACACCCGCCACCTTCGGCAGCCGACTTAACGTTCCCAACCGCCGCAACCCCCCCATCTTAGGCAATGCCAATCTCACACCATCCAGCGCCGCTAAGCACCTCTCCAACGGCCGCCGCAAAGACAGTGGTGTTGCTCTCGGTCGCATCTCACAGACTCCTCTTTCCCCATTGGTTATCAGTGGCCAAGTTGACGAGGTTACTGGAAAGGGCTTGCGAGAGTGGCTGCTCAGCCGAGGAAAAGAGTCGGGCACGCAGAAGAAGAGAGAGTGTCGCAACATCGCTTTCCATGATTTCACACCTGATGCGCACACGGGTAATCATAGCAATGTTCTGCTGGCGTGTTACAGCGGTGGTGGCCTACACGAGAGAGTTGATGCTTATGAGATCGATCTGTAAGTCTTCCCTAGCAACCTTTCAACACGGAAAAACAAATATACATATATACGGAAGTCTAACAGATAAAAAAAAAAAACACAGCCCAACCACAGTCACAGACCCTGCAACGGGCCAAACAGGAGCAGCAGTTCAAAGCTGGCTCTGGTTCCTCATCTCCCGCCCGGTCTTGACTCTCTCCCCATCATCCTACAATAGTGGCCTCCAGCTCCCACCCAACTTCAAAAAATTCCCCATCCCAACATCCTGGGTGGTCTTCGCCTGCCCAGCCTCACACGTAACCGCCTACCCGGCCGCCAGAGACGACTCCGTCCCCTACCCACCCCCTAGGAACCCGTTCAGCATTCCCCTTTCCGCGCCCCTTGGCATCTTCCGCGCCCGCGGCACCGAGCGAGAGAGCAAGACGGTCTACAAGCGCCAGGACTACGACTTCTCGCAGCAGGGCGTCCCGATCTTCGAGTTCAGCTCGGCCGAGCTCTTCCCCGTCCCGAGCCGCAAGCGCATCGAGTTCCTGTCCGTCGACGGCCTCCGCGGCTGGGACCCGAGGGACTTGTGCACGGCGTACAACGAGCAGGAGTGGAAGCGCAAGGTCGCAGAGTGGGAGCAGTCTGTCCTCAACCTGAGCAAGCAGGAGCTGAAGATGGATGAGCAGGTGGGCCGTCTGCGGGAGAAGGAGATACCCAGCACGTGTCGGGGCGTTTGGTGGGAGCAGTTCTACGACGGCTTGTACCAGGATGAGACGAAGTGGCGCCGTATCCGCGAGGCCATGGCGAGGGGCAAGTGTCGCGTTGTGGTCCGGTGGGCGGAGCTGGCGGAGGTGAAGCCTGCTGAGGAAGGTCTCGGTCTCGGCGCCGGATTCGGCGACGAGGTTGACGATGCGTTGGCTGGGATCGGACTCGGTGTGAGGCTCAATGGCGGCTCGCTGGGATGCAGCAGCAGCGGCGGCAGCGGTAGGAAGATCAAGGAGAGACTTGGGCGTCGGAAGATGGGCGCAAAGAGCAGCCGAGGCGAGCTGAGACGTCGTAGCGGTTTGGGTCTGGGCACGACTTCTCAGGAGAGCCTTCGCTCGGCCGGCGCAGATGGTATGGCTGGTCTCAGCACGAATGGGCACTTGATCGGCGTTGGTCGGGACATCGAGAGAGGTTCGGCCTTTGGTGGAGGAGGGGACAGCACACCACCAGTCTCGGCCCCCTACCCATACTACTCGTCGATGGATGTGGAGCCAGACGTGGCGGAGGACGTGAAGCCGAACCTGTAGGCAGCTTTTTCGTGGTCCAGGGAAAGGGAACCGGGCATGCGTTGGAGATTTTGTATTTGTAGAGTGAGAAAGGCCCTGGCATAGATGGTGAGATAGTCAGTCACCCGGGTCAAAAATTTCGGGTTGGAGAGAGAGGTTGACGAGCACATCTCCGTGCGCGGAATTTCTTCTCGAAGGGAGAGATAATTATGCAGGGAATGTTGCTTCATTCAACTAATTGCCTGCCGGGCGGTTAGCCTGGTTGATAGGTAGATAGATAGGCAGGAAAAGCTTTCTCAAAAACAATAAACAGGCTTTTCTACGAGTTCGTGTCCTCGATTTGTCTGATCACGCGAATGATATTTTCCCGTTGAATCTCTAGGCTATTACATTACTGATGTCCCCGTGAACTTCAGTTTCTTTCTGCTAGTGAATATGAACAGAAGCATGCTATCGGGAAACGGGGATGAGGAGAGGGGAGGGGATAAGGAGAAGTTGAGACAGGAGGGGATGTAGTAGATAAATAGTTTGATTTGATCAGATGAAGAGTGCCGATAAACAACTGGACTCTGAAGAGTAATTCAATGGAGCTGGAACAGAGATGAAGCGAGGATGATTTAGAAGTTGGAGATAAATGAGGGCGTGCCGCCGATATAATTTAGCTATTCCGGCCAAAAAACAAATACCTGTACACACACTTAAACGCACAGAATCAGTTACAATCAGTTGTCAGCGATCAAGATCTTCCCTCCAAATACTATATATCTATCATCCTGGAGACAAAAACCCAATAACAATGATTAGTTTGGTTATCCCCTCAACCCAACTAACCCCTCAACCCAACTAACCCCTCAACCTCAAAATAAGCGCGATATATATATATATATATACCTATGTATTAAGAAAAAATATGAACGAAAAAAAGTGGCAAAACAAACTCCCACCTCACGGTGGGAGAAGAAAAGCCTCTGTAATGGGTTTTCATTTTTATCCGGATTCGAATATTCGATTTTGTCGTGCGTGGTCTGGTGAGTCTAAACCAACTCGGCCCCAAATCGTTACAATTAGAACTTCCTCCAGCAATCCAGCTTGACCTGAGGTTGACAACGTCTATGCCAACCACGCCACTGGATTCATACCATATGCGCGCGAAATTTGAATGATAATAGTAGCAGAAGTTTTTCGGGAGAGGGTTTTTCCGAAATACACCCCCCAAAAAAACAATAACAACAACAACGACAACACCAGACTTTTAGATCGGGCTCTAACGGGGCTTTTTTTTTATCTCCCTCAGCGGAATTTTTTACGATCGGACTCAGTCACGGGAATAATGCAATATCATTTAAAAAGCGAGGAACATTTTCAAAATCATTAACGTTATTACTAATATGAACACACCCAACCAGTTCCAGACGCCTGGCTCATTCCGATACCTCGCCGTAAAAACACTACCTAGTCAAGCACACTTTCAATCCAAATCGAGCACCGCCGGGATCGAACCATCAGACACGCAAGGCACGCCCACCCCTCCTGCAATACCCTCACATATAATGACAGGTGAGCTCCCGTTGGGATGTGTCAGGTTGATATCTTCCAGCGTGATGTTGGTGCAGATGGCGTTGGGGGAGCAGACGAGATTGGCGATTACGGGCCCGTTAATCCCGGAACTGCTGCCGGTGAAGTTGGAGAAGCGGATGTTGGTCATGTCGACGCGGGAGGGGTATTGGGAGCACATGGTCTGGCGAGAGTCAGACGACGCTGGTGAGTGGAGGGGGAAAAAGAAAAAAAGAAGGAAAAAAAAAAGCTAGGGGAAGGGAAGGGAAGGGAAGGGGGAGAGAAGAGGGAGATATTTACAGAGTTGACTTCAAAGTAGCATGCGTCTAGCATGATTGGTACATCGTTGTTGTAGTTGTAGACGTTCTTGAAGGTAACGTTGTCGATGAAGCCGTAGCCTACATTCTGCCCTGCCCAGCTCTTGAGACGGGCTCCGTACTGTGGGCTCTAGTCAGCTTCGGATTTCCTGCATGGCTGGCGGTGATTGGAAGAGCGGAGCAGAGCGGAGGAACGTACCTCTCCGTTCAACATGGTTATGTTCTCGATGTGGACGTTGTAGATGTGATCCTTGACTCCGGAATATTGTCCGATGCTCCCCATGCTGACACCGTGCGTACCGTTGCAATAGATGTTCTCAACGAGGATGTTGGAGGTGTTGGGCTTAGGGCTGAAGCAATCATCACCGATATTGATCCATGCGTCTCGAACGGTGAGGCCATCAACGTTGTAAGAGTCCCAGCCGTCGGTGTTCTTAGGAGGGTTCTACAGAAGTCAGCTCTCTGCTGGTTCAAGCCGGGGGGGGGGAGTGTTAGAGACCTCGCTTGTCGAGAGATTCTCGATGATGACCCTGTCATAGACAACATTCTTCGCTAGGCTCAGGTTAGAATGCGAGTATAAGATCAAGAGCTGCCGAAAAAAAAAAGATTCAATTTATAAAAACTTACACGTGACGATGAAGTTCGTCCAGCAAGGAGACCCTTGAAATTGTATACCCTCTATATAGAGATTGGTAGCGTTCTCAGCATAGAACAAGATGGGACGGTAATATGTGTTATCAGGGTCCTGCCAGTGAGTTAGTCACTTGATGGCCCATCAGCTCAACAGGAACTTACGAGGATCTCCATGCCCGCAAACCCGTCGTACCAAGCCTGCCCATTTCCGTCAAGAATGCCCTCACCGTAGATCTTGATATCTTCCCCACCCCACTTCCAGAACGCGATTGAGTTCTGGAATAAATGGTAGAAGTAGTCACTCTGCCAATAGGTAATGTTGTCGGTGAACTGTGAAGTGTAAGAGCTTGTCGCTGTCTGACTGGTCATCTATTTTACTTACTAGAATCGTGCCCTCCAGATTGACATGAACATCCTTTAGAAACGTAAGATCTAATTTCTTGCCAATGACAAATGTCTTGTTCTTGGGAAGCACCAGAGTACCTCCATGGTTCGCCTTCAGCAGCCCTCTGTAGAAGTCCGCCGAGATGTCATCGGTATCGTTGTCCGAAGATCGAATGTAAATCTTTGGACGGTGATTCGCAGGTGGATGCTGATACGGATAGAGATTCTTGAAGCCTTGAACTGACTCTGGGCCAGTATAGTTGGGATCCGGGAATGCAGAAGCAATTGAAGAAGTCAGAGCAATAGCGAGAGCCGCCGATCGGCCAATGGACAAATTGAACAGCATTTTGGGTATCGCAGTCGCGGAAGAGAGACAATGAACAAGCAACAAGGCTGGACCGACACAACTTATTTGAGCAAAATATTATGCGAGGCTTTGAGTTGATGCGCCCGGTTTCGTGAAGGAGGGGTTTGAGCGAGTGTTGACTGAAAATGAGAATCCACCAATCGTAAAAGACCTATCCAGTCTTTCGTCGATCTCTTCGAGTTATACAATGTGAATGTGTCTGCTTTCTTCCTCGTTGAGTGATCTAGGAGACCTTTTTATATTTTCCCGGCTAAGCTTAAGTTCTATGGAATAATACAACCAACATATGATGCAGCGGTATGATGGCGAAAAGACACGAGCTTCAAAGCGCACCTGCCTTGATAGGAAGTAAAATTGGTTATACGAACAATATAAGAAGATGTTAGGTTAGGTCGATTGTCTCGAATGGCTCGAAGAAAAGGAACCGTGTCCTGCATACCTCAACCACCCAAGTTGCCACTCTATGCAAGCCTCTGTCACCGTACTGTATCTTCGAGTCATTTCCAGAGGCAAGTCCGTAGATCCGTAAAGTAAAAAAAAGTAAGGTTACTCGCGTAGCCAATTTATCAGCGGAGTAGAAATCTATGTAGATACGGAGTATATAGACAACGGTAGATTGCAAACGAATTAAAAACAAAGTCTATAGGATAATATTAAGCTCGTAGATTTCTATCCCTCCCTATGAACAAATGTCGGACCCAGTTTAGCTATATAAATGATAGAGCGGTGATTCTACAACTTAATGGCTTGAAGCCCTGCCAAATCTATTGCACAAGCTAAATACTAGCTCAAAGATAGTTCTCAAGGCTGAATGTATCCTTATACTACGCTGTAGTACTTGTAAGTTGATCGGTTTAAGACCTGGTAAGACCCCTTGCAAAATTATACTTCGATATGTATTCGTAAGGGGGAGAGTATTAAGCAAATAGCGAAGGTTAGCATTTACTCAAGCCTTACTCGTAGTAATAACTGTGCGCTTATCGGACTAGTGAGGGCCATTACTCCCCCCCCATGAATACTTGTCGAAAGTATAATTTTGCGAGGGATCTTACCCGGTCTTAAACCGGTCGACTTACCACGGTACAGGCGTAAGTATTACCCCCCGAGGGTGCCTCAAAAGTTTAGTTCCCACTATAAACCCCCTGGTTACCCTACCATCAAGGGGTGATACTTACGCCTGGGACGTAGTTGTTGTGTAGGGATTTATTCAGCCTTGAAAAGTACGTTGTACGTAGTATCTTTGAGCCAGTATTTAGTCTGCGCAATAGAGTTGGCAAGGCTTCAAGCCATTTATCTGTAGAAATCAACGCTCTACGATGTATGTAGCTAGACTGGGTCCGACATTTAATCATAGGGGGGGATAGTAAGGATTCATTCAGCCTTGAAAGGTATCTGTGAGCCAGTATTCAGTCTGTGCAATGGAGTTGACAGGGCTTTAAGCGATTCAGAAACCGCCGCTCTACGATTTATGGGCCTAAACTGGGTCCGGCATGTATTCATAAGGGGCGGGAATAGTATATCTGCATCTTCTCTACTGTACTGTTCTGACCTGTAGACCATAGCGGCTACGGAAGTAAAATCTCCCAATAGAAAATCTCCCTCCTTCCTTTCCCAGACGTAAGGCTGCCCTTGCCAAGTCTGTCGAGACTACTGACTAGTGCGGGTTTGGAAAAGGGTCGATTGCCGAGTGCTATGACAGCAGGGCGGTCCGACATGGCTCTTGGCATCTTGTTCGATTGACTGACTGACTGACTGACTGACTGACTGACTGACTGGAGGGGTATTTCCAATCAAAAGCCCGCGGGTGGCGCGGGAGCCAAGACTGCTGATCAGACGCCCGACCTCGGTACGACCATCCCACTGATCCCACTGATACCAGATACCTACGTAGGGCCAATAATCTTCCCTCCTCGGTATCAAACCGTATCAACCTCTGTCAACTTCGTAGGGCTGACGTCCCAAAAGAACCGCACTATTTTGTCCCACGCTAACTATTCTGCCCTCCACTACCGGGCCCTACCTCCCGTACCCGCCCCCCCACTTTCCCCCCACTCCCCCACCGCCCCTTTTCCTTCGATTGATTGGACGTATCCCTAATACCTCATCGGTTCAACGATCACGGGGTTGACTCCAAGTCAAAGGCACATTTCTAATTGTTGTCATAGAAACTGTTATTGTTGTTGTTGCTGTTGTTGTTATTATAGTTATAGTTATGGTTTATGGTTGACTACGGAGGTTTTACTTAATACTCCGGAAAAAGTATATCTGGAATATTCAATTGTGCGCGGCAAAATGAAGTACTATAGTAGAAATATGTCCGGATCAAAACCAGAGAAGAGAGGAAGATTACTCTTTTAAGAGGTACAGAAGGCTATATACTTCCAAGGTGCGCTAGTGAGTCGTGATGTCATTAATGATGGTCTTTCCTTCCCCGAGCTTTCTATAAGTAGTACGTAGTTGTAAGTGGGGTGGAGCTATGGCGCCTTTGCCGTGGCGGGAATACCCGTTGGCGTGGGACAAAACAGCAAGTTCAGTTGAACCATAGCTGAGATCCCGATCAACTCGAAGTCAAGTGATCAGGTGACTCAAAGTCAAGTGACCCAACGTCAAGTGACCCAGCGTCAAGTGACTCAAGTTGTATACATGCTTGAACATCTGAGCACCAACAGAACCCAGAACCCGCAATGGCCGGCCAGCTCTCGCTCTATATCAAGGCCTTCATCATACGCTTCTTCCAAACCCTGGGCCGCTATCTAGATCTCTATGCCTCGACACCCCTCCCCCAACGGCCCCTCTTCAGCCGCACAATACCGTCAACTGTCGGTTCCGTCCCCGGCCAATTCAAAATCCTCTTCTACACGCCCCCGGACTACAGCCGCAAGCCCAAGTCCGCAGGATACCCTATCCTCGTCAATTTCCACGGCGGCGGGTACACCATCGGCCATGCCGCCGACGATGCCCGTTGGGCAACCGAGGTCGTGAAGCGGACGGGCGGGGTGGTCGCGAGTGTCGACTACCGTCTCGCACCAGGGTATCCGTTCCCGACTGGCATTGAAGACTGCGTCTCGGCCGTGCTGTACCTGTGGCAGCACGCCGACGAGCTGAACCTGGATGTGGCCCGCACCGCCTTCTCGGGGTTTAGCGCCGGGGGCAACTTCTGCTACACGGCCGCAATCCGTCTGCACGAGGAGTTGACGGCGTTGAGAGGACCCGGTCGCGCGGTCGAGAATCACCAGCTCAATGTCGGGAAGCTGGTGAGCACGGTGGCGTTTTATCCGGCAGTCGACATGACCAAGTCCCGCGCGGAGAGGAACGCATCGAATCCAAACATGAAGTCGATCATCAATCCGGTATTCTTTAAGCTCTTCGCGGGGTGTTATTTCCCCCCGGGCACAGACACGCATTCACCGCTGTTGAGTCCTGGTGTTGCTCCTGATCAGGTGCTGAGGGATGCATTGCCGGAAAATAATGTGATGATGACGTGCTGGGGGGACGGCTTGTTAATGGAGGGGGAGCAATTCAGGGAGAGACTAAAGGCTTTGGGGAAGAGGGTCGATGGTTATATTGTGCCGGAAGTGCCACACGGATGGGACAAATGGCCAAGTTACAGGAATGGTAACGTGAAGAGAGATGAGGCTTACAAATTTGCAGCTGAGAGCCTGAGGGAATTTTGGAACTAACGTGATCGTATCACTATCTCTCTCTCAAAAAGATTTTTTGGCATAAAATGTTTGCTAGATACATTTGTCGAGCAGGATGGCAGCTGGGTCCAAAAAATTGCCTTCCAGATTTTATGGCATGACTTCGATTCTTTCACACCCAACAGCCTCCGCCTCCTTATTCAGAACCTCAATTTCGCTTTCCACAAACGGGATCCCGGTCTTCAACCTCTCCGCACAAGTATCCAACTCAATCTCCCCAGGAAAGTATATCTTCTCGACTCCCTTCATCCTCTCACAGCCCACAACCTTCTCATACAAAACCCCCATCCTCTCCCTGAACGTTTCCAAATCCATGAACAGATCCGGCTTGATCGCCACTAGGAAATGTCCAACATCAGCCTCCTTCCCACTCTCATCATACGGCCCCGTCACCCCTCCGGCAAAAGCGCTTCCGCTCAAGACGCCCGAGAAGACATCCATCATGATACTCAACGCACTCCCCTTCGGCCCCCCTATTGGCAGCATCACCCCCCGCAGCGCCTCCTGCGGATCATCGGTCCCCTCCCCCTCCGCATCCAAGGCCCACCCGAGAGGGATCTTCTCCCCCCTCCTCGCAGCCTTATGGATCTTCCCTCTGGCGGCCACACTCGGCGCCATATCAAGAATAAACGGTTTCCCGCCCTCCGGCCCCGGCGCACCGCACGCAATCGGACTCACACCCATCAGCTTCTCCCGCCCGCCCCACACGGGCAGCGCCGGCGACGAGTTCGTAAAAACCAGACTCATCATGCCGGCGTCGATGGCTTGCTGCACGAGCCACGCGCTCATGCCAAAGTGGTTGCTGCGCTTCACAGCCACCATACCGATGCCGAGCGTCTGCGCCATGGCGATGGCCGCGCACATGCCCATGTGCGCGCCTAGGAAGCCGAAGGCGTTGTGCCCGTCGACGTGCGCAACCGCGGGCGTAATCTGGGACAGCGTGGGCTCGGCGCGCGGGTCCAGCGCTTGCGCTCTGATTCGCTGGATATAGGGTTCCAGACGCATGATCCCGTGCGTGTCAACGCCGCGGAGATCGGCCAGGACGAGCGCGTGCGCGATGATGGACGCGTTCGCAGCGGGGACGCCGTGGGCTTTTAGTATACCCTCTGTGAAGACCGTGGCGGCCGTCGAAGAGACGTGGATTTTGCGAGGAGGGCCCGCGGGTGCATCATGTGTTGATGCCATTTCGTGCGTATATTATATCGCGGCGTAGCGAGAATTTTTTATTTCCGACTATTATTTATCATCTCATCGAATTTTCTTTTGAAAAAATATCTCGATTGAGGATCAATCCTTCGCGATCGCAAGTAGTGTCAATAATCAAGATGAATGAAAACTCAAGGGGAGATGGGGGTCGCGCGAGCTTCGTTCGCATCCAGACGTGGACTCTGAAGGATGGGGGTTTGAAGGGGGGGGGGAAATCAGTGAGAAAGGGAGGGAAGCGTGCAAGAACCTGACTCCAGCTATATATAATATATAAATATATATATACACACTCGAGCTAGTATAAAGGTAAAGTCACACCTAACAATAATAAATTCCGTCGCCAGAGTGGATAAGGTAGGCAGAGTATTACAGTACCGTAGTAGGTTGGTTGTTGGTAGCTTGGTACAGAACCTGCTCATGCTTGGAGTGGATTGGGTATATCTCAGCACACTCACTCACTCACCCACCTACCCGTACTCGCCCACTTGACGCTTCCGTGGCATCTTATATCACCCATCTCATCTCATATCATGAGATTAAAAGACTCAAATCTTGATATTACGGCGGGCTTCGAGATTATGGGTAGTTAGGTACCTAGCTAGGTAGGTAGATAGATAGATAGATTGCAGTGGCCCCCTTGGTTTTATTTCCCTTACCTACCTAGCTAGGTAGGTAGGTAGGTAGGTAGGTACCTCAAGTTCTAACTGGGGCTTTATAAGGCGAGAGAGAGGGACAGAGGCTTGTACGAGGGAGGGAGCGATGGAATGAGAGACAGTGTTGGAATGTGCCTAGGTATGTACATTTATATTTTAAAGGGGAGAGATAATAGATATGTAAGTATATATATATAGGCTAGGGATAGCTAAGAAAAGAAGCTACGTAGAGCTAAAGCTACGAGGGAAAAGGAGGTCAGCTCTAGCACCTCGTATTTCTATCAGGCACAGTAGTTGTAGGATTATTTTGGTATCCAGATACCTTTCGTCTATATGTGGTGTCTCACAAAATGCAGATTTTTGCCTGACGATTCAACCCCTCTTGTCCTGCACGGCGTCCATGGCCAGCCTCTCGTCGGCCCGTATCTGCAGCCGCCCCTTTTCCGAGGGGCCTAATGCCAAAGCCTCAGCGACACTTCCCTGCCCAGCCGTCATTGCGGCCCCCTTCCGTCCGATAACATGCCACGGCAGGTTGAACATCTCGTCCATGCTCTCCAAGCTCTTCCCTGCCGTCTCCGGCAGGAAGAACCACACGAAGCCTAGTCCCAGCAAGGTCACCGCCGAGAAGAACCAGAAGGTGCCCTTTGGCGATAGTCCCGGCGCGCCTTCGAGGAGCATCAGCGGGACTGCCTTCGAGTTGCCGTACTGGTTCGCGAAGTGGAAGGTCATGATCATGGATGTGCCCAGGGATCGCACGCGCAGGGGGAAGATTTCGGCACCGATCAGGTACTGGATTGAGTTCCAGCCGAGGGCCCAGCCGACGCCAGAGAAGTAGATGAACACAATTGCGCCCGTCCCGGCGTGCTTAGCTGCGCCGGATTGCACGACCGTCTTGTCTATAATACTTGGGACCGCTGTCAGGTAGATGGCGATATACAGCATGGATACGAATTGGATGATAATACCCGTAGAAAGGGATCGTTTTCTCCCGATGAAGTCGACCAGGAAGAAAGCGCAGACGAGAGCTGAGACGAATTTGACGACGCCGAAGATGGCAGTCGCGAACAGTTTTTCAGAGGAGCCAGTGGTTCCTAGCAGAGCAAAGAATGTGGGAGCGTATATCGTAATCGATTGAGCACCGGACCATTCTGTGTTTTGTCAGGCTCGGGGGTCTGCACATCTCATGGGGGTAAGAGCTTACGTCCGAGAAGTTGACAGGCAAGACCGAGCAAGATACGGTACCTGTTCGCTTTCAGCACGAAGAGCTCTTTGAGAGGTCCGAAGAACCCTGCGCCGAGAGTAGCTTCCTGTTCACGGTCAAGCTGATCGTGGATGTCGATCAACTCGGCCCGAACATATGGATGGTCGGCTGGAAGCTTTCGCAACTTCGACATGTTGAGTGCTGCATGCTCACTTCGTCCGACTTTTGCCAACCAACGTGGAGACTCCAATGCAAAAAGACTCATGATCAAAATGATGCCTGCAAAAATGAAGTGCAGGACAGTGGCGTCGACCCACTGCCTGGAGGTGTAGTTCGAGATGTGGAGAGAAGTTCCCCAGCTAGCGAAGTAGCCCAACATGATTCCGAGGTAAACGGAGCCGCTGAAGATGCAGATGCAGAGGCCTCTGATGGAGCGTGGCGCTGATTCCGCGAGATATGCCGGCGCCACAACAGTTGTTTGTCCGATTCCCAGACCCATGATGAATCTCCCAGTAAGAACTTGCCCGTAGCTCCCGTTAGCAGTGACGAAAATAATGACCCCTACGATCCAGATGGCGCAAAGTTGTCTGGTCGCCCAGATGCGTCCGAGTTTATCGCATGCAATGAACGCAATCAACGCGCCGCCCACACTGCCTATCTGAACCATAGAGGTAATGTTCCCGATTCTGGAGGCCAGCTGGGTCGCATTTTGGGTCGGTGTAACTTTTAAACCGTACTCTATAGAGGTCAGTAAGGAAGGCCAGTATTCAGCAACTCAACGTACCAGAGATGAAGCTTATTTGCGTAACAGTAGTCCCAATGAGACCTTCATCTAAGCCTCGGGCGGCACCCTTAGAAATTTCGGTCAGCTGTGTTCAGGAGCATCTACAGAGACTAATATGGAGTCCTCACCATAAGCCCAAACCCGATGACACTAAAAGCAAGTCGCCAGTTGAAAGCTTCCGGAGGCGTATCGGCCAAGGCCGCCTTGAACATGCCAGGACCAACTAGTCTCCCAAGTCAGCGATGCCCATTCCGTATATATGAGTCGGTCAATGATGATCACGAGGCATAGTGCAAATATATACCTGGGTTGCCCATCTTGTCTGCGTCTGCGTCTGCGTCTGCTGCTGCTGGGGAGTGTGGAGGATATATATTATAAGGTGTGAAGCCAGAAAAGTTGAAGTGAAGTCTGAGATCTGAGATTTGAGATCTGAGATCTGAGACCTGAGACCTGAGACCGACCTTATACTAACTTGCACGTGTTGAGACGGCTTAGCTTACTTATCGGCACCATCGTCCCGCGCGGGCTAGGGCAATGGCAATCTTCTCCGGATGTTGTCAATATGCGGAGACGGGCCAAGCAGCACAAGCTTTTAGACAGCCGTGGCAAAAGCTTAATTTAATCTGTATGTAGTCTTCCTCGTCTTCTTAAACGATTAAACTCCTGGCTAGGCAGACAATCCGAGGAAAAGAAGAAGAACTATCCTTGCCTAATCATATCAACCTGAAATGGCCGACTCGCCTGAAGTGCCGAACATCAACGCCCAAGGATTAGAATCTGAAAACCTTATCTCGGGAATATGTTGAGACGTATACGTAGACTATTTGTGTTGACCGCGATTTTAGCGTTGACCGGCTACTCGGTGTCCGATACTAAAGCAGCATCACCCCCGGCCCCCCTCCCCGCCCCTCTCCACAAAAGCAGAATAAAGAAAAGAAAAAACAGCAAAACTCAACTGGAAGCCCATAGTAACCGGTGTTACCTGGGGTTCCAGTTTACAAACCTAATTGAATAGGTTTTTCGTATCTGCTCCTCTCCACTTTCGTAGATATAGAAGGCATTTGATAGATAGTATCAATCAGCTAGTGTCAAGATGGTGCTCACAGTTCGTCAAGCGTGAGCTTGAGCCATTGAGCCATTATGTCCATTTCGCCGATTGATACCTACACAGTTGGAAACCACTTATATAAAGTAGATAAATTATTATTTGGCCGGTAAGCGAGAAGTCCCCCTCCACCCCCTTTCACGTAATTGCCGTGATACTAAGCAAATATTCGTTAGGGGCAGACGACAGAGTGCCTGTGCTAGTTCTCGTCAATTAGCACTTCCGCTTCCCTTCAAGTCTGGCTCCATAAAAGATCTATCGAAAGAGCCGGGAATTCTCAAAGGGAGTTAAAGGTCTTTCATGAATCTTTTTAAATATCCTTCCGGCTGCTTGCTAGCTTGCTTGCTCCCTTCAACATATAGTATAACAACACAGAACCCGACCTTTTGACTCTCATTCAACAACCTCAGCTCAGCACAACAAGCCAGACCAGTAACAGCAGAAATATGTCAATTGGTAATCAAATCACGGAATCAGTAGCGTTCATACCTCGACCCTTCCGTTTCGAGACAATGATGCATCTCAAACAAGCCGCGCGAACTTGGTTCGATTCGATGCGATGCGCCCAACGGGCGCGGTTCCGATCTACGTGGTGATCTACATATCCGGGCCGCGCTGTGAGTAGCTATATTCAAGGCTGACGACGTGCAATCCACTCATCTCTCAAATTTTTGGTGGCCACATATATACTCCGTGTATCGGCGACGAGCTAAGAAGTTACCAATAGAATGAAATACCACCAGGCTATCCAGAAGTGGCTCTGGCGAAGAGTCCAGTGGACGTATACGGTCGCAAGGAACTCCTATAATTAGTCTTTGCTACTGAGTGGCCTTTCCAAATTCCAGCTAATCCCAGAAACAGAACATGGAAATCACAGTCAAAATCAGGAGGAGATGCAACACGATTCGGAAAGACCTGTGATTCCTCTACAGCAATTCTAGTCGACCATATGTATCATATGTTGACGAGGCCTCGAGGCAATGCTCGTGTCCTCCCTCGAAATCGCTATCAAGTCCATTTTCCTCAACAGGCGCTGTGTACTGGGCTAAAAGTCCTCGGGTTCCTCCTTGATTCGTACTGAATTTGCGTTAGATTGAGCCTCAGAGTTCTCAACCTCTTTCTTTATTCGTGCTGCATTTGCATCGGATTGCGCCTGCTCCTTGCGCCTCTGCTCGAATTCACGTAGAAATGCGGGCCCGACGGTCAGATCATCCTCCCCATCGATGTCATCCTCCTCGAAATCCGGACGCAAGTTCAACGATCGCTTGGCCGCACGACGCCAGAATTCTCGCGATCTTGCACTGACATTGATGGTTGAGCTCTCTAGGGTAGCCCGGAATGCCAAGGCCTCTTCTTCTAAGCCGAGAACTCGAAGGCAGCGAATGATTCTGGTAATCCGTAGGTGGTTGTGGTCAAATCTGCAATCCCAAATACGGCTTTGTTGGTCGAAGTTTTCACCTCTGCAGACCTGGATCGTATACAAGATCAGCTTCTGGTACCGATCTAAAAGCTGTGAATACGGGTTTCCATACCTTGATACGTTCACCCTCGGTCTCGAGCCGAAATCCGTAGAACCACAGCATCTTCTTAAATGACATCTTCAAATTTCGTCTCAAGTCAGGCCGCAAACGAAATTCATCAAAGACGCGGCGGTCGATGATAGGCGCATTAACGTTGACGTTAGACATCTCAGGCAGAGGGAAGAGGAACTGAATGTAGTTGTGGCATTTCTCCAGCCTCTCCTCATTCCATTGAAGAATCCTCAACAATGAGCGTCCTAGGAGGTCTGTTCCTTTCTCCTCGTAAAAAGCGATGAGATTCATCCTTGCTCTGAATTTGTGTGATTGCAATTCGCGAAGTCAGGCCCCAATAAGTGATCCAGTCGTAAGCTGATGATTGGACCTGGATGTTATTTTACTTGCGTTCTGATTTTTCCAGAAGTAGAGAAATAATATGGAGAGTTGAACTCACAGCTTTTGGGGGAAGACACTCTAGCTGGTAGGTAGATATGCCGAGCGCGTTTGCAATATGCGGCAATCATGAAGATGATACCACGTGACTTAGCGCCCCTTTAGTTGGTGCGCAAAGACTTGAAGCTTGAATTATCGCCGACCTCGACGTCGACGTGGACCTCTGCTGTTCTTTCGATTATGATTGTTCCAGGGCCCAGCTTGTTCCTACAGGCGCACAGAGCAAGAGAAATGCATCTAGATAGACGGCAACTTTCATATTCGAGCCCGCGCGAGTGCGCCAGTTCCTCCTCGCCCAATGTGTGTGATTGGCTTTCCGGACTGCCACTCTGTATCTCCAAGCTTGGTCCAAGATCAACAACAAGCTGGCACTGATCCTGGCTGAAATCAACAATGGAATTTATTTTTATTGTTTTGCGGTATGGGATTGATATCCAAAGCCAAGGTGAGTCAGTCACCTCGGCACAAATTCGATTGAGAAAGACCTCATTGACAAGCGCAGGCTCCAGTTATCAATCACAAACTCAAGTTGTTTCTGTGCCCGCTGTGCCCGCTCTTTCTCGGAAATCCAAATACGACTTTGGAAGGTGATGCATGCCAGCGTACTGCATTCTGTCTTTGGCCTTATCGCTCTGCCCTCTTCGCATGCGGGCCTCAAAAGTGGCACTGGCACTGGCACCCACTTCAGCACTGGCACTACCGGTATTACTGTAGCACTGGTGCTTGCCCTGGTCGATCGGCACAACAAGCAATCCGAAGCTTTTTAGGGGCATGCGCCAACCCGCCAAACCACAAACCCACGCCGATGTCAAGTCTCGTGCAGTGCAGAGTGCAGGCTGCTAGTGCCGTAAAAGGCAGGTTGTGAATCCTTCAGCCGAGTCGGTCGATATTGTTGGTACCAACAATTCTTTCTTATCATGCACGATCATAGCTAGTATATTAGCGTAGCCTCTTTGCTTTATAAGCATCATACCCTGTTAAATATCAAGTGTTCTTATAGCTTAATAAGCGTGTTCAACTTAATCCTTTTTTTTAGCTTGCTTGATTAATAACATAAAATCATTTGCGTCTTACTTAGCGAAGGCATATCGGTATTAAAGCTATAGCTTATAGTTTCGTAAAATGTTTGTGTGTTTATACTCAAAGAAGGACGCGGGCTACAATCTTCAATGCCTTGAAAGGCTGTCGGTAAGTTACATTATAAAGACCTTTGGTCAGATTGGACTATATTACAGTGGTACTCTCCCAGAGCTGAGAGTCCCCAGCAGCGATCGATTGCTTGGAAGTCATTTTCCCCACCCGCCATCCCTGGCCACAGTTCATGTACTTCAAGATGGCCCTAATTAAAAGCTTTAAGCATTCTTAAGTATAGCTCATTTTTATGATTGCTGGCTTCTTTTTTAGCAAGCTACCCTCAGCTACTTCAGATTAAGAAGCTTGCTAGTTACCTGTCATCACACCAATCAGAGCTTAAGGGCGCCTGTTAGCCAAACTCACAAGTCTCATTGCGCCTTTCCTCGGCTCGTCCCTCGGACCCATCGGTGGCGGAATCATCACCCAATACGTTTCCTGGCGCTGGGTCTTCTGGGCAACGTCGATCATGGATCTCGTGGTGCAGATCCTCGCAACGCTCTTTCTGAAAGAGCCCTACCCGCCGAAGATCCTAGTGCTGAAAGTGAAGAATTTGATAGCCGAGACGGGAAACAAGGCCCTGCATACGAATTGGCAAGATCCGAATCATTCACTGAGCCATATTCTGAGGAAGAACATGGTTAGGCCATTCGTCATGCTGGCTACCCAGCCCACGATTCAGATCATGGCGTTCTACAGAGGCTACATATACGGCCTGATGTATCTCGTGTATGTTGTTTATGATTCGGTCGCTACCAATGAGTACCATGCTGACGACAATAATTTGATTTTCCAGCTTTCCCTTGGTTTTCGAAATGTCTACGGCATGTCCATTGACGTAAGTCTTAACTACCTCTACCTAGCTGTTGGTTTCGTCATCGGGCCCCAAATCTGCGCGCCTGCAATTATAGGGTAAGCACTCTCTCAAGTCTAACCCTCCCTCAGCTTGAAGATAAGACGAGGAAAAAAATCATACTCTAACCACAATCGGCGTATTGCAAATCTACAAACGTCTCAAGATCCGCTACAATCACCCGGGCCGTCCCGAATTCCGCATCCCCTGATGCTCCCCGGCGGCCTCTTGGTCCTCATCGGCCCCTTCATATACGGCTTCACTGCGCGCGAGTCAGTGCATTTCAATGTCCCCAACATCGGGGCCGCCTTCTTTGCCTGTGGCTGCATTATTTCCTTTGTGTGCGCAGACCTACGTTGTCGATGCCTACACCACGTACGCGGCGAGCGCGACGGGTGCTTCGGCTCTCGTCAGAACCATGTGCGGATTTCCATTTCCTTTGTTTGCAGGTGGATTGTACGAAAAATTCGGTATCGGGTGGAGAAATGGGCTGCTTGCGTTTGTTGCGTTAGGGTTGGGGATCCCGTTGCCTATATTGTTTTGGAAGTATGGAGAGAGGATAAGAGCGAGGAGTACTTACTGTGCTGGGTAGGGAGTAATCATCGGCTCGCTTAGGTGGGCCTCCTTATAGCCCTCTCGGTCTTTACTATTAAAGCGAATGCATAGATCGACGTAATCGTGCGCTTTTTAAATATCAAAATTTAGTATTATAGATTTACTCGTTATCTAACTATTTCTAATATATTCTAGACATACATGGTTCGTAACGCAATCGCTTGTACCGACTAAGACCGAGAGGGCTGTAAGGAGGCCCACCTAAGCGAGCCAACGATTAGTCAGTGCGCTGCCTGTTGACTTGCGGGCTCTCGGTAACAACAAAGCCCGCAGGTAAAAGTCAGCGCACTGACTATTATTAATGTACCGAAAAATAAATAATGTACTTGGAAAGGGTTGATGAGTTGCGTGTTAAAACTCATGAGGTATGAAATGCATCAATTATATAACGTCAGATATCGTTTCCAATATCTGCAGCATGTCTACTATGTATATACAGAGAAAAAAAAAGAGCGCTGGAGCTACGGAAGCCGATCAAGAAACTACACATTGAAGATCTTCGAGCAAAGGCGGGTTGTTTTACAAGCGCAAGGCTGACAAATGCACGGACAAGCTTGACGTGATGATGTGAGACGGCAAAGCACGAAACACCTGCGTTCCAGGACCGAGGAGAGCTCGTCTCATGCCAAGCTAGAATTGACAGCCATCTGAAGACTCTCCTCCTCTCAAATTCCTCTCTTCCTCTTCTTCTCTCCGAATTTTTCCATTCCCATTCCAATATACCCACCATGTCTTATCAACCGCGAAGCCGAGAGCTCTCCTGGGCGAAACCCCTCTCTGTGGACTTAATCCTCAAAGTCCTCAACGTCACCTTCCTCCACCCGTTCGTAGCATGGATGGTTCCGCTCTGCATGCGAGCGCAAGCTATGCCATGGACAGCTACGGCAATGCAGCTCTCGATCGGCTATGCAGGAATGTTGACGGCCTTGTTCTTCTTGGGAAATATTAACAAGCAAATCGCATACTCGAAGCCGCGCAAGGTAGATTTCTCTGAGGAGGTGATTGTGATCACAGGTGGTGCAAGCGGACTGGGTCTTCTACTGGCAGAAGTATATGGCATGAGGGGCGCTACGGTTGCAGTCCTTGATGTGAAGGACCTCGAGGCTGGCGAAGCGCGGGGTGTGTCGATGTACAAGTGTGATGTTGGGGACAAGGATCAGGTTGCGAAGGTGGCACTTGATATTGAAAGAGATGTGAGCTCTAAACACTATATAAATAGAGTTTTCTACTGACAATAAGTAGCTCGGAACACCTACTATTCTTATCAACAATGCCGCGGTCGTCAACGGCAAACCACTACTTGACCTCTCGCTGGACGAAATCGACCGAACTTTCAGGGTCAATCTGCTTTCGCACTTCTACACGATCAAAGCCTTCCTCCCGGGAATGGTCAGAGCGGGAAAAGGGACGCTCGTCACCATGTCCAGCGTCCTTGGCCAAATAGGTGCTGGCTCCCTCACGGACTACACAGCCTCTAAGGCTGGAATTACAGCTATGCATAAATCACTCGCAGCCGAATTGAAATCAACGCCCGGGATCCAGACGATATTAGTAACCCCAGGGCAACTTAGCACGCCATTGTTCAACGGAGTAGTAACCCCGAATTCGTTTTTTGGACCGGTACTGGAGCCAGTTGACGTTGCGAAGGAACTTATTGCTGCGATTGACTCTGGGAGCAGTGCTGTCTTGGCTATGCCATTGTATGCAAGATGGATTGACTGGTTGAATGTCATGCCAGTGGGTGTGCAAGCTATTATCAGAAATGTGGCGGGCGTTGATAAAGCGATGAAGGGGTATGTTGGACGAGAAGGAACGGGAGAGAAAGAGAGCCTGATATAGGCTGCGAATATGGTGCTGGCGTCACCTATATCAAATTAATGTAAATGTCGATGATTAATAACGAAGAATCAGAGCTTATTCTTAAGCTCACCAGAACGTCCCTCATTGAACGATTCTTTTCCTGCTGGAACCTGCTTTACCACTCTACCAAGACCCCACACCTATCAAGACCGATAAATTGATAGCTACACATGACACCAACTCCCCGGCCTCTGTAAGATAGCAAGTGACTTTTGTTTACAAAGTTTTTTGCTGAGTTCGAAAAAGCGGTTGGTGCACGGACATTTTCTTCTCTGCAGACGCGAAGTTCTCAAGAACTCCACGCGCCTGGAAGTAATTTCAAGCAAGGCTTCAATTCCACAACCAGCGTCACCCAGACATCCCCCGAAAGCTCCACCACCCTATCTCGAACCATAAATCATACTAAAACGCTTTGCGCATTTCTTGCGAAGAAGTTTTCAAGATGCAGGCACCGGTGGTGGTTATGAGTAAGTCCTTCCAGGAGCTTCCAGGACAATCAACCAAAATGCGAGCTCGAGTTTTGCTTTCTTGATGCTGACGAGTGCTGGCAGATACCCAGAGTGGTGATAGACAAACCGGACGAAAAGCACAGCTTTCGAATATCACAGCAGCCAAAACGTAAGCCGTCCAGCAGCCCCTCCACCAGCTCAGCAAGCCAAAGAGCCTCAAACCTGACTGCAAACAGTGTCGCAGATATCATTCGATCATGTTTAGGCCCCAAGGCTATGTTGAAGATGTTGCTGGACCCTATGGGCGGTATTGTCCTGACGAACGACGGTCATGCCATTCTCCGAGAAATCGAGGTCTCGCATCCAGCGGCGAAGAGCATGATCGAGCTTAGCAGAACACAAGACGAGGAAGTTGGAGACGGAACTACGACTGTCATTATCCTTGGTAGGCAGGATACCTAAGCGCTGTAGGAATAAGCTAATATGTCACAGCCGGTGAAATTCTTGCTCAAGCCCTCCCCCAGTTAGAGCGCAACATCCACCCTGTTGTAATCATCTCCGCCTTCAAGCATGCCCTCAAAGACGCCCTCGAAATCATCGACGAGATCTCACTCCCAGTCGACATCGATGACGACAAGGCCATGTACCAGCTAATTTCCTCCTCAATCGGCACGAAGTTCGTTTCCAGATGGTCAGAATTGATGTGTAATCTCGCCCTGCAAGCTGTCCGCACAGTAACCTTTGAAGTCGGTGGTGGTAAGAAGGAGGTCGACATCAAGCGTTACGCACGAGTTGAGAAGGTCCCAGGCGGAGAAATTGAAGACAGCAGAGTTCTGGATGGTGTCATGCTCAACAAGGATATCACGCACCCGAAGATGAGAAGACGGATAGAAAATCCTAGAATTGTCCTGTTAGATTGCACGCTGGAGTACAAGAAGGGAGAGTCTCAGACGAATATCGAGATCAGCAAGGAGGAGGACTGGAACAAGATCTTGCAGATCGAGGAGGAGCAGGTCAAGCTTATGTGTGATGCTATTCTGGCGGTCAAGCCGGATTTGGTAATCACCGAGAAGGGAGTTTCTGGTACGTTGATGTAATTCTGATTGTGGAACTTCTACTGACTGTCTAGATCTTGCCCAACATTACCTGCTCAAGGCCAACGTGACTGCGCTTCGCCGAGTTCGCAAATCAGACACCAACAGAGTGGCACGCGCCACCGGTGCAACCATCGTCAACCGGGTCGAAGACCTTCAAGAATCCGACGTCGGAACCAAATGCGGACTTTTCGAGATTGAGAAGATTGGCGACGAGTACTTCACTTTCCTAACTAAGTGCACGGATCCAAAGGCTTGCACCATCCTCCTGAGAGGTCCTTCAAAAGATATCTTGAACGAGATTGACAGAAATTTGGCGGATGCGATGGCTGTGGCAAGAAATGTCATGTTCCACCCCAGACTGTCGCCCGGTGGTGGTGCTACGGAGATGGCTGTTGCGGTCAGACTTGGACAGCTTGCTAAGAGCATTGAGGGTGTTCAACAATGGCCTTACAAGGCTGTTGCGGAGGCTATGGAGGTCATTCCCAGAACGCTCATTCAAAACGCTGGAGCCAGTCCTGTCAGAGTTCTGACTGCGCTGAGAGCTAAGCACGCTGAGGGTGGAAGCACGTGGGGTATTGACGGAGATACCGGAAAGCTTGTGGATATGAAGGAGTACGGTGTTTGGGAGCCGGAGGCAGTCAAGTTGCAAAGTATCAAGACTGCTATTGAGGTAAGCCTCCTTCACTTCTCATCCGCACCCTTATGCTAATACGAACTGTAGTCTGCGTGCTTGCTTTTGAGAGTAGACGATATCTGCAGTGCGAAGGCTGCACGACAAGCCGGTGGAGGTGGTGCGGGAGAGGAATAGATAGCGTTGCTTAAAAAAGTCAGTGTAATAGAAATGACGATAATACGGTGGGCATACCCTTGTAACATATCATGGAGCTCAAGGCCAATATATGTCCGGATCTCGTGCCCATCCACCTCGACGCATCGCACCCCGGGAAATATGATCTAACCAACCCCCGGGCTTCGGGTGTCAAATCAAAAGAGTGCTCTCGCTTCTAATCCGCAGCTTTCAATCGTCATCGTGAATGATAACGCCCTTCTCCTCAAGAGGCACCACGCCCATCACCCCACCCATATCCTCATCTTCCTTCCCTTCTCCGCCTAATCCATCCATGCCCTCTCTGACAATAACCCATGCCTTAACCTTTCCCCCCTTCCCCGCCCCTTCAGTCTCTATAGCATCCCCCTTCCCGCCCTTCTTCCTCTTTAACCGTTCCCTCTTCTCCCTATTTTTCCGCGTCTTCTCCCTATCCCTCTCCTCGCGCTCCCTCTTCTCCCTGTCCCACTTCGCCCCTTCCTCCTCCTTCTTTACCTCCTCATCCATTTCCTTCAACCTCTCATACTCCCGCCTCCGGCTCGCCTTGTACACATGGAACTCCCCAGATCCCGCGCCTGCACTCGATCCCTGCACATTCTGCACAATTTCCGGAGGGGCGCGACGGGTGTTTGCGGTGGTGAGAGCGCTGGAGGAGGGCAGGTGCAGGTCCTGGTCGGGTCTTGAGAAGAGGGATGTTATGGCTGAGGCGGTTTCGGAGCGCGGGCTGAGGGCGCGCTTCTTGAGGGGCCGTTTGGATCGCGGATCTGCGGAGGTGGGAATGGATTCGGGGATTGGTTCTGACATCTTTGGATTGGTGTGGTGTGGTCTGATGGGTGGAGGTGTCGTCCCTTGATCTACCCTTTGATACGGTAGTAGATACCTTGGAGGACTTATGGACCTCGATACTGATTGATGATCGAGGTGGCTGGATTAAAACTCCGGTTGCCGAGTTGAGATCGGATGAAATTGGGCCAGCTATGCAGGCCTTTTTTTCTGGCGTAAGATGTAGAGACTTGTGTCAAGTGTTCCTGGTGGATGAAGGTAGGGAGACAAAACATTACTCAGGTCAGGTAGCTGGATTGAAGTAGCGTCGGGTCCGGATTTATCCGGCCCAGCTTGTCACTATCGATAAGTCCTACAGTAACCAACCAACTTGCCCCCTCGATTCTCTAACCGCTGAAACAATCAGAGTTCCAACTGCAGGTCACAACTCACAAGATCAATGAATCGAAATCCAGGAGATTCCTTCCTCTTCCTTTCATCCATTATTTTCTGCCGATAACCAGACCATAAGATTCATACAAGATCCCAGGAAACTGGACCTTCTGATCGCACAGCCTTGCATTGCCTTGCCACACTACCGGTTGAAAGTCTCCAAGATGGGCAAACCACGGATGATAATCCTGATTCGTCACGCCCAATCGGAAGGGAACAGTAAGTTGTGTCCCTTCTCCTGGCACCCGTTCGTTTTCTGCTTCTTTGGGCCTCTTGCACACCCGGATCAATGTTGTACCCCTCACTAACGCCCCCTCAAGAGAACCGCGATATACACCAAACCATCCCCGACCATAGAGTAAAGCTCACATCCGACGGCTGGACACAAGCCCGCGATGCCGGTCGCCGTCTACGGTCCCTCCTACGTGCAGATGACACTCTCCATTTTTTCACCTCGCCTTACCGGCGAACGCGCGAGACTACCGAAGGCATACTCTCCACCTTGACCTCCCACGAGCCTTCCCCTTCCCCTTTCCATAGGAACTCTATAAAAGTATATGAGGAGCCGCGGCTACGAGAGCAGGATTTTGGGAACTTCCAGCCTTGTTCGGCGGAGATGGAGAGGATGTGGCAGGAGAGAGCCGACTATGGTCACTTCTTCTACAGAATCCCGAATGGAGAGAGTGCGGCCGATGCATATGACCGTGTTAGCGGTTTTAATGAGAGTTTATGGAGACAGTTTGGGGACGATGATTTTGCTTCTGTCGCTGTATTGGGTCGGTGGTAAATCTGCCTGGCGACGAACTGGGAGCTAATGTGAACCAGTAACTCACGGCTTGATGAGCAGAGTCTTCCTCATGAAATGGTACCATTTCAGCGTCGAATACTTCGAAGACCTTCGCAATGTTAATCACTGCGAATTCCTCATTATGCGCAGGAAAGAGGACTCGGGAAAATACATCCTCGAGAACAATCTCCGCACCTGGTCCGAACTCAAGCGAGAGCGTCTTGCTGCAAAAGAGAAAGCCAATTCTACACCCGTATCCGAGAAAGACAAAGAGAAGGAAAAGAGATTACTAGGAGCAGCTACGGATGGCACATCAGGAGTCAGTTCCCCAGCCACGATTCCCGTCCGCAAGAAGTGGGGAGGCTGTCCCAACGGCTGCGATCACGGCAAGCATCACTTCAAAAAGGAAAATAGCATGCACGCCATGCAAACCAACGGGCGAGCCTCCTCGGCCAGCTCACCCGTCGCTGGGCATGGTGATACGATTCAGTCCCGCCGACCAGCAGCTAGACGGTGGCAATCCTCTTCCGAAGAAGACGAAGACGACCCCAGAGGCGGAGCCGGTGCCCCGTTCCAGGTCGATGTGGGAAAAAGCTTGGACGAGACGGTCAGCAGTCCCGACGGAACCCCGAGCTTCATCTCCGTGGAGGATAGGTTACGGAATCGAATCAAGAGCCCGAAGAATGATTTCTTGGCTGTGAGGACTGCCGGGAGAAATATTGGTGGTTCCGCAGATACGTCGATGGCAGGAAGCGACACGGAGTTCTCGGCTGAGGAGGACGCCAGGAAGAGGTTGGCGAAGGGCAAGAATTTGGGTATTAGAGCTACAGCGGGAGCGGGGCATGGCAGTATTTTAGGGAATGATCGGGCAAGTGCGGCTGCGCTGAGTCAAATGAGGAAGTTGAGGGAGGAGAGCGGGCATCCGAGAGGTGCTTTGGCTGATGCGCTCGGAGACCAATCAGATGTAGGTTCAGATGCTGGCAGCGAGGCTGATCCGGACCTTCTGAAGGAGCTGGAGCTGGACGAAAAGCATGATAAGAGTATTAGAGGGAGTGTGTATTAAGCGAGCTCAGGTCTTGGCTCAGAAAGGGGGTGAGTAGAGGCTCGCTCGCTAGCAGTCGCGGTTAGCGAAGAAGGCATGGACTGCATTGCCCTTTGGGAGGTTCGGTTCGGGGTAGCTAGAAATGTATCATTCAAAGGGGATTGGGGGTTCAAAGATGGACACATCAGGAACGCATATAGCACAGCGAGGGGTGCGATTGTTTGAGAACGTATACCAAAGTGTTCACAACAAAAAGACCATACTGTACGGAATCGCCCAGTTCCCTTCCCCTCCCTCCCCCATCTGAGTCGGATCCAGGAAGCAATGAAGTATCCTCGGCTCGGCCAGCTTTTGGGGTTTCAATTCTTTTTGCAAGGGAGCTTATATGCGCGGGAGAACTACTACTGTGTGGCTGTAGCTGTAGCTGTAGCTGTAGCTGATATCAATCCCCCCGTGTTCTCAACTTTTTCCAACTCGTCATACCATACGGATTCCGTGCACTATCTATCTATCTATCTATCTATCTAGAGAAAGCTTGCAAATTTTTTTTTCCCCCCTACCACTGCACTCGGGGGGTGGGGTGTGTGAAAGGCGGGGGGGGGGGGAGCAAGGGGGAGAGAATGAATTCCTTACCGGGTCCATTCACACTGCTTAACTGACAGAACGGAGATCGGGCCCGTCGGTGGCGGTGGCGGTGGTTATTGGCAAAGGCGAGATGTGTAATTATTATTATATATATATATTGGAGGGGGGGGGGATTCGGACACTCAAGTTCTCAAGTTCTCAAGTTCTCGCGAGGACGAGATTGCAAGTCTCGCGAAAGGAACGAATCGAAGGGGGGGGGGAAGATCAAAATTGAGGATAGATATAAGGATTAAATTGAGTAGAGAAAAGATTATCAGGAGTTGTAGGTTAGGATAGGAGTCTACGGTTTTTTGTAACCATTGCAGACAGCAGAGCAGAGAAGAGCAGAGCATCGAGAATTTCCACATCAAAATTCAAATCCTCGAACTGTGAACTACCTGATAAGCTTACTATGAAGCTATTAAGCTAATAAGCAAGCTAATATTCTAGGTACCTATCTACTTTGAAATACCTACATACCTACCTACCTATCTACCTACAACGAATGGAGAGCAAAAACCGACCGACTGACCGACCGACAGAAAGACAGATATAATGCATCGCTAAGAAACAGCAAGAAGAATCCGCTCGTGCCCACTACCTATCTATGCGCGCACGATTGATTATGGCTCCTCGCACGCTCATCGCTCGCTCGCTCGCTGCATCGCTATCACCACCCAAATCCCCCATTTCCAAATAAACACCGCTCTGTTCTTCAACTAAAAAGCAAAGTAGAAGCAGATGCGACATACCGCACAGCGCTTTTGTCATGTTCCTTCTCGTTTTCGCGCGAGCAGCAGTAAAAACAGACAGGTCCAGACAGTTGATCAGAAGCCAAGCCAAAAATGGGAAAAAAAAAAAAAAAGAGAAACCCCCCTCCGCCCGCCCCAGGCCACAAACAAAATATTCAGCACAGCTTCCCAACGTCTGCAGATATCCTCGAGTGTGTTAATAAAGCAAGTTACATATATAAATAAAACAACACCAGTCCTATTAAGCGCCTTTTGCCGTACAGCGCTTTCGCATTAGTCGTTCCTTCGCTTCGGCCGTTAGTGTCATATCGGTTCGTTTGTCGCTTTGGCTGGCTATGACCCTCCTCTTGACGATCGTGGGATTGAATATCGCTACCTGGGTCTAATGTTCATTTTTCTGTCGTCGTATTCCCTTTGAGTATCTAGTAGCGGCTACTTCTGCCCTAACTTTCATCCAAAATTTATCTCTGTCAGTCAGGAAGTCAGTATAGTTCATCTCCGAATTCTCACCCGATAGATAACACCCCTCATAAGAAAGGATCACGTACCAGCATAAACGGGGGCCTGCCACGCCTTAACCTTGGGCTTGGGCTTCCCATTCGGCATCGAGCTCCCCAAACTCGCACTCCCGGACCTCGACTTGCTCTCCGAACTCCGACTCTTGTTCCCGCTCGATACGCTCATGGAATCAGCATCCCTCGATATCATCCTCGGCCTGGTCGGCGACATGGGCTGCGTAGGAAAGCTAGGCCCTGGACCCCAGGCCACGCTCGACACCACTGATGCCGTGCGTGCAAGGCTGTATGCCACGGCTCCTGTGAGGCCGATCGTGCCTCCGTTCGCCGTCACAGGGTTGACGCTTGCGCATGCCTCGGCTGCTGCTCGCTGTGAAGCCAGACGTAGCTGGTCGAATCCGAAGTTCCACTCTTTTTCTTCTGCCTTTCGCGGCAAACAATGGATCCGGCCCCTGGATTCCTGCGTTGCACCAAGACCGCAGAATTCTACTAGAATGTGGTGCACCCTCTCCTCAACATCACAGGCGCTAGGCCGCTCTTCCGGGTTTGGGTTCATCATCTTCTCGATCAAGGCCAGGATATGGCTCATGCCTCTGAAGACCCTGTCCTCCTTCTTCTTGGCTTCCTTAGCGAGGATGCTCATCCAGCTCTCTACTTGCTTGAAATTCTTGTGGAAGGACGAATCGGGGAAACCGCCCCCTCGGCCGGCGGTTTTGTTTTTGCAGGAGCGGTAGGAGGCGAAGTTGCGGGAGCTGCGTTTCATCAAAAAGGTCATGATCTCAAGGAATATTGCGCCGAGGGAGTATATATCTGCCTTTTGAGGATCGTGGGTTTCTCTCAGGTAAGATTTGGAAGATGAATCGCTATTGGAGGCCGACGGCGTTTGTGCAGGGGCTGATGAGAAGGTGTACATCGAGGAAGAGTCGTCGGATGCTGAGAAATTTTGCTGGGCAGTTGAGAAGCCAAATGCGTTTCCTTGCAGTGAAACGGAACGTCTGCCTGAACTCAGACGCGAAGTTCTCGGAGCTGTTGGTGGCCAGATTATCTGTTCTGGCGCTTTGTAGTCGTACATTTCCTTGTCAGAGCCTTCCTTCTCGGTGCCGAAACTAATTGAGTCGCTGAGAAAGATGTGGTTATCTACGTCGAGTAATATGTTGGAAGGTTTGATGGCTTTGTGAGCATGCCCTTTGCTGTGGAGAAATGAGACAGCGTCTGCCAGACAGTGGAGCCAATTCAGGATCAGTACGCGACGGTCTTGCTTAGCAAGTATCTTGACAGACTGAGGCGTCATGTTCAAGAATGACTTTAATGAGCTCTCATTTACCGGTGCCAGGAGAACATAGCCACTTTCCTGGTGAATATATGAGGCCCATAGAGACGTTAAGTGATCGTGTTCGAGAATTTTCATGGTGTCCAGACCAGATAAAAACTCCTCTTGTGGCATACGGCCAGGTGTGGCACCTAGTGGTATCCGTCGGCGCACAAAAACATTGTCAGGTCTTCCTGGTAGATGAACCTTGTCGATGTTGCTCTGCGTGAGACCCGCGACAGCTCCAAGAGGTCGTTTCTCCGCTAGTTCCAAAGGAACCACCTCTTCATCATCATAGTACTCGTGCACTCCTTTTTGAACATTCCTCAGAAGGTAGATAAATTGGCGGTGGAAGAATCTCTTCTCGAGCTTCTCATCCCTGTCGTAAGTCAACTGCAATCGCTCCACCTGTTCCAGCGGCACCGGTAAATCATCGTCATCCCAGGAATCGTCGATGACCCCGAAGATCTGATCCGGAACACCGAGATCGACTAAGATCAAGAAAATTCGCTTCGACTTTTCCTCGATCCATTCCATGTAAGTATCGTCGGTCAGGCCATCTCCAAAAGCCAACGGTTCGTCTAGTCGTGCTTGTTCATCTGGCCGTAGTTTTGATAATACAAACTGGCGATTGACGGTAGCATCAATCCGTTCTTCGTCCCACCACATTGTTACAGGTGTATCGTACACGATCCCATTGGTTTGACGACTGGCACCGGCGAAGCTGGAATATATGGGAGAATTTGTACAGGATTGCTGCTCTCGATTTGCAGCCAGGGATGCCCGACGGTATTCCATGTTGAGTGGTCCTCACATCCACAATTGCCAGAGCAGCGAGATGAGCTGCCAATGCTTGGTGGTGTCTTTTGAAGATAGGAGTTCGACTCAAATCAAGTAGGTCTCAAGAAGAAGCTCGGATGAGGGGCAATGTGGTGGATTTGGATATTATAACGACAGGTCCACAAGCGCCGAGATAGCATTAGCTTTGCATGATGCAGACAGGGCTCGGAGTTTTTTAAAAGAAGCAATCATAAGCACAGTGCGAAAGCGAGGATAGGCCTGAGCTTTGAAGCACACTTGTAGCTCCGGCTCGAAGGCTGTGGACATCAACGCTTCCACGATGCGTAGATTACTGGCTCCAGGCTGGGGTCATAACGCCGCGGACGATCACCCTAACCCTGGCAGTACGCACCAGACGCGGGATGACAGTCGTTAAACTTGTTACGGTACTTGAAGTAGGAAGAGCTTGCAAGAACAAGAAATCAGGGAGTTTGGAGATTTTTGTGAGGCGGAAAATCGCTAGTATAACTCGATTTTTGGTGGGTATTTTCTCGGCAGAATGATGTTGGCTGTTCGAAGAGACGAGCTTCCCCGTCTCTGTCGCCTGCGGCGAAAGGAAGAACTTAGAAATTGAGAAGCGACTTTCTCTGTTTTCTTCTTTATAAAGTCGGGTGGGACAGAATAAGGTGTAGCTCTTCTGGTACGAAGTGGGAAGTACGCACATTTATTCCCATCTTCTAAAGATGTCGAGTATTTTTATCGACAGGAGCCTATGTATCAACCGGGATCAGGATATCAAGTAAATCTCAGCATCGAATTCGAGATCGTGTGGAGAAGAGCAGACCGATATCCAAATCTTTTGACGCTTGGCGTCTCCATGTGATCAAGAAATGCGATGTGTCTGCCATGCAACCTTATCGCCACGAGGTTTTCTTCGCTTGTCGACGTGGGCAGTGGGGTAAAATTTGAAAACGTTCACTAGTCCATCGGTACTTTTGTTGCCACTCGACAGCTTTCCTTGCCACATTGATGTCCTGAGCAGTGTTCTCTCTCTAGTTCAATAGCGCGGTCGCACCGGACGGGATTGTACTGCTAGTGCTGCTTGAGCTTGAAATCTATCCCCCAGATCCAGATGTTCATCTTGATTGGAGCAATGTGGAGAGCCATACTTGTTCCACTGATAGGTTGCGTTCTGGTCATGTCATGGGATGAGATCAATATTGCGAACCACCTCTGCATGCCAGCTCTGCCAAGGTAACTATAATCCATCCGTCAGTTTGATACTGTGGGTTAGAGCCGGCATGCAATACTGTATCAGACCCCCTGAAGATGCGAACGGCAAAAGACAGACTGAACCAACGCAACGAAGATCGACCTGACCCAGCAGCACGGGTCAAGTGCTGACGTCGGTTCGGCTCATACCGACCTACTTGTGTGACCAGAGTTGGTATCACACAGGTCCTCGTGGCTAAGTCATACCGAGTACGGTTCCCCGTACCCACTCTCCTGTGGGTATTCTGCACTCAGCTATTAGGCCTTGCGACTATGAAAAGGTAGAAATGGTGGGCAAGTCGGATCGATAGATAAGGGAAGCTTTCATTCCCCAGGCACGACATGGACCCAAGCTAGCGCAAGCAAATGGGCCGTGGAGGTGGATGGGGATGGGGACCCCACTATTCACAGTAGAGTAGTCGGCTGATGAGTAGGAAATGTCCAGGCCAAACAATGGCCCTCTGACTCCCCATGATCTGCTTGGCTACAAGTAGCCTATATGCACAAAGCCGTTGCCAAGTAGTCAAAGCTTTCTGGAGATCAAGCAGGGTGGAGGGAGGAAGCAGCTCAGTGTTCCTGCAGATAGCCTCCTCGCTGACAGGTTGTGGAGCAGCCGAAGGTCGTAAAGCAGCCGAGAGGTCGTGGAGGACTGGAAAGTATTTCCGTTGGCTGCGGGTATCGAAGACACCAGGGAAGGTAGGCAATTGTGATGGCGATAAGACCGCGGTGACGGCGATGGGCATTGCAATGGCAAGCAAGCGGAATTGACATACCCGATCCGAGGTTGCAAGTAGCCGCTTTATTGCAGAGTCCCATTGGTTCTCATCTCATTGTGCACTTGGTGTACGTAGTGGATGTTAATATGTTGCAAAGGGAGGTTGAAAAAAGGTTTGCGGTGGACCCTGCCTAGCATAGTCTCCGCACGTGATACACCATAACCGCCAAGTCTTTACTGCATCTTGCTGGCGCTCGCAAGTCATCCCTTTTTCACGTCCTCGATTATGCATTGATAACGTTGCATCGGCGCGACGTAACTCATGGCTGAAGCGAGGCGCAACCCACGGATTGACATGGGGGCCGGATCGCCCAGTGATCTATCTTTTTTTTATCACGCGCACCTTTTCATCTCTTTTCTCAGGCCTTTCGTGATGCATTTTACCCAGCCCGTTTTCAATCAATCGTTACGGCTCAGTTATTCTACTCGCTGCCATCATGGAATCAAATAGGATTCTATCCCGAAATTTCTTGTCAAGTGTCACGAGGAGTCCCGGAGGTACAGCTAGCTGTATGTTGCCTCATCCCATCCGCTCTTGTCATACCCACTCTCCGGGGAAGGCCTTCCGGATACGGGGGAGGGGTCCGTGTTGAGTAAAGTAGCAGCTCAATCGTCGAGCATTGCTTGTGTTCCATCGCGTACTGCGATTCTACGACGGCACCCTTGTCTTGCTGCCTCGGCCACTCGGCGCTTTATATACGTCGGAATCTGGGCAAGACTGCGTTATCTTACACAGCGTTGGCTGGCGGGCCGGACTCATGGTCGGCAGCAAGGTCGTGCTTCTTGCCGCAGTATCTGAGTCGCTCTATGGCTGTGGAATATTATGCGTGATGAAAGAGGCCGACGCAGCGGAGTAAAAAACAAGATCTTCACGGATGTGAAGTAAACGCTGGATAGTTCGAGATGAAGACATCAAAGGGTACGGGCATATCAGCTCACTCACAGAACCAAAGTCCAACACAGAGGTCGCCGCAGCCCGAGGGTTTAAGCTTCAGATAAGCCAGAGTATCATCATGATTGTGATCACGGCTAAAGCCCTGCCTGACCTGGCAGCTCTCTATAATCAAACAACCTCCACGTCCGCCTGGCAGCCCGTTTTCCTCGGACCACTTCCGCTGCGTTACATCACCAGCAACATTCTTCCCATCCTCCGAGCTGCCGTAAGTAAACATGGCGCAGCCATCCAACCAAGCTATTACTCTAAGCCAATCTCGAACTCGAATAAATAGCTATCTCCATTCGCAACATGGGAGCGCCAGAGCTAAACACAGAGAGGGCCGGTAGGTGGGCAGCACTCTCACATCGGATCTGATTCGAATGCAACTGTCTTCCGTATTGCTCCAGTACTGGCTTCCCTAGTCTCTAGCGAAAAGACAACCAGTAAACTCCATTGTCGTGTTGGACGTCCCCAGCCCAAACCAGCAAGCAAGCCAACCGAAAACTGCAAAAGCAAAGTACTGAAAAGTGCCGTTCACTACCAAGACTCAGACTCGGACTCGATCTGCGCCTGTAAGCCCTCATTCAGCAGGTCCAAGCAAAACCTCGAAGCTGCACCAGCATCCATCACGTTAGCCGAGCTCATAAATGAGTGAGTGAAAGGGGGTAGCGACGACTTACGCATAGGCACCTCCTCAATCATGCACCCGCGCTCCAGCGCCTCGACTGCGGCCTCCAACCGCGCCGAGTTGTAGCAGTGGTACTCTCGCTGCAGCGCTACCATCTTCTCCCAGCACTCGGCGTCTGATTCCCCTCGCTGCGGGACGAAGATTGGCGCTGCTGCGCTCCTTGAATTCGGGTGCGAGCTTTCACCTGGATTTGAGTGCGTGTTTGTGACATTGGTGTTTGCTGCTGCGAATGGCGAGGCGGGGAGGCCTAGGCCGGGGAGGGCAGGAGGCGGCGGGCTGCGCCGTGAAGAGTGATTGTCGCTGGCTGTGCGCGAGGAGAGGGTGCGGCGGTTGTGGATAGTCGGCGGTGGACTGGGACTCGGCGACGGGGGTTGTGACTGTGGTGGGGATGGCGAAGGCGAGGTTGAGAAACTGCTGCTCATGTTCGAGTGGAAGCCCGGCGATGTGCAATTTTCGCTTAAAACCGACGACATTCTTACTGCTACCGCTGATGAGAGGGCCCAGAGGAAGGTGTTTTCGTCGAAAGAAGATATGAGGTGGAACTGTCTATCTTTCTCTCCACAAACGAGTGGGATGAAACCAAGCAAGATACAAGAACTTCGGCAAATGCTTATTTCGTCTCGTTCTCCCTTCCAAGAAGTTCCTCCGTATTCCAAAGCCAAGAGCTCAAAAGGAGAAACGCAAGGAAAAAAGCAGGTAAAAGAGACGTAAATGCAAGGGGGCGGGGCGATGGCCAACGTATAAGTAGGCAGGCAAAGCGTAGAGTGTGGTGGATGTTGTGCAGCAAGTTTCCTTCTCTTGCAGGGTTCTGTCCCCGAGCTCGGGAACTGGAGGCTTGTCGATCACGGCCAATCTAAATCTAGGGCCCGCGCTTGGTATTTGTAATGTACCGTATATGAATATGATAAGCAGGAAGTGGAAAGCGGTATTCGATTAATGGAGGGAGGGGTGGAGGAGTAAGTGAGTGAGTTATTGAGTGAATTATTGAGCGAGTTATTGAGAGAATGAGTTTTTTTCAGTGAGTGAGGGCACTGCAAGCCATCTATCTTGTGGACCACGTACCTGTTTATATACGTATGTGTGTACGTGTTGTGTTGTGTTTGTTGTATCGTGTCATGTTCGTATGGGATGATTGTTGCCGGGTATGGATAGGCCAGCACGTCGACCTCGGATCTGATCGGATCTGGATCTGGATCTGATGATTCTGGCGCTGGTTCTGATCTGATCTGATCTAACCTGGCCTGACCTGATCTGGTCTGGTCTGGTCTGGTCTGGTCTGGTCTGGTCAGGTCTGGGCCGAGTACGGTCAGGTCCAACCATTTTAGCAATTGCTGTTTACCTTTATCTGAGACTGCTTGCAGCCATCGATCGCAGGAGGGCGCGGGTGGATGTCATGCCGAAAAATCTTGGCATTTGTCTTGGGTGCCGAATGGACGACTAAGCGACGATACATAGTGACGACATGTTGGCTGGGACTCTGGTCCGATGTTTCTTCATTCATTCTTTTTCTTTACGTACCGGTATATGGTCGGTATTATGGTCGGTATATTATTAAATGAAGACTGAACATCTGATCCGCGCAAATGATGATCAAGCGAGATGGTGATGACCAACCATTCGTTTGTTTGGTAGCGAGCGATCGTCATATTCTCAAGACGTCCAACTAATTTCTCCTTGCTCTCCCTCTCTCCCTCCCCTAGCCTGCTTGCTCATCTCCCTTTACTACAACAAATAAACATGGCGACTGACGTAGATACATACACACATACCTACGGACGGAGCTACGACATACGTAACCAAAGTGGGGATTTCCAACACCGTTCCACCAAGTCCTGTTCCCGATCAAGTACTCTTTGCATAATCGATTTTCTCGAGTCATGAAAGGGGGAAAAAAAAAGAGGGTTTGTTGCTAGGACGAGGATCTGCACAGGGATCTACAGCGGGACGGGTTGGGCCTGGCGAGAATATTTCTAAGTAGAGTTCCCTCGGCCCTTAAGCAACAAGTTCCCTGTCAAGCCGGGAATCGAGATGTTCCAATTTTCTTTCATTGTGCCTTTCGTTTGATCTCTGACGGCTGCAGGGTGTGGACAGATACCTAGATAGGTCCTGTTTGGGGAAAGTTCTATGATAAGTCTTTCTTATCAGAAGTGTGTTTGGCAAAAGTGAGACACGGTCCGGTTTGAGTAGGATGAGAAACGGGTTACGACGGGGGAGGGATCATTCTGAATAATTTATATAGCGAGGCGGGCGTCTCGAAGTAATAGGGAATGTCTGTGTCTGAATGTCTGCATCCTCCCATAGATACAGCACGCAAAAGCAGAGTAGAGCAGAGCAGTATATCCAAGTCATCTTTCATCTGGAAAGGCGTCTTGTTTTCTCCCTCCTCAATGAAGTTGGTTGAGGGGTCCTACTTATTTTCTCCGTCTCATGCCTACTCAGCGCTTGGAGGGTCAGCCGTAAACAACCCGTTTAATGGAAATCACCTGCTTTGAGAGTTTGAAGAAGACTCCTATGTACAAGGGTCTGGGTTGGGACCTACTTCTTCTCCTTCTCGCCTCCCTGTCCTTCTACTTCTCTTATTTATTCCCTTGCGCACCATTCTTCGTCTTGTCACTCTTGCTATCCTCTTTCGAGACTTCCTCCCCCTCCTTGCTCTCCTCCATCTCTTCCTCTTCCTCCTCTTCCTTCTCCTCCTCCGCCAGCTTAGCCTGTCTCATCTTCTCCTCCTTCTCCAGCGCTACCCACTGCGCGTCCTTATCTGCCTTGATATAATCGGCAGGACTCTTCAGATTCGCATCCGACTTGATGATTCGTCCTCTGCCCACCAAACTAATCACAATCGACGCTCCAACGAAGAACGTCAACACGTATCGGTAGATACCGTACCACTCCGGAAACCATCCTCGAGAAGTCGCCCGCGCATCTGCGAAGTAGAGGAAGTTGAAGGCGAGGAATTGAGTGATGAGGGCGTATTCGACGGGCATGAACATCGTGGGCCAAGCGATGGCTGGCGCAATGACCCCGTACATGTAGCGGCTGTAGCTGTGGTAGCCTCCGAATCCCGCGTACTCCATTCCCCAATGAATCGCACCCAGGAAGGAGATGATCTGGGCCTCGTGAGTATGAAGAGCAATGGCAGATAATGGTTACTTACAACAGCACCATAACCGATCTGGATAGGGATAACTATGTCAAGCAGTTGGTGAGCTGTCTCTGGGGGGAAGAGCCAACCACTTCCGTGGGCATGGGCGTGGTTGATGTCGAAAGCTAGGAAGACTGTTGACATGGAGGTTGCTGCATAGGGCAGGATTCCTGCAGCACCGATGTACAGGGACTCCTTGGGGACACCGGACAGCGAGAAGGTCTCTTTGATCGTCCTGAGATCTGCTTTCAAGCCAGCGCTCATGTCAGGTTCTGCCTTCCCACCCTGGCCCTCTTCAAAGACATGTCGAACACTGGATCCACCTGCAACATGATCTGGATCTTGCTCGATCTTTGCCTCTGCGATTTTCTGCTCGGCTTTTGTGTCAACTTCGTCGAAAGGAGACTTTGTTGCGTAGAAAAAGCTCGTAGTACTAGGGCGGGAGAGCGCAAGCAGAACCTGGGGTCGTTTATTATTCAATTGGCGGAGGGGAGTGGCATGTCGGAATGGGGAGGAAGCTGCACTATAGCTGGATCTTGCCGTTGAAGCTGGAGCTTTGGTAAAGCTTCTCAGCAAAGATCGTGAGGATGTCGTGCGAAGCATCATGGTGACGAAGAAAACGGACTTGAGCTGTTTCAGCGGAAGCTTCCCCACCAATGTGGTCGATGCGCGCTCGATAGAGTTACTTGAGTACAGGCGGAAGATACGAAAGTCAATTGACGACGTGCGGAGTGGTCGTTTGAGTCCGAAGACGCGGAGTGAGAGTTGTTTTCTGAATGCCGGAACGTGAGTCTCTCCAGAGGCCAGAGGGCAGTTGTCTTTGTCGTCAGTACAGTAATACAACGGCTAAGGACAGTTCCACCCAGATACAGCTTTGGTCCCGCCTCGCTCCCTAAACTATGACGTAGTAAGTACGGAGCTGTCAACACAGTAAGAAGAAGCTGAAGAACGAAAATGCCTTGCCACGCCACGTATAGTAAGATCGGCAGGAAAAATCTTGCCCTCTACTAGAAAATCGCATTGCAACGTACTACACCCAGGTCATTTTCGCGTAATACTTCGCGCCGTCAAAATATCCGTCTGATCTTGGAGTTGGTGTTTCCTCGACGAAAGCTTGTTTTCTCGCGGGGAACTTGCGATTTACAGTCCCGTCCCAGACCCAGACCCAGATAAGCCAGACGGCCCCTTCCTTCATCCACTTCACTTCTGCGAGACCACGCCATATCCCTTAATACCCTGCGAGCGCGAATATTGTCTTGTCCTTCCCATATCACGACTGCCATGACCTGAAAACCTGCTCAAATATCCTCGGCCACTGTCGCGAAATCGCAGAAGCTGATGAGAACGCCTTTACGAGTCTACTGAAACGAACACCCCGCCTGGGTAACGGCAACCAGTGCGCAAGATGTTGGAAGGACTCGTGGCCTCGCTGCTGAATCGATTTCTGGGCATGTACATCAGAAACTTCGACCCCAAGCAACTGAACGTCGGGATCTGGTCGGGCGACGTCAAGCTGCGGAACCTCGAGCTTCGACGAGAAGCACTGGACCAGCTGAAGCTGCCTATCAATGTCGTCGAGGGCCATCTGGGACAGCTCACGCTCAAGATACCGTGGTCGAATCTGCGAGGGTCGCCGGTGCAGGTGTACATCGAGAATGTGTACGTGCTGGCAGCGCCCAAGGAGGATGCGGAGTGGGACGAGGAGGAGGAGGAGCGGAGAACGCAGGCTGTCAAGATTGAGAAGCTGGAAAGTGCCGAGATGCTAAAGGACCGTAACCAGGAAGGCATGAGCCAGGAGGAACAGCAGAAGAGCCAGAGCTTTACGGATAGTCTGGTTACAAAGATTGTCGACAATCTGCAAATCACGGTCAAGAACATCCATGTTCGGTACGAGGACTCGATATCAGCACCTGGACACCCCTTTGCTCTTGGAGTAACGCTTCAGGAGTTCAGCGCGATTAGTACGGATGGGAACTGGAAGCCTACATACATACAAGACACTGTTGGAGCTACTCATAAGCTCGCCACCCTTGGTGCTCTAGCGGTGTATTGGAATACGGATACCCTTCTGATGGGGACTGGTAGAGAGGCTGAAGTTCTTGATGCGGAGGTCCTACCTCACGACAAATTGCTAGAGAAATTCAAGGAAATGATTGTCAGAGGGGAGGACCGAGAGACAAGCAGCCATCAATTCATCCTCAAACCCGTCAGTGGGCAAGCGAAGATCGAAATGGACAAGTCTGGAAAATCCGACAGGCCTCATATCAAGGCTGGATTGATCTTCGATGAAATCGGACTTGTCTTGGATGACGCTCAATACCGGGATGCGTTGATGATGGTGGATCTGTTCCATTACTTCATCCGCCATCAAGAGTACAAGAAACTCCAGCCCAAGGGTGTCACGCCAAAGCAAGATCCACGAGCGTGGCTTCAATTCGCTGGCAACGCTATCTTGAGTAAAATTCATGATCGGAATCGCCGGTGGTCCTGGGCTTTCTTCAAAGAGAGAAGAGACGACAGAATTCGCTACATTGAGCTTTTCAAGAAGAAGAAAAAGGCTGAGCCCCCTTTGACACCAGAGGAAGTAACTGACCTAGAAAAACTTGAGTGGAAGTTGAATTATGAAGATATGCGTTTCTGGAGGTCACTGGCGGCGACTCAGCTTAAGAAAGAGAACGTTGGTGTAAAGAAATCACAAACCGCCAAGAAAAACCAGGGATGGGTTGCTTGGGCCTGGGGTTCGAAGCCCCAGGAAGAGGAGGAGGACCCCGAGACCAGCATGTCCGAGGAGCAACGCAAAGAGCTGTACGATGCTATTGATTGGGATGAGAAGACCGCCCTCGCTGAAAGCGTCGACTTGCCGAAAGACTCAGTGAAGATGCAGATTGATGCATCGCTCAATACTGGAAGTTTCACACTGAAGCGTGATCCACACGATGATGTGGTCGAGGTTCTTAGTCTGTTTTTTGATGGTTTCCGGGCCAAGTTTCTTCAGCGACCAGAATCGTTCCTGGCTGACGTTAGCCTGAATGGTTTGCGGGTCAATGATGGCACTACCCCTGACAGCTTGTTCACTCAGATCGTGCGTGTCAAGGATGCGCCGGATACACCGACGCAAAAGCTACAGATTGATAGCGGAGACATCGCCGAGGAGTCCGTGGACCCTTTCTTCCAGTTCCAGTTCGAGACGAATCCTCTAGACGGCGCAAGTGATCTCGCGCTCACTGGAAAGTTGAAGCCACTCGAAATCATCTGGAATCCCCTGTTCTTGGTTGGGATAATCGAATTCTTCAAGCCCCCCGAGAGACACATGGAATCTATTGGAGCGCTCATGGAGAGTGCTGGGGCTACCGTCGAAAGTCTTCGACAACAAACTAGAGCTGGACTCGAATTCGCGCTGGAGGAGCATAAGACCCTGAACGCCAAGTTGGATCTCCAAGCACCTTTAATAATTGTGCCTGAGAGCATCACGACTAAGAGTACCATGTGTTTGATTCTGGATGCTGGTCATATCAGTATGAACAGTCAGCTTGTTGACCCTGAGAAAATGAAGGAGGTCCAGGCAAAGCAGAGGCAGTCGTACACCGACGAGGACTTCAAGAGATTGGAGTCTCTCATGTATGACAAGTTCCTGGTCAAGTTGTCGTCCACTCAGGTCCTGATCGGGCCTTCGATTGAGGAAACCAAGGCTCAGCTCGACAACAGAGACGAGTCTAAATCGATGCATATTGTCGAACAGATCAACATTGACTTCATGGTCGAAACTTCCATTATGCCCAAAGCTCCTAATTTGGCAAAAGTTCGTATCTCTGGTAATCTTCCGGTACTGCATGTTGCTGTATCAGACAAGAAGTACAAGAGCTTAATGCGTATCATTGATGTTGCTATTCCAAATTTAGACGAAGAGGAAGCAACGCCCGCACAAAAGTCAGTGACAAAGACTGGATCTAGCCAGCGGCCTCGTGCTCAAAGCACGGCCGCTTATACTGATAAAGTGAAGAATCGCAAGTCGACTTCATCCTTCGATTTTTCAACCCAAGAAGCTGTCATCCTCCAAGATGATACCGATTCTGACAAGGAGGATCCGTTCCAGGACGCTGAGAACGGAAATGCTAGCGACAAGCTTATGGTTCAGCAACACAACTTTGAGCTCAAGTTCGAGGTCGAGCGGCTCCAAGGCTCTCTTTACAGAAGCGATCCAGAAGGGAAAAAGCCAGACCAGCTTCTGGTGGAGCTGGTTGCCGAAAATTTTGGCCTAAATCTGGTTGTGCGACCATATGATCTGATTATCGACACATCACTCAAATCTGTGGTCATTGACGACTACGTAGAGAATCCTTCTGCGGAGTTCAAGTCCATCGTATCTTCAGGGGATGCTGACGAGGCTTCTGACGACCACAAGGACCTGATCCAAGTCAAGATCATCAAAGTTAGGCCCGATTCACCTGAATTCATGCCGAAGTATGAAGGAATCGAGATAAACATTGATGTTGCAATCTCTACAATCAACCTAATCGTCACCCGCAAAACCTTATTGACTTTGCTCGATTTCATCTTGATCACGTTTGCCGATGGCAACGATCCTCCAGCTTCAGATGATCCTCAGAAACAAATCATGGACTCTGAGAACGATGAAGACATAGCAGTTACTGCTCCTGAGGCAAAGCCAGATGCTGGGTCTGTAAGAATCAAGGTGGATCTAAAGAGCATTGTGCTCATTCTCAACAACGACGGCATTCGCCTCGCTACTCTGACTCTTAGTGCTGCTGATGTTGGCATCTTTGTGATGACCAAGACCTTACGAATCGCTGCCAAGCTTGGAGATCTTTCACTCCTGGACGACATCAATCAAGGCGCATCCTCAGATTCCAACCTTCGGCAGCTGATTACGATTCAAGGCGATGATCTGGCAGACTTCCGCTACGAGACCTTTGATCCTGACAGCGGAGACGCATATCCCGGCTACGACTCGTCGATTTTCCTCCGAGCTGGATCCATCAAGCTGAACTTCTTGGAAGAACCATTCCGAAAGATCATTGACTTCTTGGTCAAGTTTGGGAAGATGCAGGCTATCTTCAACGCTGCCAGACAAGCCGCAGCAAACCAAGCAAATCAACTCCAACAGAATGCGAGCCGTATCAAGTTTGATATCAATGTCCAAACGCCCATCGTAGTTTTCCCCCGAGTAATGATGGCTGATAAACCAAAACGAGACTTACTCACAGCATATCTGGGAGAGATTTACGTGGAGAACAAATTCGTTCCACTAGATGATTCCAAGGATGCTATTATTGCGATGAAGCTTTCAGCAGGGATCAGGAATGTTCGACTGACCTCTGACTTCCACTACTCGGAGGACCGAGCTGAAGAGCTGGAGCTCATTGACAAGGTAGATATTGGTTTTCAGATTACCTACGCTGAGCATGTCGAGGGTATCAAGAGGCCTGATACAGAGATCGAAGGTAGCATGACAGACTTCAACCTTCACATTACCCAAAACCAGCTCAAGTTCTTGTTGGAGCTCGCCAGATCCGTCCCGGCGGCATTCGCAATCGATGCAGATGAGGACGAGCAGTCGGCTATCGAGGATGTGCCTAAAGCTACCTTGAAGAAGGCCAAGTCGATTGAGCCCAGGGCCAACGACGGATCACAGGAGTCGGAAAATTTGCTCGCTAGCCTCGGACCGGAACTGGGTGTCGATTCAAGAAGTTGGACCCAACTTGACCTTGCGTTTCACGTCCATACAATCGGGCTGGAGCTTATCCTGGCAAAAGACGATGAGCCTGTCAGAGACCTCGAGGCATCAAGTCTATCCAAATTCTCTCTGGATGATACGAAAGTGAAGCTGCGTATGATGACCGATGGCTCTTTGGAGTCCGAGCTATTGATTCAGTCTTTTACGATACAGGACAGCAGGACCAAGTCAACTAATAAGTTCCGCAAGATCATGACCTCCTCTAACAAGGATGTTCAACAGTTCATGGCAAGCGTTACTATTTCTGGTGGAAAAGAGCGTAACCTCATCGCCATCGTGGCAGTTGATAGTCCTCGTGTCATATTCGCACTAGACTACCTCTTCGCGATCCAGAAGTTCGTCGCAGAAGGGTTGGTAGTCGAAGAGTCGCCGATTCAAGATGATGAAAGCATGACTGAGTTGCAGGATGACACAGACAATGAATCGACTATGGTGGGATCCAGACCAACACTTGCACGTACTAAATCCACAAAATCACTTGCGAAGACTTCAAGTCAAGCTTCCTCTCAGGCAGGCGAATCCTCAATGACAATTGCCTTCAGAATCAATGTCGTTGACGCTCAGCTCATCTTGATCGCAAACCCGTTGAGCTCGAACTCAGAAGCTATTGTCCTTGGTACTAAGCAGATCATCATGTCTCAGCAGCATGCTCTGACTCTGCAAGTCTCTAAGATGGGGATGTTCTTGTGTCGGATGGATCGTTTCGAGGATTCTCGCCTGCGAATTCTGGATGACTTTTCCCTCTCACTGTCAATGGACAGCTCGAAGGAAAATTTGTCAAGCATTCATATCGATGTCGAGCCGCTGGTGCTACGCTTATCGCTTCGAGATATTCTTCTGGCCACCCAGATCGTGAGTAAGGCCTCCGAGCTATCAGGTAATGATGATCAAGAAGAAAATAAGCAGTCTGCTTCGGACGAGAAGTCGAGGCAGCTCAAGGGTTCCGGTGATGGGTCTTTGAAGCGGAGATCTGCTAGCGGGAAGGGGGCATCGACAATGGCAAAGAAGAGTAAAGCTGCCACTGTTGCGCCTACCAAGCAAACGCAGTCCTCGGTCAAGCGACTGATCACGAAGCACGAGGAACTAAGTGCTACTCTGGAGGGCATGAGAGTCATCTTGATCGGTGATCTTCATGAGTTACCCATTCTGGACCTCAGCGTCAAAGGCTTCACAGCCACGGCAGCTGACTGGACGAGCAATTTATCTGCAGAAACGAGCATTGATATGTTTATCAACGTCTACAACTTCTCCAAATCGTCTTGGGAACCTCTTATCGAGCCGTGGCAGTTGGGCTTGCAAATCTCGAAGGAATTCGGGACGAACCACATGGCGATCGATCTCACCTCGCGGAAGGCGCTTGAGCTAACCGTCACATCCGCAACCATTGCTCTTGCTTCCAAATCCGCCCAATTCTTGACTGCAAAAGAAGATGTGCTTTCTAAGCCTCGCGGGGCAGAGGCGCCTTACAGAATTCGGAACTACACTGGATTCGATATCAACGTATGGGCAGACGTACCAGGAGAAGAAAATTCGATGGCAGCCAAATTGGAAGATGGCGAAGAGGGACCATGGCGTTTCGAAGATTGGGAAAAAATGCGCGAGAATCTTTCGCCAGAAAATAACACCGGCATTGTTGGTCTGAGACTCGAGGGCAGTGGGTTCGACAGCGTCAACAAGATTCCTGTCAATCGGGAGGGCGAGTATCTATACAGCCTTCGACCACGCAGGGATGAAATTCTCCATCGTCTATTAGTGGAAATCACACTCGGTGCCGACAATGTCAAATACATTACCTTTCGCTCGCCACTCTTAGTCGAGAACAAGACTCAGATCCCGGTCGAATTGGGCGTCTTTGACGCACAAGAAGGCCACCTACTGAAAATCGAGAAGATCGCGCCCGGAGAAAGCCGCCCAGCTCCCGTGGGCGCAGCTTACTTGAAGTCGTTGTTAGTACGACCCGATCAGGGGTTTGGCTATTCATGGTCTACAGAATCACTTTGGTGGAAGGAACTTCTTAAACGGCCAACGCGAACAATGATCTGTAAGGGGGAGCAAGATAAAAGCTCTCCGCCGTTCTACTTTCAAATGCATGCGACTATGGATAAGACAGATCCGCTTACAAGGTATGTATCACAGCTTGCTTGAACAGTTTTGGGGTTGCTGACAGGACTCTAGTGTTTACCCATACATGCGGATCCGTCTATCTGCGCCCGTTGAATTGGAGAACCTTCTGCCCTATGATTTCAAATACCGTATCTACGACAAGAATACTAAGAAAGACTGGACGAATTTCCTTCGTAAAGGAGGTCTTAGTCCAGTGCATGTCGTCGAGCTCTCCCACCTGCTCCTGTTGAGTGTTGACATGCAAGACACCGTCTTTAAGGCTAGCGAGTTTGCGATTATCAACTCGAATAATCAAGAGGACTTTAGAAAGGAGACGACATTGGTGTGCAAAGACAACGACAACCTGGCTTTGAATCTCCGACTACATTATTTCAAGATACCCGACAGCGGTGGTGCTTTCAGAGTGACTGTATACAGTCCATATGTTATTCTGAACAAGACCGGTTTGAGTATCAACATAAAGGCGAAGTCACTTCTCCAACAGGCTAAGACAGCTGCTGGCCAAGGCTTTAATACCAATTCTGCTAATCAGCAACAACGGAAAGCGCTTCCTTACATGTTTGCATTCGGGGGAGACGATCAACGCAATCGTGTTCTTCTCAAGGTCGGAGACTCCTCGTGGAGTAAACCGCAGAGTTTCGACGCAATCGGATCTACTGTTGATGTTGTCTTGCCTTCCGCGACGAAGAACACCGAGATACATGTGGGCATTACGATCGAGTCTGGAGAGGGCAAATACAAAATGACTAAAGTTGTCACTTTGGCCCCGAGATTTGTGCTCAAGAACCAATTGACTGAAGAGATCAATGTTCGAACGCCGGGCTCTTCTGAGCTCATGACTATCAAGCCTAATGAATTGCAGCCACTGCACTTCCTGACGAAGACATCACTGAAACAGTTGTCTCTATGTTTTCCTGGGGTCAACAACCAGTGGTCATCTCCGTTCAATATCTCGGACCTTGGCACCACTCACGTAAAGCTTGCCAAGGTTGGCCAACGACAAAAGCTTATTCGCATCGAGGTTCTCATGGAGAATGCCACGTTATTCCTGCATCTAAGTGCCGAGACGAAGCATTGGCCTTTCTCCATGCGAAACGAAAGTGATACGGAATTCATGTTCTTCCAAGCAAATCCAAACATTGATGATGAGGAGACTGAGGACCGGTCTGGCTGGCGCCCAATTCGCTACCGCTTGCCGCCTAGAAGTATTATGCCATATGCCTGGGACTACCCGGCCGCCAAACACAAGGAGCTCATTATCAATGCCAATGGAAGAGAAAGACACATCAAGCTTGCTGAGATTGGTAACCTGATACCGATGAAGATAAATCCTCCGCCAAACGCAGCTGGCGGTGTAGGAACGAAGATCATCGATCTCAACGTGGCAGCAGATGGTCCTACTCAGACTTTGATTCTGTCGAACTACAAAGCCTCCAAGAGTTTGTACAAGCAGAAATCTCGCTCCGAGTCATCCACTAGCGTGGCTGGAGGCTTTGAGGTCAAGGACCAAGACACAGGTGTGACCTTCAAAGCGCAGCTTAAGCTGGCTGGAATTGGGGTCTCACTGGTCAATGCTCAGTTGAAGGAGCTGGCGTATGTTACATTTCGAGATATATCCTTCAAGTACGCCGAATCGCCACTCTTCCAGACCATCACGGCGGGTGTAAAATGGATACAGATTGATAATCAACTTTATGGTGGAATATTCCCCATGATCTTGTATCCTAGTGTGGTCCCGAAGAATACCAAGGAGACCGAGTCTCACCCTTCGGTGCATATCATGGTCACCCGGGTCAAGGACGACTCATATGGTGTGTTATATATCAAATACGCGACGATCTTATTGCAACAGATGACTCTCGAAATCGACGAAGATTTTGTGTATGCATTGCTGGAGTTCTCCAAGGTGCCTGGTGCGACATGGTCAGAGACACACGAGGGTGTGCTCTGTGATGAGAGCCTGGATATCCCAGAACCGACTCAAGATCAGTCGGGCCAGGACATGTATTTCGAGCTGCTAAACATCCAGCCTATGCAGCTGGATCTATCTTTCGTTAGAACTGATCGAGTCAATGTGGAGGATAAGACATCGTCAAGAAATCCTCTGATGTTCTTCTTGAACGTTCTGACGATGGCGATCGGTAACATCAATGATGCTCCTGTTCGAATGAACGCTCTCATGTTGGAGAATGCAAGAATGTCTTCGTCCGTCCTTCTGCAGAACGTCTCAAATCACTACTCGCAAGAAGCACTTTACCAGGTTCATAAGATCCTTGGCTCGGCTGATTTCCTTGGAAACCCAGTCGGTCTCTTCAACAATTTGAGCTCTGGAGTAGCAGACATCTTCTATGAGCCATACCAAGGATTCATCATGTCTGACCGACCTGAGCAACTTGGAATTGGCATTGCAAAAGGTGCCACCAGTTTCGTCAAGAAGTCAGTCTTTGGTGTTTCCGACAGTTTCTCGAAGGTCACCGGTAGCATTGCAAAGGGTCTAGCCGAAGCTACAATGGACAAGCAGTTCCAAGATCGCCGTCGTATGACTAGATCGCGCAATCGTCCCAAACATGCACTCTATGGTGTCACTGCCGGAGCTAATTCCTTCGTAAGCAGTCTTGCCAGCGGTGTTGGAGGTCTTGCACGGAAGCCTCTCGAAGGCGCCGAGCAAGAAGGCATCACAGGGTTCTTCAAGGGCGTCGGAAAAGGCGCTCTCGGCTTTGTCACCAAGCCCGCCATTGGGGTCTTTGATCTAGCTTCGAACGTCAGCGAGGGCATCCGCAACACGACCACTGTTTTCGACGGCGATGGCCTTGACCGCGTTCGCCTCACCCGCTTCATCGGCAACGACGGCATCGTGCGGCCTTACTCGCAACGCGAAGCACTCGGTCAGTTCTGGCTCAAGCAGCTCGACAACGGCAAGTACTTTAACGAGATGTACATTGCGCACTTGGAACTTCCGCGCGAAGATGTGGTGGTTATGTTGACGTATAGCCGTATCATGCTTATCAAGAGCAAGAAGCTGACGAGCGAGTGGGTTGTTCCGCTGAAGGATATTCAAACTATTAGTAAAGAGCGTACAGGCCTGAGTTTGACGCTGAGGGGGGGGACGAATGGGCCTTTCGTTCCGGTTGCCGAGGAGAGTAGTAGGAATTTCTTGTATAAAAAGATTGGAGTTGCGGTGGGGGAGTTCAATAAGAAGTATAAGGCGATGGAGTAGGGGAAGGTAGAGGAGGCCTGTGAAGGGGGGGAATTGGGACAGGAGGGAGAAGGCTGTCAGTTGTTTGTATGAGCCTATGAGGCTTGCGATTAGCGCATAGGAAAATAGCACACGCATGGAGAGGACGAGCAACATATGATTTATGACGGTGGCTTGCTGGGTGGATTGACATACATGCGTGGAGTTAGGTAGTTTCCTTTGGTTTTTTCTAGGAATAATAAGTCTCTCTGGCCAATGAGTTGGTTGCTTGGTTTATTCGCGACGTTTGTAATTCGGTAAGGCAGCTGTGCCTAAGGTAGTGTTTTGTTTTGAGCATAGACTGTTTATATCTAAGGCTAGCTTGCTCGCCTGGGTCAAGTGTGCCTGATTGATTACAAGACCCCTTTTAATTTTCGGAAGCTGACTCTTGCTCTGCTTAGAGTGAGTAGGTAGGTAGGTAGCGAGCGCATTCTGCTGTTCCGAAAATAAAGGTAGAGGTGGGAGGGATTGATTGCGTATTGATGATATGTAACGACGGAAGTGGAAGGGCGTTCTCAGTATTAACTTACCTGGCCCGGTTATTTTTTATTTTATTTACTTACTTTGCTTACTTGCTTTGCTCACATGTACTTCCCTTCTGCCCGGAGATGGGGCGCGGCCGTGGGCTTGATAAGTCCTGACCTATTTCGTTCATTATGCTCTCGCTTTACTCGCCGGGGTATAGCACTCGCTTTTTGATGTATAGAACTGCCATATATATATATATATATATCACGTACTAGACATCAGTTGATGTCTGGGTGAACAAAACAAAGATACAAAAGAAAAGGACCAAGGAAAACATACAACAGCAGGTATTCGCTGGTGGTCACCCACCCAACTACTAATCTGCCGATCTGAGGCTTGTGTATGGCAGAGCGAACGGGATGCCCAATTCTCCTCAGTCTATGGTCGTATGTGCCACCACGAATTGTACATAAGTTTATATTCAATTTTCAAATTTTGCTTGCTGAGCTCGCTCTTGTCAGACCGCTTCGGCTGTGAAGGAGAAAGCTTGCAACGCTCTCTGGGCTTATCTGAGGGGTCTGTGTGCTCATGAGGTTTGGGCATGTCATTAAAACTTATAAACTGAAATTCAAAATCAAGTCAAAAAGTAATTATACATTGTATACGGACTTATACAAGGTAGCGTAACAGTTTGTACAACCTAGTTTGTAACTGTTGGTACACAGGTTGATAGTACTATCAGTTCTTGGGTTGGTTGTGTTGTAGATGTCTGGTATTGCTATACTGGTAGTGGCGGTCCCTTAAGGGGACCGCGGGTGCACGTGCCACCCTCACGTGCCAGGTCTACCACCATTCTCGTTCCTTCCATTCTTATCTGCTGCATGGCCGTTGTACTCCGACAGTAACAGTTGATTCTAACTCTAAACCAAACACCAAGCACCCCCTCGGTTCGTACAAATCGGGCTAGTTTGTACAGACTGGCTCTAAACCAGACTGGCCTTAACTGCTACGGGATGTTATATAGCCTCCTCACCAACCCCCGTGGAAAAAGTACAAAGCACAAGGGAGTAAGAAAGTCGATTTATGAGAAACCACTCGGAGCATCAAATATTTTTACCTTCGTCGAGTTTCTCGGTGTTTTGGACGGGAGGATTGATGCATCCATCATTCAAACATCTTGAGGTATAGAGCTGCGTTCTGCTGCAATCAAGTGGCCCCGGCTGAGAACCTACCTCCTTGATACCTATGAATATTAATGTATCACTTTTTTCACTTAAGACAAAAGCTAGAGGAGAAGGTGACAGAAACTTGAAATGGGTTCTTTCTTTGTTGAACCTTAGACAGCGGTATGTTCCAAATGTAAGGCAGCTGCTAAAACGGGAATACACGAGACGTGGCACAGCGATAATACTTTATTTAGCACTAGTGTAAACAGCGGCTCTATTGAATTTACATGATTACAACATCATATTTCTGCGACGATGTGCAATAAAGGCTCACATAAAGCCGCCGGATCAGCAACATATCTTTCCTAATGATTTAGCGACAACGTCAACAACCACTCGCTTAGCGAAACCACTTGTTACGATGTCATCAATGCGCCGATTTCAACGTACGACCAAAAAAATATTCGAATAAGATGTAGAGTGAATAGCTTTGTCTTTCTTTAATGCGTCGTCGCTCCGAGCATATTCACTTTCTTTCTCTCACCCCTTCCGACCAGGATTTTCCGCGTGGAACTAGTAACCTCTGAGGCTTTCTCTCTTCCTGCTTTCCTCCCGGCCTAGAAGTCTCCACAGAACGCTTTCTCTGCGAGCATACGATCGCTGTCTCTACACGACACGGTCGATACCAGACTACACATACACCACGAAACTTTCTCAAAACAACAACACCACCTTATCGACGATGTCTTCATCGCAAGCTACCGCGGGATCAACCCTCAAGCTCAGAGAGTCCGAGGCGCCTAACACGCCAGCCCAACCTGAACCGCAAAAACCCCTGACCCTCGAAGGGATAGAGGTCGCGTTACTGTCCGCCCCCTCCCCCCCTTCCCTCGCAATTCCTCCTCCGCCTTGACAAAGAGGCTCGAACGCGTACTAACGTGCCTTAAAAAAAAACAGCGAGCTAACCCTCGAATCCGCCTGGTGCCAGCGCCTCGCCTCCATCGCCAAAGCCAGCACCCGCCGCCAGTACGTCTACTGCCTCTTTCCCCTTCTCCCTGCCCTTCCCTCCCCATCCCATCTCATCCCATCTCATCCCTCTCAGACCGTTCCCCATTCAAGAAAGGCAAGATCGTCTTACTTACCCCTGCTAACATCCGCCTCCCTCCTCTCCCCCCAGACGCCGCGCCTGCATCGAATTAGAAATGGACACGGCGCTCATCGCCTCGCATGGTGCCCGCTCCCGCGCCGCCCGCAAGCTGTGCCAGGGCCGCGTTCTCCTCCTGCAGTACGGAATGGTGGTACGTCCTCTCCCCCCTATCCCCTCTCTTCTCCGTCCCCTAATCTCACCCTCGCCCTTCCCCCTCCTCCACTTCCCTCTCCACTCCTTCGATTCGCTCTATCCAAGGGCTTTGGAGAAACGAGATAAGGTGCGGAGAAATCAGCAGGCAGGGAGGACCAGGTATACGCTATATCGTGGAAAGTTGATAGCGGGCTGACCAGTGTGCGTGCGTGGCGTTTTTCTAGTTATTTGACCTCGAGGAGAGATTTAGACGTTAGACCCGACCCTCCTACGATGCTGCTGCTGCTGCTGGGTCCTTCCTGTCTACAGTAGCTAGTTCTCTGTTGGGGTGGGGATTGGGGGAGGGAGGAACTTCCTTCTCTGCGGCCGGGCGTTCCTTGCTCTTGCCTTTGGCTCTGGCTCTGGTGTGCTACCGATACCGCCCTCCATTTTTTAGATTTCCCATTTGGTCTCCGGCGGCGGCGCAGAGGCGGCGCGACTTTGGTTTTTCGCGTGGCCGGGAGCGGAATGCTTGAATGATGTCTGGCTCGTTTGGGGGATTGTAGCGACTGGTATCCAGGCTTGGGAGTCACGGATCAAGATCAAGAAACGTTTCAGAACCAGGATAGACAGGCCCCCAGAGCAAAGCAGAGAAAATAGCTTTCTTTCTTTCTTTTCGTTCAAGTTCCACCAGCTCTACAGAGTATATGTGGTCTCAGACCTAGAAATCCTTCTTTCCTCCCTTCCTCCCTCGCCCTGCCTTCAGGAGGAAAAAACACATGCAGGAGCAAGGACATCACATCTCTTACTTACAACTCATCAATAACTCACTCACTCACATACAACCCGGGAAAAGCCAGTGCAAGGATCAATTAAGCGAGAACGAAAAAGGAGGCATGGGAAATATATCCTTCGCATCTCCCTTTCATTTCCTTCCTTTCTACTGCACATATATACGATGGATAGCGGCTTTGCTGCAAGCGGATATGAATAAATAGGTTACACCGTTGTCACTCCATCCTTCACATATATCTCGTGTCTCTCTTCCACAACCCCTTGTCACTCTCTCCACCGAATATCAACCGGCAGCCCATCTAAGCTATTATGCCCACCCCCGTACTATCCCAAATCCATATCCTACCCATCCATTCATCCGGTACCGGATCATTCTGTTTCACGCCTCAGTCGTCCTGTGTCCCGCAGAAGGAAAAGCCGGAAAAGAAAGAAAATTAGTAATCATCCCAAGCAACGGGGTATACACAAGCTGCTCGCTCTCTCGCCTTGCGCCTATGTATCATATCGACAATCGCAAGGTACGCCCCATGCCATGCGCCTGCAATAAAGCAACTGATAATGCAAGCCAAGCGTCCGTTCATTCGTCATCAGGCTTCTACCATTAACGTAGGAGCAGGTGGAAAAGCGCCAAACCTGAAACGCCAGTAGAAACCCATAAGAATCCAAACCAAAAGAGAAAAGGAAAAGAGACTATGGCCCCGGATCTAAACACCAGAACGGAGAATGCGGAAGGTGTTGGGCATGAAAATTGGGTAGGTTCATCGTTCATTCATCCTTGGCGTCAAATGCTGGTAGTTGATGGATGTGTACGCGATGTGCATCTTCAAAGCCGTGGCTAGAGTCTAGTCCGGCTAATTAGACTTCACTGATGATGTTGAGACAGGCTTGCTGTTCCTATCGGCGGACATGAAAGTCGCTAGGGTTGGCTCTATGTAGAGTTCAGTGTGGAGGCGTATTAGCAACTGTCGGTGTTGTCCCGCCACTGTGCGAGGTGCTCTGTGGTCGAGGTGAGGAAGGAGGCATGCTACGGTGCTTCTCGATTATTTGCATCTTCTTTTTCAAAGACGACATACGTGTGCGGATGGTTTGAACCACTAGTTAAGGTCAGATGGGGTAACATAATTTAGGTAAAGTTTCCATGAAGATAAGACATAATACGAAGAGATGAAATATACCTTTCATCACAGCTTGTCGATCCTCAATGTTGATGCCATTTACTATTCCCTCTCCTTCTTCTTCCGTCTTCTCCTGTTCTTCCCGAAGACTGGACGACGCGCCCCTTCGTTGAGAGGGTGGTACCTCGTCATCATTCTCCAAGACTGCTTCCAGCATTCTGATCGCAGTGACATATGAGATCTCGCAGCCAGGAAGGTCCTCGTTAGCGATTTCATTGATGGCCGCTGTGCGACTCATGTCCAACGCCCGATCGTACATCAGCTTCTCCGCTGTGATACCCGGACTCAGATGAACGCTGTCAGTAGAGGAAGTGCCACCAAGCTTGGATGAGCTAGCGTGATTGCTGGGATGAGCAGGGTGGTCTTCAGGCAGTTTCTTTTGGGCATCGAGAAGTTTTAACCGAACGATTTCTGCCTTCTCAAGCACTTCGTTGAACCGGTTTCGGACCCACTGAACAGCACTGTTGATGCGACTACTTGCTGCAGCATTGCTAGGTAAAGAAGCAGTCCCACCGCCAGCATCATTTCGCTGTTTGCTGTGATACCAGGCACTGGCGATATCCATCGATTTGGCGAGAAGTGACAGAGCTTTGACGTAAAGAACAAGAGCCTCTTCGGACAGCGCGACTACTGCCTCCACAGTAAGGCCGTCGTCCTCTCCCAAGTCCGTTGGCTTATCTAAAATAGCACCTCCAAGTCCATGGTCCATAGAAGGTGCTAACGGGATGAGTTGCTTATACTTTACTTCGGCAAATCCATAAACGACATCGCTTCTCGTTGCCGACTCCTCGATCACTTTGACCGTTCTCAAATCCTCATCGATAGGACCAGAAGTTCTACCGTCACCGATCAGCCCCGCTACTCCTGGGGGTGCTGGATAGGCTGGGAATGGGCTATATAGCTGTGGGGGCGAGACTCCTTTGCCGACAAGCGCCGGATTCCAGCCAACGCCAAAGACCCTCAAGCTTGCCCCATGCAGCGCTTTTGCAATAGCCGACGTCGCCGAAGGACTACCGTACGACCTCCCAAAAGAGTTCTGTCTCGATGGCACAATTTCCGGTCGAGGTCGTCCCTGGGCGATCTGAACAGCTCTGGAGGGCGAAGACGGCACTGCGCCCGTCGCCGAATTAGGATGGCCCTGTGTAGTGGCTCTTCGGGTGATTTGTCCGGTCCTTGAAGGCAGCGACGAAGTTCTAGTCTGCAATCTGGGATTGGCTGCCAACTCGTCTGCAAAAGCGTTGACTTCCACAGCTCGTTTCTCAACGAGAACGTATTCACGTGCATCACGCACGGCCTGTTCTGCCTCCGCAATAGCCTGTCTCGTTTCAGAGTCCTCGATACGTTTCTGCTCCACGACAGGAATTTCCTCAACGGACGGTTTTCGTAGAGAAATTCGTTTTTGTTCATTCGAATTTGGGGTGAAAGTTCGGGATGGAGGTCGGCCAGAATAAATTGCCTCCGCATTTGGGGCGGTAGCCGCAGTCTGGATAGAAGGACGTCGCTCACGAGGAGGCCCCAATGGTTGGGGAGTTGCTCGCGGAGGTGTTCCAGCTAGTTGTCTGACTGGATCAACATATTGCGCCCTCGGCGAAGGCGGTGGATGTCGTTCTCTGGGCGAAGAAGAAGAGGCGGGTTCGGTTCTTGCCTGTTGTCGTCTATCACTTCGTGTCGAAGGAGTTCTCCTCATCGTAGATTCTTCTGATAATGATGGTGCTCGGATGACGTGTGGAAGGTCATCACCAACTAATCCAGGGATGGTATCCACCACCACCGTGTGACTGAAGTATGCATTGAACGACATACGAGCAGCCGGTTGCCGCTTCAGCAATGCCTTGATGATTTCCTTCATCGGTGCACTAACAATGGCATCTTTTGGGAATCTGATATGGTCCTCACCCTGCTCAATCTTCCGGAGCAACTCCACATGATTTGTTGCACGGAACGGGGGTCTTCCAGTCATCATCTCGTAAAGAACAGTCCCCACCGACCACAGATCCGCTTCGGGGCCATATTTCTCATACCGCAGGATTTCCGGTGCCATGTAAAGCGGAGATCCGCATAATGTCTCAGCCAATGAAGTCGAGGGTAGTGAACGAGCAAACCCAAAATCGGCAATTTTGAGCATGGGTAACGACATGAGCCCTGCTACGGGGATCAATGCGTCGCGGCTCGCACTCATGATCGATGTTAGTTCCTTGCCTTTGTACTGTGGTGAGGGCAGTAAGAGTAAGTTCTGTGGCTTGACATCTCGATGTATGTAGTTCCGGACCCTCAGGAACTTCATAGCGCTGGCGAGTTGCTTGAGAAAATGTCGGACGACGACTTCGTTGAGTCCTCCGGCTGCGGGCATTGGGTACTTTTGAACCATATCCCGGAGAGCTGGGTTATCACCGAGTTTATCTCTCTTCTTGATGAAGTATGACAAGTCCCCTAATGAGCAGTACTCCATGACTAAGTGTATATGCGATGACGATTCCCGGCAATCGATCAGTGAGACGATGTGCGGATGGTGGAGGCCCTTTAGAATTTCGATTTCGCAGTAAAGATTATCCTTGAGCTTCTTATTCAGCTTGGAGAGGTTCACCGATTTGATAGCCACGACACCTTTTGTAGGCTATAGATATCGATATTAGCTCTGCAGAGGTGAGAAATCGACAAGATTTGTTGTGCTCGGTGTATATGGGAGATTGGGAGTAAGACAAGGACTCTTGATGCCCGAGTACCTAGTCCTCAAACATACCTGATGGACACCTCTGTAAACAGTGGCAAAACTCCCCTTGCCTATCTCATCATCGATAGTAAACGACCCTATTACTCTGTCACCCGTCCTCGACCGCCTAGCAGCAGACGACGAGGACGGGGGCGGTTGCGCCGCCATACTTGCGGATACGATATGAGCTTCCGGCTGTCCTCTCCTCTCGCAGAGTCTAGTCTTCGAATACTACCAGCTGAGATGCGGATATAGAGTCGACGTGAGATCGTTCTGCATATACACACAGAAGGGGGGTTTCGAGGGCGAAGAGGCGTATGAAGAGCTGGTCTTGGAGACTGGTAGGCAGCTGAAGCAAGCGAGGTTCGGAGAGGATTGTGTCAGGCAACCTCTTGCTGACGGGAAGGGAAGAAGGAAAGGCGAGCCCTGATGATTTGCTGGATGGAGTGCTGGATGCAGTAGAGAGTGCCTGGCTTCGTGGCTGGCAGGTAGGCTTCCGGGAGGCGGCTCAGACGCTTGAGATGCAGCGGAGTGCGGAGTGCAGAGACGACGAGGTGCAGCTGCAGTTGCTGTTGGACGAGGATTGGCAGGCTGAACTGGACTGGACTGAGCTGAGCTGGACTGGACTGGGGTTGGACTGGGGTCGGGTTGTCGGTGGAGCTCTGAACGAATGGCGATAGTTATCGAGCGCAACTCGATGTCTCGACGAGCGGTGAACGCGATACTGTATTGCTCGTGTGGTGATGCAATATGAGTCGACGGCGAGAGGATGATCAGAAGGAGCTTTCGTAGATCAGGAGAGGTGAAGAGAGGTGAGGTGTGAGAGGAGAGGTGAGAGAGGCGAGGAGGAACCATATAGGTAGAGAGATAGAGATAGAGAGATAGAGATAGAGATAGAGATAGAGGACTCATCAATATCACGGGTCGAGGTCCAGCCCCGAAATCGGCGCTTAAATTTAACGTTTAGCGCTCTACTCTATTATTATACGAGTCTAGTCTACATAGGTAAATATAAGGTACCTAGGGTACCTAGGCGTGGGATAAAGGATCTAGGTAAGTAGGTACCTAGGTAAGTACTGTTAAAAAGACCCCTTTAGAGAGCTGCTTAGTATCTAGGTAGATATCGATTTCTCGCTCCTGGTGATACTGTTGGTTGCCTAATAGTAATAGCCTTGGGTCAGGTCATCCATCGATACACGGCCACATGTACAGAAACATGGATCTCAACGGTTTCTGTGGAAGGTAAGGAGAAGGGAACTTTGGCTCCGTAGCTGCTTGCCCTTGGGGTTTGTCACCAGTTCACTGCACGTGAACCCTTTCGTTTCTAAACCCAGACGATGATTAACTGCACCCACCCCCGTATCTCCGCTTTGAGCGAAAATCCAAGCGTGAGCACGGCAATCGAGCTTCAAATCACCTAAGAAATTATTAATCGCATTATGACACTCCACTTCGTAAGGTGGACGAGTATGTAGATCAGGGAGGCCGAGAAATGAAGTGCATCCCTCACCATGGATGAAACATCTGTCTTCCCGTATGGCGTATAATTTTTGATCGTCTGTCTTTCCATCTACAAAAACGACGCAGAGCCTGCCATCCATTCTCTCCACCTATGCGCCGTCCCATCACATCTTTGTGTAAGGCTAAAATACACACACGATATTCCGATACTGTCTCCATCAAATCCTTTGCCGTACCTGTTCTCATTCCGGCCCATTCAGTCCCGTCCATCCTGTTCGTTTAAAAAGGGGTATCTTAATTGTCCAATCCAATGTGAACACCCTTCTCGCTCGGAGGGATAACATGATCCTCCTTCGCGCCCTTCAAGTTTGGCAGCTCGGTGATGGCTTCGCCAATAATCTTGAGCGATTGCATGAGTTGTTCCTCAGTGATGACGAGTGGTGGTGCGAAGCGAATGATGTTCTGGTGTGTTGGCTTGGCCTATTTGTTGTTAGCTAATCTTCCGTGAGGCGTCGAGTGGTGCAACATACCAATAATCCCTTGCTCTTCATTAGCATACACAAGTCCCACGCCGAGTGGCCCCCCGTCTTGGACTCATCAATAACAATCGCATTCAGCAAACCCTTGCCCCTCACCAGCTGGATCATCGGACTCTTTAAGTCCTCCAGTCCCTGACGCAAAATCTTACCCAATGTCTCCGCGCGCGCCGTCAAGTTTTCCTCCTCCATGATCTCCAGCGCGCGAATTGACACGGCGCAGCCCAGAGGATTTCCGCCATACGTGCTACCGTGCGTGCCCGGCTCCACAACAAGCATTACTTCCTTGGACCCAAGCACACAAGACACGGGGTACATGCCCCCTGAAATGGCTTTTCCGAGTGTAACCATATCGGGTTTGATATTGGCCCATTGGGAGCACAGCATGCGCCCTGTGCGACCAATACCCGTTTGGATCTCATCGCAAATCAACAAAACGTTATGTTTCTTGCACAATTCTTGGACTTTAGTGAGGTAATCGTCTTCAGGAACGACGACACCAGCTTCGCCTTGGATGGGCTCAACAATGAACGCGGCGGTGTCTTTGCCGTGGGCTTGCAATACTATCTCGAGGTCTTCGACGTTGTTGAAGCGTATGGGCTTATTGGTGATAGGGCAGACGGCTGCGATACCGGGGACGTAGGGGCCATAATTGTCCTTAGATTCGGGATCGGTGGACATGGTGACAGCAGTCATCTACCCCGATTAGCACGTATTTTGGCCGAATGGAAGCACGGGAGTCTTACTGTCCGGCCATGGAAATTCTCTGCCGCAGCAAAGATCAGAGCCTTGCCCTGTTCAACGCCCTTCACCTTGTATGCCCACTTCCTCGCGATCTTGATCGCCGTCTCGACTGCCTCTGCGCCAGTGTTCATAGGCAGAACCATGTCGTAGCCAAATACATCCTTCACCTTCTCTGCCCACTTTGGGAAGACATCGTTATGGAAGGCCCGCGAGGACAGCGTCAGTCTTCCGGCCTGCTCGCACAAAGCCTTGACCAGCTCGGGATGGCAATGGCCTTGGTTGACGGCGCTGTAGGCAGACAGGAAGTCGATGTACTGCTTTCCCTCGGGATCCCAGACGTTGCAGCCCTCGGCGCGGGCGAAGACCATGGGGAGAGGGTGGTAGTTGTGGGCGGCATATTTGTTCTCGGTCTCAATAGCGCCTGCGCTGGACGTGGAGTGGTACTTGGACTCGGAGAGGCTTGCTACGGGCTGGAAGGTGGGAGCGGTGGGTTTGAGGACGCTGCCAGTGGTATCGACGGTGTTGTCTGCGTGGGGAGCCATGGTTGTGGAAGTGTGTGTGCAGCTGCTGTAGGTTGGATTGAGCAGGATATTGAGAGTTGATGGTAGGAAGGTAAGGTTGTTTGTCTGAAGTCTTTGCTTTGTGTGAAGGAAGTTAAGTACTCAAATCAAGAGCAAGAGGGGAAAGCAGACGCGCGGGGGGAACGGTCATAAATGAATGTACCTCCTACTAGACCCCTAAGTGCAAATGCAAGTGCAAGAAGCCCAGTCCTTGCTTTGATATGCCAGTTATGTCGGCACCTGACCTACCGTTGACTAAGAGCAACAGCGCCAAAGGCATTCGCGCTCCGTATGCGTGGAAACCTGCCATTAGGGATTATTCTCGCAAGGTCAAGAGGAAGAGGCTCGTGTGGTCTTGCACTTAGGGGACTTGTGGCGGCGAATGCGGGAATCGATGCATCAATTCACAGGCCCGTGATTGGGCGCATGGGCAGAAGGTCAATCCAAAGGCCGAGGCCAGCCGGATTGGTCTAGCGTCTTGGCAAACCTTTGGTGCGGCGCTCTCTACCGAGTCAGCATCTCTTGGTCTTGGGATTCAGGGTCCCTCACGTGATGTACTGACGCGGAGACGGAAACGGATACGGATACGGATACGGATACGAATCCGATATTGATATTGATATTCACAAATTCGTCTTGGATGGCCATCCACCAGCACCAGCACCAGCACCAGCACCAGCAATCCGAATCACAGCGAACTGAGTGGTCCGCATATCCAGCATCCAACATCCAACTGTCGCCATCCCATCATCGCCTTGCATCCTGATGGAACAACCCAAAGTCAAGAATGAGCTTCCCCAGGACAACAGCCTCAACCCACTGGTCAACGAATATCATGTCAATGATACATGGATCATGCTCCTGGCACTCCGCTTCATCAACGCTCTCGTCGTCCGCACCTTCTTCCAGCCAGACGAGTATTTTCAGTCCCTGGAGCCCGCATGGCAGATGGCCTTTGGTCCCCAGAGCGGTGCTTGGATCACGTGGGTGTGTACAGTTCCTCCTCCCGGCTTCTTGATTCATCTTCTAACAGTCACTAGGAATGGCATCGCCAACTACGTTCCTCGTTACATCCAGCTCTGTTTGCCGTCGTATACTACACGGCAGACAAGGCAATGATCTTTCTGAGCTTCTTTCCTCAGTTCCGGGCGATGATCCTGGCGGTCCTGCCGAATCTGGTGCAGGCTTACTTTGCCGCTGTGGGAGACTACTATACATGGCAATTATCTGAGAGAATATACGGAACCAGAAGCAAAGCATCGAATGCGGCAGTGAGAATCTCTCGCCTTTTCTTGGCTATAAAGACTAAGCATGGTTTAGTTGTGGATGACGGTCTTTAGCCCATGGCAATGGTTTTGCTCCACAAGAACATTCTCAAACTGCCTCGAGACAACCATGACAATCACGGCACTCTACTTTTGGCCCTGGAAACTGTCGACTTTCCCCGTGCTCGGCAAGAGTAGTGATGTGTCTCAACAGCCACCCGAGGAGGCGACCCATGCCAAGACCCCCAAATCTGGGGTCTTCCAAACCTCCAGGTCTATTAAGCAGTAAGAACCCCGACCTCATATCAGAATCCAATAGTAACACCTCCCAGCCTCCGCATTTCTATTGTGCTCGCTGGCACAGCATGTATCCTTCGCCCAACCAATGCTCTCATCTGGTTCAGCATCCTCATGCCAACCTTGACCGGCCTTCTCAATAAACGAGCCCCCATCTCAGACTACCTTATCCTCCTCCGTGAAGCCATTCTCTGCGGCTCCATCGTGCTCCTTACATCCCTAACCTCCGACTACATCTACTACGGAGAATGGACGTTCCCACCCTACCAATTCCTGTACTTCAACATCTCCCGGAACCTAGCTGTTTTCTACGGCCGCAACGTTTGGCACTACTACCTCTCCCAAGGCTTGCCTCTTCTGCTCATCACGTACCTGCCATTTACATTGGTAGCGCTGTACCAAGCAAGCTTACTGCCATCATCAAACATCCGCTTCGTATTCACAACGACGATCCTCCTCACACTCGGCTCCCTGTCTCTAATCGCCCATAAAGAAGTCCGCTTCATCTACCCTTTACTCCCCCTCCTGCATATCCTCACTGCCCCCGTCATCTCTTCATTCTTCCAACCATCATCCAGCTTTACCACCACCCCCTGCACCACCAAGGATGGCAAAGTCATCACCTCCTCGACAACAACATTAACAACAACAACAACAACAACCAAACATAAACCCCTCCTCTACACCCTCCTAACCCTCAACGCCCTCATTGCTCTCTATACAACACTCTCTCACCAATCCGGTGTCCTCCGCACCACCACTTTCCTCCGCCACGAGTACGAAACCCTCGCCCTCGACGGCCGCGGCCGCCTCCTCTCCGACCCCTCAGCCCACCTCAACGACGCCTACCCCCCCAAACCCACAACCTACACCCCCAGCGAAACCTTCGCCGCCTTCCTCCTCCCCTGCCACTCCACCCCCTGGCGCTCGCAGCTCATCCACCCAGGCCTCCAGGCCTGGGCCCTCACCTGCGAGCCGCCCCTCCACCTCCCCAGCACCGCCGCGCACGAACTGGCCGCCTACCGCGACGAAGCCGACCGCTTCTTCGACGACCCCCAGCGGTTCCTGCGCGACGAGGTCGGCGGCAAGGAGCGCCCGTGGCCGCGCTACGTCGTCGGCTTCCAGGGCATCGAGCACCATCTCAGGACCTTCTACGAGGGGGCGATGAAGGGCTTCACCGTCAGGGAGCGGTGGAGGACGCGCAACTCGCATTTCCATGACGATTGGCGGCGGAGGGGCGATCTTGTCGTGTGGGAGTTTGTGGAGGCTGCTGGGGCTGCTGGGGCGTGATCCCTTTCCCACCCCCAACCCCCCCCCCCCCCCCCCCCCTTTCTTGAATGTAAAAATTTTATTCAAATGTACATTCGTACATGTGTACATGTATACAAACATGTATACAAACATGTACATAATATATACGAACGGCTAGTATACCTACCTACCTACCTACCTACTAAGTCTCCTTCTGTAAAGTGCCGCCGGTAGAAGAAAGCCCCTCATTTTGTTTCAAGCTTATTATTACTTTAGTTGAAGAGACTGACTACCAACGAATTACCAATACCTATTTACCTACCTACCTACCTCCCTACCTGCCTAATCCAGACGCCTCAGCAGTGAATATCGGTGCAAAGGATTACAGACGGGCACATCAGTGTTATTTGTTCACTGAATGGCAGCAGCAGATCACAGTCGAGGGGGCACTCTCGGATGTACCGGTATGTCCAACACATTTTTTATTGATCGCTATTCCTCTCTATCGCTCCAATTCCCAGTTTTACCGCTCGCTGGGAAAGCACGCGATATGCGAATTCAATTACCATTACCAATCGCATATCCACTTCTCACTCACCTACTCATTCACTACCACACCCCTCCACTACTTATTGTACCCATGTTCAGTCTCAGTAATCCACCCGCCCTCGTAAATACAAGTCTCTGTCCCAGACCAGCTCGGGCCATAATTTACCAGATCGAAAGCGAACCAAACACCAATCCAGTGTAACGCGCCACGCCAAATGTATGCTACCCTCCCATATGACGCCATGCTTGCCGGGTATTATCATGCCGACGCCATGGCTTGATGTGATGCGCCAGATGCCAATGTGCAAACGTGAAGAAGCCTCGACAACCCTATCGCTAAATCCAGACAAGAAAAGAAACAAACAAGAAAGTGAACAAAAATTAGAAGACCGAAAAGCTTCGTCCAATGGATGACACCAACGCTGATGATATGTACTAGTCGCCATCTGGGATTGTGCACATCATGATCGCAGATCTGCCTAGGGAAGGCCCTAGAGACAGGAATATGTACTCTCGTCTATGTAAAGCACCAGAACAATACCATGTCATCTCCTCTGAGGGTGGAGCTGGAAAGGTTGATGTGTAAGTCATTGGAAACCACCGAAGTGGTGGCTAGCACTGGGAGCAGGATTGGAGAGCAGGGAGCCGATGGGGATTTTGCCATCCTGCGAGTGCTGCCGAGAAGAGGGACCAGCGTAATTGAAGTTACAGATATTCGGAATCTGTTGGTGCTGGACGAAGGGTCCTTGGAATGAGTGGCCGAAACCCGAAGACATCTGAGAAACGCCGCTGTTGAGGTAATTGTAGGGATCTGGCAGCTGATATTGGGTTTGGTAGTGCGACGGGGTGGTGTAGAACATGGTGTTGGTGTAGTCGGACTGAAGACCTGATCCTGATCCTCCGTTGTTCATCCCGGGGAAGCCATCACTGTTACCACCGTAAGGATGATCGAAGGTGCCGTAGTCAACAGCGTGAATGTGATCCTGCAACCTGGCTCGCATGTTGACTTCCATCCGTTGTTGTTGTTGGCTGAAGAACTGGCTGGTACGCGATTGAACTAGTGCTCCAAAGTGGTGTTGCTGGGTGTTTGAGGGTTGCCTCTCGGGCTGCCTATCCGTTTGTTGCACACAGCTCATTCGAGAAGTACCGCCCTGTGGCTGATCAATGCGACTGCTATCATCATTCTCGGCATCCTGGATACGGGCCTTCTGGATACGGGCCTCCAGCATACGGGCCTCCTGGTTACGGGCCTCCTGAATACGGGCATCCTCCTCTGCTTGCCGGCGTTTCTCAGCACCGTCATCCCATTCCTGCTGGATCTTGGGCTTCAGAGTCCGCCAGCCCCTCTCGGTACCCGGGTCTCTGAAAATGCGAGTTGCAGCCTTGAAAGCCTTCGCCCCAACGACAAAGGACGTTGGAATGTGGGGGATGTCTTCCTTAGCACGTCTAATGAACAGAGCTCGGCGTGCGGATCGGTTCTCGTTGTAAGGTTGCGCATCTCCTTGTCTCTTGAGCCGGATCGCTCCTTCGATCTTCAACACCCTCTGCATATGCTGGTCATTCTGTTCCTTTCTCTCATCAAGGAAGGCTGTCTGCTTTGCGACCGCCTCCGCCTCGGCTTGCTGGTGCGCTGTTCTGGCTGTAGCATTTTCGGCGGCGCTCTTCGTTGGGTCGTCCTTGAATGGTTCAATTTTGAAGGACTGATACTCTTCTATAATCTTGTCAACTTCGGCCTTCAGGTAATATTTGTAAATTTTTGGTGCGGTAGAAGGGCGCGACTCAAGGTCCTCAATGTAGTCATGGGCCTTCATGAAGGAGTCGTGCATGCCCGCGGGGATACACTCCAGGAGCTTGACGAGAGTCTGGCGTTGTGGAAGTTCGTTCAGGCGAGACTTCAGGAGCCGATCTTCCCGCTCGATCTTGACTCTCCAGCAGTCGGTACACCATCTCTTCGCCCACGACCAGTGGGTTCTCGAGGCCTTCTTGTCGTCACAATCCAAACAACCCTTGCCCCCAAGCAGATTAGTGTATTGTCTCTCCGTCAAACCCATGGCCTGAGCGATTGGGAAGTCTGCCCCGAAGTTCTCCATTCGCTGATTGACGTATACGGAGTCGTACCCGTCGACCATGTCCTTGAATGTCTTATTCAGTAGACGTACTTTCTTGAGGAAAGACGGCGGACTGAACTCGATAATTCGAAGCCAAAGATCAGGGCAGAGCCTATGGGCGGCCTGGGTGAGAGTTAGACTCTGTCTGTTGTCTAATTGCCAGGGCGTACTTACAGGTATCTTCTTCTCCTCCTTCCCCTTGGTCACTCTCTTGAACCTGCCTGCGGCTTTGTCGGTCTTCTGCTTCTTCTCGCGGGGTACTCCGAGAGTTGTTGGTTTCCTCTTCTTCGCATTGGTGACTTGCATAACGGTGGTCCCGGTTTGGTCGATGAAGAGAGGGTGATCGGTGCTAGGGCGAGGGCTGATGAGTCGATCTCGCGAATCGCTTGTGATTGCGACGCATTGAGGGGAGAAGCCAGATACGACTTTGTTGTTCGCTGGTCGGTTTACCTGCAGCTGCAGGGGGTCTTTCTTCGCAGTCATGGCATTGTTTGGGGCCTTGTTGACGGGGAGAAATTTCTCCATTTTTGATAGTTGGTTGCTCACAGTGTGGCCCTGGAGCCCAGTCGAGGAGTTGCGAGGTTGTATTTCTTGATAAGAGGACGGGTGAGAGTTGGTTTGCGTAGAAATTCCTCCCCCGTTTGGTAGCTTGGGTTGGATATATGCCGGCGCTTGTCCACTCACGAATCTGGAGCCATGTGGAGAAGATCGATCGAGCTGCAGAGGTTCGCTCTCATGATTAGGGAGGCTGGAGCCATTCACCAACGTGGAGCTTGGTTGGCGTGACATAGATGGAGCAACGGAGCGGTCGGAAGGCGATTCGACGTTGTAAGGCGACGTTGTACCGTGTACGGAAGAGCCCGTCGAACTGCGGTATGTTAACTCCATTCGGGCCAAGTCGTATATTGTAGGCAACCGATGGTCTTGATAGTGTTGTATACGCTGCATGAGATCTTTTTCCAAAAATGGTTGAGTGGGGTTGGCAGCATAGAAATCATTCGGGGCGTTTGTGGCGACGGAAGGTGAGGCTGTAAACGAGTTTTGAGATCGGGGCTGCTGTGCGCGAAGCAGTGATAGCGTGCAGGCCGCTGCTAAGGAGAAGGATACGTTAGTTCTTCTTCTTTGTCTGAAGTAATTCACCGCCCGAGAAAAGCCTGCTTCCGTGGTTTGCCCAACGTAGGTACGTACCTTCTTCTGCTGTAAGGTCTCGACCCCTATTGCCACTGCCATGACCACCGCCATTCCCATCTTCCAGCCCCAACGCCATGTTTTCCGCCTCACTGAAGGCCAATATCTCGTCCAACAGACTGGCTACTTCTGGGCTCGAGTCGAAAGTCGGCGGGGAGACGGGGGAGAAGGGGCTGTTTGCGATGTCCCGGTCGTGGTTCTGCGAGGCCCGAAGATACGATGTCACAATGAAGCGGGCCGTCCTGAGTCCCGCCGGGTGTTTGAAGACTCGGCGGAGATCGGGGGCTAAGTGGGTTTTCAGGTGATTAGCCGTATCGTCGTCCGCGGCAGCCAGGAGGGAATGCATGAGTGGAAGGTCGTCGCAGGACATTGGCTGTCAGAGAGGGGGGGTTTCTCGACGTCGAAGACGCCCCGCCGCTTGACGGAATACTGGCATGTAAGTTCGGAAGGTGACCTTTTCGGATATAGGATCCGCCAGTGAATGACCTGGCGTACGTACTAGTGTTGCTCTTCGCAGAGATCGTCGTCGTCGTCGTCGTCGTCGTCGTCGTCGTCGTAGTCGTCGTGTGATTTCGTCGCGGGGTGGGCGTAGACGTCGAGAATGGAGGACGTTGGTGGGTTGCGGCTGATGAGATGCGGAAATGGAGGAGGGAGTCGTGAGAGACGTGAGAGTCGTGGAGAGTCGTGAGGGTCTGGGTCCGGTCTGGTCTGGCGTGGCCTGGCCTTGGTCCGGTTTGTCGCTGGTGCCCCGTTGCCCTTGCCTTTCTTCCTCCTATGTCCGTGATGAACGATGCCTCATTCTTAAACCACCCGGGCCCGAAGTCCAGGAGTCAGTCCATCTGGCCACTTAGTTTCCTCTGGGCCAAAAAAAAACCCTTTCGATCCTGGTAGAAGCCCGCTCCGTGGCGCTCTGTGTGCGGCACGGCCCTTGGCGTTTGAAAGTACTGTACTTATAGAATATATTATAACTATTTTCTACTTCTACTGACTCGATAGCGTCCGCTTAGCAACACCTTGGGGCACTTGTCTGTTCCGTCGGTATTTATTCGAAGGAGATATCTATTATCTGGTAAGCGCTCTCGAGAGTGGTGGGCGTCCTGACTAAAATGTGTCGATCGGTCGATTGATGCACCTTACTGTATTAGTCGCTAATTATTACTTCCCCCTTCTCATCTCCCGGACTCCTATGGACATGCAACTCCAGAGGGCTTCCTTCGTGCCCTTTTTGGCACAGTTTTTGGCACGGATTCCCTTCGCAAATTTCATGGATGATTGGAGTTGGCAAGTCCAGGGTGCTTGCCGCTCCTCGTCCTCCTTACCTTGGTACCTAATAGTTTATGCTTGCCAATGTTTCTAAAGAAGACTTTCTTTCTGTACGAGCGGAAGATGCAACAGGCAGGCGGCCAGGCCCGGCCAAGCCAGAGCATTTTACGACGCCGCAAAGCGCTTTTGCGGTTGATATCACATATCCATCTTGACCTTGACAGACAAACCGGGCTTTGCGGACCTTGCCTTGCCCTCCCTGCCTTGCCTTGCCTCGCCTCGTCTCGACCACTTTCTGTAACCGATGCACACGTGACCTGCGCTCCACTTGGGACTCAGACGGCTACAGAGGCGAGAGGGGCCTGTTCCACTTAAAATAAATTAATCTTTCATCATAGGATGGTAGGAATGCTGGATCATATGCTTGTGGCAGACGACGCTCTCGCCTTCGATCATGCGTTGCAAAAATAGATAGTATCCAGTCAGGTGATCGATCCCTACCTCGGCTCGCATCGAGATACGGCGCTATGCCATCGGCGTATGACGGGGAGCCAGGAGAAAGCCAAAAGGCGAAACCCCGCATGCATCCCGCCATCCGTGGAGGAGGATTGTCCAATGAGAAGGCCTCGCTGGCAAACGCCCCGAGACACTTTCGCTGGCCATCTAGCCAAGCTTACTTAAGCTCTAGCCGGGAGTCCTATCCGCCCTCGCCTCCATTTGCGGGGAAAGCGCTTGGGATTCGTTGGTTGGGATCGAATGGGGTGGAGCAGGGGTGGAGCAGGGTGGATTGAAAGGATGCCGATGACATGATTGATAAGCGATCCGATCTATACCTCAGTACCTAGTAGTACAGTAGTAGAAGTAGTAGGTGTGGTAGTAGTACCGGTAGGTAGGTAGTAATCGTCGGTTACCTATTAATCTGAAAGAATTGACCGACTCGCTGTAGCAAGTCGGCACCACCAAGGCGGGGCAGTAGAACTTGCTCCTTTATAATGAATAGAAAATCAACCAACTACTATATCGTAATTGTTTTTGTATGGAAAGATGCACCGTATTGAGTTCGATATTAATCAATTAATCAAATCTTAATAGCAAGTTGTTATTCCTTCATTGTGCTAGGCTAAAGTGGTAAAAGTGGTACTTTTGGTGTACCTTTATTTTACTTTTCTACTCTGCTGGTCCGTGCGTTGAGAGTCTTGGCGTCTCCGAAATTCCAACCTCATTAACATCGCTCGATTCTGAGTAATCGAGTCATCTGTTACTACTCCTGACGCTTAGCGCTAAAGCTCTTCGAACCGCTATTATAATCGATTTTGAAGACGATAAAAAAAAAGTAGCGACGATAATTCAGCCTCATATAATAGCGATTCTAAGCTTGACGATAATATTGAGAGTCAAATAGCAAGGGAGAGTACTAGGGGTTACGTTGATTATTGATTGCGTATATGTTAGAATTGCTGTGTAAATACGAGAATAAGCGAGGAACGCGAAAATCGGACTTTTATTCAAACTCATCAAAAGAATACGTGCATCAGTACCAAATTTATTTAATAATTAATACTTTTAATTGTAAAGTGGATTTGATTATTTATTTTCGATCTATAGGACGTTTTTCTTAATTGAGGTTGTGGTTGTAAAGATTTCGAAGCAGACAAGTAAAATTGAATCATTCGAGACAGTTTTTAGCTATATTTTTACTACATTTTAATGTTTTAAGTCTCCCCAAATTGATGCATCTTGATATTTTTTGTTTACGCTTATAAAGCAAAGTTTTTTGAGCGTGTAATTTTTTTTTTTTTACTATTTACATTAATGATTGTTGATTAATAAGTGGTATACCGTTACTGTCCCGCCTTGCTGGTTCCGACCTGGCGTAGGATTCTGTACAACTTAAATGCAAGGTAACCGACGATTAGTAAGTAGTAGTAGCTCCGTAGTACCACCCTTCTCTTCTTTTGCCCGTCGTGCACCCAAACTTCCTCGTCCCGCCGGGCTTTTCTTCTTTTGCTGCTGCTGCTGCTGCTGTTGCTTGCCAGTCGAAGATGTTTGGCTTTCGGGACAAGAGTAGGTGACCACCGTCTCACCTCGGATCCCTGTGTGTGCGCCGGTAGAAGGAAGGATAATCATGATATCTTCACCTACCTCCTACCTCCTACCTACCACTAACACCCGGGCAGAAGACCAGCAGCCATCTCCCGATGGCTCGCTAGATGCCGAGCCTGGCGAAAAGAGCCAGAAAAACTACTACCACCCCGATATCCCCAATGGCGCAACGGTTCAACATGACGCCCTTGATGTCGTCTGCCCCCCTCACACCAGCGAGAAGAAACTCATGCGGAAGATCGACTCCCGAGTCATCCCCTTCCTCTGCATCTTATATCTTCTCGCCTTCCTCGACCGAGTCAACATCGCCAACGCCAAATCTTTCGGATTGGCCGCAGATCTAAGCCTCAAGAGCACTGAGTACAACACTGCTCTCACCATCTTTTTCGTGCCGTACATTATTTTCGAGATTCCGTCAAATGTGCTTCTCAAGCAGCTGAGTCCGAGAGTCTGGCTCTCGGGCTGCATGTTCATGTTCGGCATCGCAGCCATCTGTCAAGGTCTCGTCTCCAATTACGGCGGTCTCCTCGCCTGCCGATTCTTCCTCGGCGTCTTTGAAGCTGGCATGTTTCCGGGCTGCTTCTACTTGATCGGGATGTGGTATAAACGCTCGGAAGCTCAAAAACGCTACTCCTTCTTCTTCAGCAGCACCTCTCTTGCCGGCGCCTTCGGCGGCCTCCTCGCTTCTGCGATTGGCAACATGGACCACATACGGGGTTACAGAGCGTGGCGCTGGATCTTCATCCTCGAAGGCACACTCACCTGCGTCGTCGCCCTCCTCTTCTTCTTCGTGCTGCCCTCTTTCCCCGAAGACGCCAAGTGGCTTTCTTCTGACGAGCGCGAGTACGTGAAAGCCCGCCTCCGGGCCGACCAGGGCCGATCCGCCGCAGAACGCAAGATCACCCTGCGAGACGTCGGCCGCGTCTTCCAAGACTTCAAGATCATCCTCGGCGGATTCATGTACTTTGGTATGATCGTGCCAGCCTATGGGTACGCCTTCTTCGCCCCCGGCATTATAGGCACGTACGGATACTCGCCTATCCAGACCCAGCTACACAGCGTGCCGCCGTGGGCGTGCGCTTTCGGATTCTCCATGATCGTGGCCGTTTGCTCGGATTTCGCGAGACACCGCTTCGCATTCACGCTCATCCCCATTTCCGTCGCCATCACAGGCTTTGCCATCTTAATATCGATCCATGATAACACAGACGTGCAATATCTCGGCCTCTTTTTCATTGCCATGGGCGCCTACTCCGCTATGCCTGTGATTGTCTGTTGGTTTAACATGAACCTTGGGGGACATCACCGGCGAGCAGTGGGCTCGGCGTGGCAGGTGGGCTTCGGCAACATCGGCGGCATAATTGCGACGTATGCTTTCCTACCCGGGGATGCGCCCGAGTATAAGACGGGGTATAGCATCTGTCTTGGGTTCTTGTGCTTGAGTGCTGCGAGTTGCTGTCTCTATGCTGGCGCGGTGGTGTGGGAGAATCGGAAGAGAGAGAGGCGCGGGGTGGATGAGAGGTTGAGTGAGTATGAGAAGACGGAGATGGGGGACTTGAGTCCGGATTATCGTTACCTTTTGTGAGGAGGCGGGAATGAGGAGGCGGGCAAGAGGAGGAGATGAAGATGGGCGGAAAGAGGTGGAGGCAGACTTGGATAAGTATCGGATGTTAGGGACAATTGGAAGAGAAGGAATACCTATATACCCATATGTCGCGCAATCGATTGCTTTCCAATGAATGCTTACTCCGCCGGAAAGGAAAAGGGGAGAGCACGCGCCGCGTGCATGTGCCTTTTTTGGTTGCTTGTCGTACTTTGCCATTAAGGATCTAAGGAGGCCTACCTAATAACAAGCGAGCCGACGACTATGTCCCAGGAGTCACAGGCGATATTGGTAGGTCGATATCGTCAACCTGTATCTCAAGCCGGAAGCGGATCAAGATTTTGTTGCAGCCGTCGCAATTTCCGCCATTTGCCCCAGAGAACTCCTGGCGACATTTGCGGCTGCCACTGTCCCAGAACTTCCTGGAGATACCGAAAGGCGCTGTCGTCGTCACTCTGGTTCCAATCCATATATATACTTACTCTCACCCTCACCCTAAGTTCAGTCAGACCAGGTGGACTTCCCACTTCCAGTACCGAACTAGATCGCTCTTCGACCTCGGAAGGCCGGGTGTTTTGAGAGAAGGTATACGTACATACGTGGACGCGGACCTCAAGCGCTATCTGCCGGTAGGTATTACCCTGATATCAGGGATGCGTGGAGGAGCTAGCGGTTCCCATCCTGTACTTCAGGCCTCTATCCATCGTTACCGAAGCACCGACTACTTCGAGTAGGTACTACAACCAGTTCAAGACGGCTCTGCTGGCCCCTTCCGGAGGACTTGGATAGGTGCCCGTCTCGTTTCCCCTGGACGAACCGGAAACCTTAAGCGGTGAGACGGAACTCTCGACCGAAAGCTGTTTAACACAAGGGGCGAAGTTCGCAGACGGACTACTAACAGAGTTCCTTGCAATGAGAATCCGATTTTTTTTTTTTTTTTTTTTTTTTTTTTTTTTGGAGACGCTTACTGAAATCTACCTATCTGGTTGATTCGTGTACGGAGTATGCGCAGCTAGCTGCTAGCCTTGCATGGGAATATGCATCGAAGGCAGAAGTCGATGCGTACCTGTCCAGCCCCCGGGCCGCCCCTCCCGACATATAAATATATATATCCCCAGCAAGTCTGCTGCCAGCACGCGTTTTCCAATCAGTTTCCTTTCATGGTTTATACTATATCGCTCTCTAACACAAATTTTTAATTTTAAAATAGGGGTTTTTTTGGGGGGGGAGGGGGTGGGTCCCTTTACCATATCCTTTGGGATTTTTTTTTATTTTCAGGGGGGCTTTCGAATACCCGCTAGGATCCCCGGATCTTCAACCTCCCAAAACGCGGCACAGATCTGTAACTGTAACCGTTCGCCCCCCCCCCCCCCCCCTCCCCCCTTTTCTCAAGAGAAGGCTACCGGTACATTAGCGCCACAGACAGAACGCTAAATCCTACGACGTGCAACAGGTTTTCTTCGTCTTCTTCTTCTTCCTCTTCTTCTTTTCTTTCCCCGGAATGCAGTAGCGCGAAGACAGGGGCCTGCGGTAGCGCAGCTCCCATTTAATCAGTGGCCGGATACACACACACACATATATATATGTGTATATGTATATGTATATGTATATGTATATGTATATATTTATGTATATGTATATATGACTCCAGAGCAGCCGAATTTTTCATTCCGGGCGCTTTGGGAGAAGGGCGGTGTTTTCTCGTCGTCGCTTAACTTCATGCGAAATCCCTCTCCTCCTCCTCTTCTTTCTCTCTTGGCGTTCACATTATAATTTTTTTGCTGTTCTTGAGGCCGTCCGCTGTTCTTGGGCAGCGAGGAAGGGAGGAAAAGAGCGCTCCGAGTTCCGAGCTCCGCGAGCCGTTGTTTACTTTCGGGGCTTGGCGGAGATGCATCTGGACCGTTGCCGGTGCCGTTTGCCGTTTGCGGTTCGCTCGCGTCGAGAGATTAGTGGAGCGGCGTACGAGTTCGCCAGATTCTCAAAGGAAGTTTCGAATAAAGGAAACCCCAGATCTTTTTGGATGCTCGAAATGGAATCGAGATGGTCAAGCTATTATCAGCTGGTAAGCTGGGAGCAGACGCCGAATCCCCGAACGAACGCCGATTTATCGAGTCCTTGGCCGGAGAGGCAGGGTGGATAGACCGGTACATTTGCTTCTCTTTCATTATTCGGGAGCTGGGGATGGATGGATGGATGGATGGATGGGCACATGAGGGTTCGATCGAGTCAGCGCCGAGCGCACACAAAGGGCGGCGGCGACAAAGAGATGGCGCGAATCACGGATAGGTAGATCTGGTGACGGTGATAAAGAAGGAGATGAGAATGATAAGCGAGTTGGGGGTGTATCTGTGGTATTCTGGGATTCATGAGAGTGTTATTGTTTTTGTTATTAGATTCTTGTGTTATCATGCTGGTTGTTGGATCTGGCTGATGAGTTGGAGTGAATTCAAACAAACCCATATTCCATCACGGCTTGTCTACTCACCACACCTCTCATATCTCATCTCTCATCACTACTCATACACCTCGTACAGTTATTCACAGCTCTCTCTCTCTCTCTCCCTGTATATATAGAGGCGCAAAAATGGCTCGCGCATCCTTTCCTTCTCGACGAGCTTCCATGGGAGCGGGCGAAAACATGAAAATCACGCATACCACCTTCGACGAGGCGCACAATCAGGATGAAGTACCCGGCATGCGGAAACGGGCCTCGATGGCGTCCATCAAAGTCCGCGACTGGGCCTCCAAACGCCTGTCGAGGAATTCAGACATGTCACCGCAGCTGTCATCTCATCTGGAGGACGAGAAAGCGCCGACGACCATGAGTCCCGGGTTCAGCGAGCCGACTTCTGCGGTGGACTTGCCTCAGATGAACGCGTACATCGCGACGCAGCTCCGACTTGAAGAAGAACGGAAACGTGGGCCGGAAGTGAACGCGGCTGCGATCTTGAGCGGGAGCTTTAGATACCTGCCCCTGCGACCTCCACCGGGACGGCCGTCGTCCACGAAATCGAATGATGGCCAGCTGGCAACGACGCATGTCAAATTATCTGAACGGGTAAAGGAGAAGCTGAATAGGAGGGCGGGGCAAACCGACAGTGGCCGTAATGTAGTAGAAAGAGGCGGCATGGGTGAAGATGATCAACTGAACAAGATATACATCTTGCGGAGAGCGATGCAGGAGGGTAAACTCGAGCGTGTCGTTCCTCCTCTGAAGTCTAGGGCGCCGATCGGGACTGTGAGTGGTAGGAGAGCACCGCCGCGGCCGGTGCGCAATCCGTTTCAGGGGGGGAACGCTTCGCCAGCGGGTTCGGTTATGTCAGCGCCTGAAAAGGTCATGTCCAGCGGCATGAGCTGGTCGGCACTGAAGAACGACGGGGGCAGCAGTCGGAGTGGCAGGAGAGGGGAGGGCAGCAAAGGCAAGGGGAAGGAGAAGGGCGTTGCTGGTCTGGTGGGCGCGGGTGCGGATCTGTTAGATGAGACGAGGAGGAGTATGCAGGAGAAGGTGAGGGGGGGTTTTGAGGGGATGGGCTATCCGAACTTTTCGCTGGCGAGGAAGAGGAGCAGTTTGGGTGGGAAGAGGGATGCGGATGAGGATTCGGACGACAGTTTTTTCTGTCCGGGGGATGCCAAGGAGTTGAATAAGAAGGAGGCGGAGAGGAAGGGGAAGGGGAGGGATCAGGAGGGGAAGAGAAAGTCTAGAGGTAGAGGGGACGGTGGGAAGAGGCGATCCGAGGTTCCTGAAGCACCTCTTATGAAGTGTAAGCTCTGCGGCCTGGAGACGGTCAGCGGTACTAGGGGATTGTGTTTGCTGTGTGAGGATGATCATTTTGGAGCAGAGACGAAGGTCGAGACACCGACAGGCGAGAGCGAATACCCGAGTTCGGAGTACGAAGATGAAATCGTAGTGAGTGATCAGGACGAAGATGAGATCGAGCCCATCCCGCCCCAAAAGGATGTCCCAAAACCGTCGACCAGGAAAGAAATATCTCCACCCCTACCTCCACCACTACAAGAGCAGAACCCGATTCGAAGAAAAGCGTCTCCGCTTGCGACACAAGAGCAGAATCAAACTCGAGAAATACCAAGGTCGCCGCGGTTCCAGGAATGGAAGCCGTTGCAGATCAGCAAGAACACCGCTCCACCACTTGGCATGTGGGAGCCCTTGACCATCCAGAAAAAACCGGAAAAGCCAAAAGTAAGGAACCCATATGAATTCGAGGCCTCGGATTCTGGAGACGAGACCGCTCTTGCTGTACCGCATAAGAACAATATCATCGTCGGCCTGTCCACCAAGAATAGTCTGTCTAAAACGAACATCACAGATACTCCCAAGCGCCAGAGTCCGCCAAGAGCCAACATCGAAGGAGAGGAGGAGGAAAGAGGAGGGAGGATTGATGTGGGTTTCCCAATCGATCTGGATTCGCCGAGTAAGAGGGCTTTCGGGAGGTGGTCGGCTACTTTTGGGGATGGAGGGGTGGAGGACGATGGGCTGCCGATGGTTGAGGAGAGGGACTGGGACGGGTTCAAACGGGACTCGGAGTTTTATGGATTTTGGGATGAGGTGTTGAAGGAGCATGGGGCCGCAGATGCCAGGGGTAGGCGAGGGGGAGACGGGAGTAGGCAGTGAGCTCCGGAAAGGTGTGTGGATGTGCAATCGATTGAATCCAACGCGCAATGGGCCAAAGGTTTAGCTAGGGGTACTGATATCCAAACATATAATGGAGAGAAAGTAAAGTCAGCAGAATGCTCAAAAAAAGCTTCTTGTTCCTTGCGTTATGGGATTTTGATAGCTCTGAGGGCTATTTCGTGACGTGGCGTGCTTCCTTTGTCGGTATTCTGGAGGAGACGAAAGGAGGTGTGTTTTTTTTTTGTCCTTCTCGCTTGACGTTCCACGAATGGATCACAGACTCTTAGCGAGGAGGAAAAAAGGGGGGAGAGGGAGGGCTGCCAAGGCTTTTCCACCTGAGCACAAAAGACGCTAGATACCCCTACTTTCATATCATCTTTCGACAAGTGATCGCTCGCTCTGTGGGCACCTAATATGAACATGTCTCAAGTATCGCTCTCCCTCGTGCGTACTTGCAAAATCGCTTATTCTTCTCTCCTCGTTCTTAACAGAGATAGATGTACTGACCAGTTCAATTATGATGTCAGGTCATGTACAGAGCTGTATTAATCATGAGAAGATCAACTTTTTCTTCTCCAAATCCCGGATGCTACCTAGCAGGTATAGGCCAGATCAAACGCGATCGAGGGCACGCCCGAGAAATTCAACGGCACCACATAGGTTATGTTGTAGTAGTACGAGCCGTAGATGGACGATCCATAGACCGTCGGCCGCTCCTGCAACCCCGGCGCGGTGACGTTGACCTCCAGACAAGGCACGTTGCGGAACCCGTCGACGGCATTGCCGGCGCGGATCCAGGGCGGCGGGAAGCCGGAGAGGAGGAATTGGAAGGAGTCGGCGCCCGCCTGCGTAGCGTTGGGGTAGCTGATTTCGAGCCTATGGCGCGAGGCGACAGCGTGGATGGTGGTCGCCGTGGGATACAGGCTGAAGAGGCCGTTGAGCGGAAAGGGCTGGTGTCTTGGGTCGGAGGCCCAGTGGACGATGGCAGGCACGAATTGCTTGCCGCGGGCCACGGATTCGGCAAGGACCTGCCCGCCGATCATGAGCGGCTTGCTCAGCCATGAGGTCGCGACTCTGTGCCTTTCGGTCTCGAGATCGTAGTAGACGGTCTTGTTGAGCAAACGCTCTGTCTTGAAGGGTGTGAGAAGCTTCGCCTTGGTATCTGAGGACAAAGCCCTTGACACGTCGTCCATTATGAGAGCCATTGCCGCGCCCTGTGTAATGTCGAAGTCCAAGTCCAACTCCCCTCTAGGGGTCTGCGCGAGTCGGCCGTATCCGAAGATACCCCAGAAGTACAGGGAAAGGATAGCGTTGTGGGCAGTCATGTCTCGGGAATAGGCTCTGTCGTAGGGGCCAACCATGTTGCCAAGATATGGATTGTAATGGTCAGCGATGTCGTCCCAAAGGTGCGCCATGATCAATGGAGCATATTTCGTAAATGTTGCGTTACGGGGGCCGTACTTTGCCATGGCGCCGAGAGCCCAAAAGTCCATACCGTAGTAGTTGGGCGCGTTGTACTCTCCCATTGTGTTGACGCCGCTCTTGCTGAATAGATCGAACAACTGATTGCCTTGAGAGTTGCCGAAGTCGATGAATGTTTGGTTTCCCAAGCGAGATCCGATCCACCCGACGTTCAGAGCTCGCATGTAGGCTGGGTTTGAATAGGCTAGTACGAGATTATCTGGGTCGGTACCGTTCCGTCGCATCGCCCCTACAGCAGCAAAAACCATCGCTGTCTCGATTTCGGCTACGAGCGCAGGGCCGAGCAAGTCTTCAAACTCTTCAATCACTTGGACCAGTTGTGAACCAATGAACTCGCGCCAGTTTGGATCATAAGAGCTCTGTTTTACATCAGTCTCTGGTATTGGTGAACACTTGTACTCTGCATTAATTGTTTTTGTGCGCAAGGAGGAGTGGGTGCACATACATAGATTGCCGGTGTATAAAGAGGAGTTTGTGGGTTTGGCTCTGGAAGAGAGGTCAGAGACCGATCAAAATCTTGGTGGCCAGAGTCTTTGCTTTACCATCAGGAGATAACTTGAAATCACCATACCAAGCGGAAGTGAAGTTTTCAGTCATCTGAGTGGCCAAACTGTTCCAGTCAGTAATATGACTGCCTCTCGATGCTGATACCATGTACTCACATGTTTTTCAAGGCGGCCTTGGCATTATCAACATCATTGCCCTGGTTACGGTGAAGTAAACCTGCCGTATACCAAGCGGTAAATCGAACCGACCATGGCCCGTTATTGTTGTACCAAAGGAACTTGTACGAATCGTCCCATCTTTGGTCATTGGTCGACATGGAGAAATCGAATAGACTCTGCGCCTCTGCTGGGTTCTTAGTTCAGATGGTCTCGAAGATTTCCGGTCTTTTTCCCCCCATGGCTGAAGAGATGAGTACCTGTTGTCAACTTTTTCGCTCTTTGGTCACCGGCTGATACCAGGACCGAAAGACCTAGGACTGCATAGGCAGAAGTCTGGAGGCGCATTATGCAATCTCAAGTCAAGGCACTCTTCTTGAAGTCTCAGCACTTGGGGAACTTTCAGAATGGAAGCGCAAGACGATCTGTTATTTAATCATGGTACCTCGTGAATACATCAGTGTAATGCGTTTCGCGCTGATGAATATTCGAACGTCAACCCGCAGGAAATATCGTACATTTTCCTTGGCCGGTTGGTGGAAAAATCGGGATAATGTCCTTAATTCTAGTATCCACCGGCCCTAGAAATTTGGAAGTACCAAACGGGCTTGAATCGCGCGATGATATTTGCCCATTACGCAGTTTGACAGGCAGGTTAACTCGCTTGCGGGGTATCGTAGCCCCATGCTAAGACTCGCTTCTTTGTTTACATTCTGCTTCCGCACCACTCACATACTATCTGTTATGCCCAGCGTCTTGAGTGCCAGGGCAAGAAGCTTAGTGGATGTAGAATTCCGACAGTGGATGGTATTTCCTGATGAGGTGATCCGAACTCGCGAGCCGGTCGGTGAACCTCCCGGGGAAATCGGGGATCTCCCCACTTTTGGCATCCAGTCAAGCTCTTGCCTTACCGTGTTGTTGTTGTTGTTGTTATTACAGGCAGGTACCTCCTCGCTCTAGTGCTGGACCTTGCTCATGTAGATACATGAGAATAGTCGTTATTGTTGCCTCGGCTCGTTGCACTAGGAGAGATTGTCTTGATGATATCACTCTCGACTCGCCGCACAGTATCGAGCAGTGATCTGCCGGAAATGAAACCGTGCTATCTGAAGAGCTTCTGGACTAGACTTGCTCTATGCGTGCAAGCCGGTAGGATGTGAAGTTGTCGGCTAAGGCCAGCTCTCTCAGAGTTCTTGATGAGATGAGCTAGCAATCTTTTCAACAAGTGCCATAAAGAGCACAGAGACTTGAACATCAGACCCTGTCTTGAAGATCAGTTTAGCTCGATGCACGCAGAATTATGAGCCTGAGCCAGTAGAATAGGAACTCTTTGTGGGCTCACAAAAAATGACTTTCACCGCTGATAATGTTGAACCGTTTGCCTTTACAAGAGCAGATAAATATCGTCAATGCTGTTGTACCCGGGGAACGACCTCGCGACTTCGTCCTCGTGGTCTTCGTGGATGCTATACGATACTGCCGAGTGTGCATCGTGGAATCACATCTTTCCGTCTGATCTGCTGCCACTATCGCTCTGGAGGATCGCTTTGTTTCTAGACCCGATTGCATATTCTTACAACCCACGAATGTTCAAACCAGGGCTGCCAAGCAATCGATATACAGCGACATAGTCTTTGAGGAATGCTTTTTGCTACCAAGTACTGTTCCCACCACCGACCAGGGGTAGCCCTCTCAACTTCCCCCTTTTCTGCCGGTAGAGCCAGAAACTGGGCAGCAATACCATCACTCTCACTCATGCTCAATACCCAACCAGATGAGAACCCAACCAGATCAGAGCCGGCTCGAAAGCGATTATATCTTGCGCACCAAGCGAACTTGGCGACTACAGCGGTCAGACCCGCTTGGTTGATACATATAGCATAAATCCACATCTGCCGACACGACTCGGAAAAGCTGTCCGATTATTGATCCGACTCGGTTTTAGGGACCATTTCTCTGCGGAGCTGGCGCACCGCCACCGAGATGTACGGCTTCACAGCCAGGCTTCTAGCACCGCGATAAGATTGTGGCTCGAGCCTTACTGACACGCCTTGGAGACACGCCTTAGAGGTTGAAGAAAATACTGACCAAGTTACCAGAGACCGCTGGACAGTCTCCTACACATGATTCACCCAGAAAGAAAGAGGCCCCTCGCGAGGGAAGGGCACTCAGCCGCCTAAAGATTTTGGTATAGAGAATAGACGGCAACTTTTGTAGAAAAGCAGTGGCCGATGTATCAGTCCTAGTGGAGAAACTTCTGCCGTAGCTTTCAAACTGAGCAACCTTTACACCAATATTTTCCTGAATACTCTGCAGGAGTAGAATCTGATCCCATTATCAAAGGACCGTTGCACACAATTATCCGTGTGAAGGACATCTGCGCCCTTTCAATATCATACCATAAGAGAAGCCTCTTTTCGTTCCCTATCGTACACCCCCTCTCTATCCCACTCTAGCATAACATCAGTCTTTTTTTTTCGCCGCCCGTTGTAAATTTATCGTCCCGGGGGAGGCTGGTTCATCATCTGGACTTGTTGCTCCTGGAATCTCTGGCCGATACGTTCGCTGCCCGCCATAAATTTCTGGACGCATCGGGAAACGCAGCCGGTTTCGCGCTGGATCATGGATTTGGTCGTGAAGTCATCGATGCAGGCGTCGAAGCAGTGGGAGACGAGGTTAGAGAACATCTGGGGAGGATTTTAGTCTTGTTGACGTGATTATCTAGTGAGGCTTGGGGAGGTAGACTTACGCCCATGGTTTCCTTCACTTGCTTGCGCTCCATGCGGTTCTGGAACTCTCTCTGCTCGGAGGCTGTCAGTCTGTTAATGCTATTAGCTGGCTCGTTCTCATTTTTCTAGTGCGGCGACGACTAACCCTTCCATCTTGACGGGTTTCGTGGATTCTTTAAGATCGGGATGGTGCTTAAGATAGGAGCTATGCCTCGTGGGTAACGGCCTTGTAGTGGGATTCGAATTGACGTTGTTTGTTTTGGGGAGGGTGACAAGTTAGGCGATAGGAAAGCTCGTACGGAGGAGTTTTGTAGGTAAGTGAAGTAATGTTTGTCTACCAACTAGCGCGATGTCAGAGCTTCTCACCCGAGCTTGTTTTTGGCCGACACCACGACAATATGAGCTGTAGCTGCAATATGAACAGCAAAATACAAAGTGATAGTGAGAGAAGTGATTGGATTCTGCAAAATTTACATGATACTTGGTGTGTATAGCTGGTATATATATATATATAGCTGGTATATGGAGCTTGTATATACAGCTAAGACACTCTCGTCAGCTGTAGGTATAACAACTCACTATACATCATCATCATCATCATCATAAGAGCTTATTAGCGATGGCCTCTCTCTAGGGCAAGGCACGCATAGTTAAACATGCCCGCTGCAGCTGCTTGAGGTTGGTATGCTGAGAGGTATGCTGAGAATTGAATAAGTGAGTGATAACTGCTTAATAACAAAGCCGAAAAGCCTCCGTATGTATCTATAAATATCTATCTTTAATCTGCCGACGGCGACATTAATTAATAAACAATACTGTGCGTCCAACGTCGGCAGTAGCAGTGGCAGTGGATATACTGTAGCGCTAGCTAGCTAGCTAGCCGGACCTAGGCGCTGCTTTTGAACTTCAAGCCAGGACCTAGACTCACCACTCACCGTCGGTCATCATTTCCATCTCTCCTCTCCGACAAGGACACAACACCACACACCAGATATTTCCCGGTCGCGACAAACCTGGTCGCTCTTATTTTCTCACCTCAATTTGCGAAGTTCCAGCCTTCGTCTGCTTTGTCGCCCCGACGAATCTCCCGACCAGCTCTACAGCGCTTCCCCTCGGTCGCGTCTTGCGCCCTGCGCCCTGCGCCCACAAATCTCTGAACCTCGAGACCCGATTTCTACGCACATCCTTCCTCCGAAGTCCTGGAACCATTTTCGTGTGCTGTACTAGGTTTGGGACGCCAAACCCCCCTTTGCGACACCAGTCCAAAGGCCCTTCCAGCGACTGAGACCGGCACCCCCCTCCCACGTCCGCAGCTGCGACGACCTAGCATCCTATCAGGGCCGGGCAGGCTATCGCGATTCTCCCATCTCTAGGACTCCACATAAACAACATACTGGAAGCTGGCAGATCGGGAAGACCGTGTGGAAGATGACTTCAGATAACCACCCCCCGGGGAGCACCCAGCAACCGCTGGCAAATTCACCAACTGCCCCCGTACCTCAGAATATACCAGCAGCATCCCCTCCAACGAAGCAGAGTTTGAAGTCATGGTGGAAAGGGTTCAGTAAACAGCCTCCAAAGATCCAGGAACAAAATGGTAATGCTCCATTTTCATGGTATCCTGTTGCGTCTCCTTTCCGTTATCAGCAGAACTATTATACAGGAAGCCTCATTCTGGATTTGCATTCCAATACACAAGGCATGTTAAAGGAAAACAGACTGGATCATGCAACTCCAACCGCAGACGGCTCTTCTGGAGGAGAACAAGTAACCCATGATATTTTGTCCTCTGGCAGATGCATCTCGCACCGTTACCCAGGCACCAGTCTGGGAATGGAGAGCGCCCCAGAGTCTATGCCTAGACGGAGATCCTCAAGCTACATGCCTGATGTGGAGGGCGACTTGGAGCGTAGTGCGCGTGCAAAACGATACTCTGTTATGGGTACTACCCAGGCTTCCGCTCTCTCTAGTGAACACATGGGCGAGGCAGTTGCCTCAGCCATCAGCTGCCCATCTCAAATGCCAAGTGCAGGCGCGCAAAGATCTGCTAAGAAACCCAGAAAAGGTTCCTTTTTTCGTGTTTTTACGCGTATAAAAAAAGTTGTGAAAACAAACGCTAAATCAAAAATAGCAGCACCTCTTCCTACCGGAATATTTGGCATCCCTCTCCGCCAGAGCATCACCTATGCGAATGTTGCAATCTCCCTTGTGGACGGAGAAGGACGGAGCTACATTTATGGATATGTTCCAATTGTCGTGGCAAAGTGCGGAGTGTATCTGAAAGAGAAAGGTGCGTGACAGTGGTCCAGAGCGGCGCGATAAAGCAGGCTCAGGCGCTAATGTTTCAACAGCTACTAATGTCGAGGGCATCTTTCGACTGAGCGGATCTGAGAAACGCATCAAAGAGCTCCGGACTATCTTTGACTCTCCAGACCGCTACGGAAAGGGTCTTGACTGGGCAGGATATACGGTCCATGACGCTGCAAATGTTTTGAGAAGATACCTTAACCAGCTTCCCGAGCCGATTGTCCCACTGGATCTCTACGAACGATTTCGAGAACCCTTGCGAGGATTTACAAAGCAAGCAGTAGGAGATGCTGAAGGGCCTCAACTTTCCGAAGATTTCGATGCTGCGAAGGCGATTGTTACTTACCAACAGCTGATTACAGAGCTTCCACCACTGAACCGCCAACTTCTGCTCTACATCCTTGATTTACTGGCTGTATTTGCTTCAAAGTCAGATGAGAACCGCATGACTTCGGCGAATCTTTCAGCAATCTTCCAACCAGGAATGCTTTCGCATCCGGTTCATGATATGGAGCCAGGGCAATACCGCCTCAGCCAAGACGTCCTCATCTTTCTGATTGAAAACCAAGATCACTTTCTGATTGGGATGCGAGGCACTGCTGCAGATGAGAAGACAGTGGCTGAGGTTCAGAATGGAGGCACTCCTCCACCAGGTACCCCAAGCACTCCTGGCAAGACGAAGAGTGGCGTCGCAAGAACTGCGTCCAATGCTAGTGCCGGTGCAGACAGTGTCAGGAAGTTTGGAGGCATCAGACGGAATGTTTCGGTCTCCTCCCACCACTCGAGGCAGTCAAATGGTGCTCCGAGTCCAGCAAGTCCAGCATACGGTCCACCCGTGACGCACTCCCCAGGCGCCGGTATCCATCGAAGCAATACGGTTCCCTCAAAGCGGTCTCCAGGATTGCCGCCCAACAGGTTGAACAAGCACTCTGGATCCCCGTCGCCCACCGCAGCTGCAGTCATGTCAAGCCAACACGTTGCTCCTCGGGGACTCTCACCTGTGGCAGCAGGCTCCACAACCCGCAATGTGTCTCCATCAGCGTCTAGTGCTGCCCCTACTGCGCCTGGTGTTTCGAGCTTAGCTCCATCATATGCTGCTCCGGTTACCAGCAACGAGAGACTGCTCGGAGACCAAAATGTGACGCCGCCCACGTCACGAAACATCTCAAACCTATTCCAGAGATCGCCTACCTCGGCAACAGAGGGTGAAAAGAAGCAGCCGAACAAGCTTCGCAAGAAGCGTGCACCAGGTAGCTCGAATCCCAGCGCCCACAGCTCTACCCAATCACTGCACAGTCAAGATCATTCTTCGCCTGCTTTTCCGCCCACCCGCATCGCAAGTGAGGTTGCCTCCCATCCACCCTTGGAAAGTATCCCATCCGCGAATCCCATACTGTCTGAGACCCAAGCCACTCCTCCTGCCACCGAGCCTTCTCAAGCTGATGTTGCCGGGCTTCAATTGATGGCTAGACACGATGAGCTTCACCAGTCATCAGAAAACACTCTCAAAGCTGCCTCGCCAAGCGGCTCTCTGCGATCCCGGTCGTCGTACAACGACCAGTCAGACCCTGATCATCAAGAGGATACGGCTGCTGTCGCCGAGCAAAGAGAGAAACGATCGCGATGGAGACTGTCACGGCACTATCGAGAACCCTCTCAGCTAGGAACTAATTTGAGTCCAAAGAAGGCCGCTGGCTCAGAGAACGGTGCGGGGGCCAGTTCTAGTTCCGTAGGAAGCTCGTCTCGTCATCGGAAGAGTTTCTCAGCCGATTTCCACCCGGCTGGCACAGACTCGACTCCAGTTGGCGTACAGCCCCAGTCAACTCAGGAAATTTCGACTTTTGGCGAGGAAAAGAAGGGTCCCCTGGGATGGATTAAGAAGATGCGCGATAAGCTTGAAGAGAACAAGGAGAGAGAACGCAATAAGAGCCCCCCCGCTTCGATCGATCGCATTGCATCAGCGATCCCAGCCCGAGGAAAGGAACCAGAACGCGCATTCGAAGAGCGTACCACCCCCCCTCAAGTTTCACAACAACCTCCTCAGCAACCTCCTCAGCAACCTCCTCAGCAACCTCCTCAGCTACTTCCTCAGCAACCTTCTCAGCAACCTCCTCAGCAACCTCAGCCGTAGCATCTACAAACTGAACCGGCTGTCACGTTATCCGTGAGGCATGTCACGAGTGGATCACAACGGCCGATTTCACCTGCTATAAGATTTAATGTAAGAATTAGGGAGTTATGGGATCGTAACTAGCGACGAAGTCGCCCGTTTGCTCGCCTGCGCTATCATGAATTGCTTTTCCCCACGATCGGATACCCCGGAGAACTTGTTTCCCCTTGTTATTTTCCATAGCACAGCACGTTCTTATTCCGCGATTGGTGGTAACGGCGAATGTCAGGAGTAGGTTTGATTACAAGGGAAGGGCTGCTTTTTGAGTCGGTGTACCAGGGGCTGGCTGCGTCAATTGGTGCGGAAAACCTGGGCTGGATGGGTTTTGACGCGAATGTGTTTGAGTATAATCACATGGCTGCGTTTGTTTTCTCTGCATATTCTGACATTGGGTGGAGCGGACTGGGGGCGCTTCGGGGGGGATTCACCGGACTGATTGTTACAGCCCGAGCTTTGGCCCTCCCGAAAGCTGGCGCAGCGAGGGTTTCTTGAAGTGGGAGAAAAGAGGAACAGACGCATGCCGAAGACAAAAAAGCAAGCTCGTCCGTTTTGTGGTGGAGTAGGTACTAGATTCTTGTATCTAGATGTTGTGCCGATAGGATTGTCACAATGTAAAGTCTCACGAAAGGGATGTAGCCAAAAAAAAAAAAAAAACACAAATCCAAATCCATGACAGATGATCTTTCTTCTTCCGCTTCCGTCTCTTCTGCACTTTCTTCCCAATCCGCTCCTCCTCTCCTCCCCTTCCCAAATTACCATGATTCTTCTTTCTTTCTTTCTTTCTTTCTTTCTTTCTTTCTTTCTTTCTTTTTTCTTTTCCTTTTTCTTTTTCCCTTTTTCTTTCTTCTTCT